TTCCAATTGACTTTGTATCCAGCTCACTTTCCATGATTTTTCTCTTATTGCCATGAATAACGCATCACAGAAATTCCGAGTGCACTTAACATACACGTTTACCAAGCTCGTAAACGATGCTAAACTTTCTTAAAAAAAACATTATATAAGGAATTTCCTTATAATACTATTTTTAATCTAACTTTTTAACTTAATGACATTCAATTTATTCGTTTGTACAACAAATAATTATCACAAATCGTTCAGCTATTTAGCCATTCTTCCCACTCAACACTAAAGAATAGCTAACTATCGCCGGTAAATAATCAACTACGTTAGAAGGAAAAGCACAATACAAAAGGCACTTTTAACTTGCGTATAAGTCTAAGGGAAAGCTTTTAGTAGTTGCGGCTTCTCACAGAATTTCTAACTCCTATCCAGATTCTGAGAATCCGTAGTTGTAGAATCAGAAAATAAACTAAAAGCCGGAAACCGGAAAAATCCAATTTCTCCAAATTCTCATAAGCTAGTTACTACCCACAGATTTTTAGAATCCTAAACGGGGACGAAGACATATGACCGATACAACGAGAAATAATTTTAAACTAAGATCTTTTACCCTCCTAGTTCTTTGTCCAAAATCAAGTTCAGGGTTCAGTGACGAAAACGACAAAGAACTACCTAAATTGATTGGAAATTGACTGCGTCTTATAAGTCGCAGCTCGATCAAACAATGTTCTAAAACAACTAAACTATGTTCTAAAATTTTAAATTGTCTACGTCTTGTAACCATAGCTCAAAACAACCAGACCTAACCTCGAACAGTGTTGGTCGCATAACTATCACTGTTCCGTTCATAATTATCCACTTGTAGTGAGTTCTACACCATGCTGGGTGCAAACATTGCAGTGGACAATCACCTCAATCATCGTAAAGCTTCATGGACCCCCTGCTGCCTTTGCACGAAGTGACCCATTTGGATGGCGTCACATTTCCATCCAAATCCAATTGGCAACCGCTACCACAAATAATGCAACAATAAGTCTCAACAAAAAAATAATGCGGCATTAGTGGAGTTTTAAATTTGTGGACAATGGTAGTTCTGGTACGACTCTGTCTAATAAGCTACGTACACAAGATCCAAGTAACGGTGCTTTCTCTGGTCACAAAAATATGTTTTGGATGAGGTCAAACTTTCAACTTTGCATCAATTTATTTTTATATTTAATTAAACTGAACATTGAAAGATCTTGCTCATATATTTGTCTCGAAGAAAACGTACTTCCGTACATAATATTTCGTCATGTTATAAAATACATTGATAAAAAAATAGATATTGAACTGAATTTTGTAGATGATATGTTCTCTTGACTAGAAAAAGGTAATTGATTATCAGGTGCTTTGCTCCAATTGATACTGCAGGGGAACTCCATGAACAAAAAGATAAATTTTGCTATAGCGCACTCGAAGTTTTTGTAATTTGCTTGTGAACATCATAAAAAATGTATCATAGTTGGAAGGCGCATTCAAAAAGTAATTTACTAGAGGACACATAATCCATATTTTATTATTTTCGCTGGTCCAATTGAATAAATAATTTTTCAAAAAAGATGGGAATTCTCCTCAGACCATAAGTTTCTAACCTAGCGTTGGAATGAAGAAGGAATAATATATATACTACTTCCTCTATCCCAACATATAAGAGATTTTGAATGGATGTAACACATCTTACAACATTTTTGCATTGATATATGAAACTTGTCTTTTTTGGAACTCCACTTCATATGGAGGAATTTAAATGGAATTTTACAAGAATTGAGCTAATATTCCAAAATAGGCCTTAATGTACACTTCTTTTTCGGATAAAGGGCATTTCATTAAGTACATGAAAGCATCCGGCTTCTACACCAAGTGCACTCAGCCAAAATGCAGTGGGCAGCATGGATATGATGTTGGTGCGTGAAAAGGCACAATCCGACGCCGTTTTGCTCTCTGGTTGCTCCTATTCTTGCTTTGTTTAATTAATCTCATGGTGCCTATCCGCAAGCCTGTGAATTTACTGGCTAGCAGAAAGATTTATGCTCGATCCATGAACAATGTTCAATTAAGAGTTGGCAACCGAAAGCAAGGTATCTGAGTAGGAGAATGTGTAAAAGCTAGAGTTTGGCATGGATATATACTTGAATTCATTTCGCGATGAGAGACTGACTTGAGTCAAGTCACGCTAATCATAAAATAAAACCATCCAGGTATCAGCTATAACTTGGAGAAGGGATCTATATATATGAGCCACGTGCATTATCTATTATGATTTTTTTTTAAGATGACCTACATGCATTAAACTTTTCCTATTGCTATAATTCATTAAACGTTTGAGAATTTGATCAATACTAAAACTTATTTCCCTTAGTCCCTAAATAAGATCATTCTTGGCAAGTGAGATACAAATTACTATATATATAGAGAGAGGAGGGGGGGACCCAATACATCCCTTATTAATAGGAAAGTCATTGTACCAGTGGGTGGATAGTGAAGGGTGTTGAAGGGATAAAACTTCGTGAATTGTGAAAATCGAGAGTAACTAAATGGATAGAAAATTAACTTATTTTTGGGATAGATATAGTAACTACCAGACCCTAATAGTTGCATGAAGGAGCTAGCTGATCGATATTGAACTCATGAGCAACGTACTTTAGCTGATTAAACATATGTTAAGATGACTTGGCACTTTGGCAGACATATGTGAAAGGGATGAGATGTGTGTCACATGCCCTGATGCTTGCACCAAGTATATATACCAATACCATGATAAGACAATACATCGGCACGTTAACGCCGGCTAAAGATGATATGCATATCTAGTTTTCGCGTGGAACTAATTCGTCGTGAATCGGAATTTGGCAAATGGTATACATGTCTAGGGGCAAAAAAGCTAAAAATCCGACCTACATCCTTAGAAATATTTTATCTCAACTGCAAATATCACACATATTGGTGTTGATAGTAAATCTTGCAACAAATATGGACAAATGGCAAACCTAGCTATACCCCTCTCACAGCTGGAAACCCCATCTTTACTCTCGGTTCGCAACCCCGGTCCCGGGTTGCAAACCGGGACCCCGAATCCGGGACTAAAGATGAAGTTCATCTTTAGTCCCGAATCCCATGTTCATCTTAGTCCCGGTCAAAATATAATTGGGACTAAAGATATATAGTAGCGCTATGTGGCCCGGTTGGTGTTACTAACTAGGACTTTTTTCTTTTATTTTTTTCATTGTATTTTTGTTGCTTGCATTTTGATTACAAATCGAGTTGCTCCCTACATCCCCAAATCAAAGTAACAACATCACAAATTCTAAAAAAAAAAGGTACATCACAAATCCAATGAATCACAAATTCTGGCGTTGCCGCCTGCCGAGGCCCTCCAGCAGAGGAGAGGGCCGCCCGCCGCATCCCGCCCGCTGCCCCCCATGGGCCGCCGCCCACCGCCTACCGTGGGTCACCTCACGCCCGCCGCCCATTGGCCTCCTCCAAGTCTGCCACCGCCACGATTACCGGGACGACAACAATGACGGTGTTGGCCGGCGGCTACCGCTTCTTGTTGGGGACGCAGCTGCCGCCCTTCCTCATCACCGGCTTGCCAAGGAGAGAGGGGATCAGGAGGAGAGGAGAAGAGGGGATCCAGAGATAAGGACAGTGGGAGAGGAAAACAGGGGCTGGAGAGGGGAGCGCAGGAGATCTTAAGGAGAGAGGGAGAGAAAAAGGGTAAGGGCGCGAACGTGTGGCGCGCGCTCTCTCTCTCTCCCGTGCGCTATTTTCTATTTTTCAAGTCTGGTTATTTAACAACCGGAACTAAAGATGGTTGAGGCCCGACACATGCCTAATAACATTTTTAATCGGGACTAAAAATAATCTTTAGTCTCGGTTGGTGTTACCAATTGAGACTAAAGATCAAAAAGTACCCCTGGCTTTTGAACCAGGACTAAAGATATTCTTTAGTCCCGCACTACTCAAACCAGGAGTAATGTGATTTTTGCATGACACAGCAAAGATCATTTCTCCATTAGTATCTCCTTTGGCTATACAAAATGCCCAAACCCTACACAAAGTACACAAATGTGGAGGTGATCTATATCATTTCACCACATGCCACCCTTGCATTTTTGTCAAGTTAGCTTGATTAATTCATCGCCCTACTCGCATGGACTAATATATTAGCCATATACGTACATTCTGGTGTTTTCAATAATCTATGCACCTTCGTGCATGATACTTCTGACTTACTGAGCTTATATCATGATGTCTGAACAAATTAAATTTAGGGGAACTCCATTATTTTGTAGAATATGTTTTGAAAAAAAACTAAATAGACAAAACTCATATTTATACGTGTCCGTTCATGTTTTATTACATTAAGCCTACTTAATCGTATTTGTACGTGTCCGTTGCATGTTTTTACATTATTAAGCCTACTTATTAATCATGATTATATAAATTTACATCTAGCAGGGGCAGAGACAGGCCAGCCTACGGCACTTAATTAGGCTTAAGCCCGGCCTAGGCCTAGCTTCATAATCCCATTAAAATCTTATGAAAACACCATGTAATTCGTGAAAAATATTTAAGGTCATGTTATAACTCAACCCTTTACTTGAGAATTTCCAGGTTCCACCCCTGTCGTCTAGTAGAGAGATCGAGAAACGGTAAAGCAAAACTCTAACAAAACAGTCTTTTCAGAAGAAAATGTAGCTCAACAAGATCCAAGGGTGTGTTTAGTTCACGTCAAAATTAGAAGTTTTGTTGAAATTGAAACGATGCGATGGAAAAATTGAAAGTTTACGTGTGTAGGAAAGTTTTAATGTGATGAAAAAGTTAAAATCTTGAAGAAAAAGTTTGGAACTAAACTCGGCCCAAATCAATAAAAATTCAATACGGTGGACCGAACTAAAGTCTTCTCTCTCTCTCTCACTCAAGGAGAGGGATGGAAAGGAATCATCCAAAGCTAAGCTACACTGTGGCACACTATAAAAGGGCCATCACCAACCCAGTTTCTCCTCATCCGATCACACACACACCATAGCCAAAAAAAACACAATCACTCGACCAAACCACACCTAGCTACTACAAAGCTAGTGATCATAAGCTAACCTTAATTAGCTTTAATTAGCCAAGAAGAGACAAAGAGCAAGATCGATCATGTACCACCACCACCATGGCGGCCATGGCGAGGTGGCGAGCCTCCACCTCCTCTCGCCTCCAAACCCTCCCTTCTTCGGCGCCGCCGCGCACCACCACCACCACCACCACGGCCTCATCAACATGGCGCTGCCGCCTCAGGCCTACTTCGTCCCCGCCGCGCCGCCGCCGCCGTTCCAAGAAGCCACTGCTGCGCTCGCCGCCGGCGACGACGCCACCGCCGCGTTGGCGGTGTTTGAGCTGGAGCGCATCCTGGAAGAAGCGGCCGCCGCGGGCGGCGGCGGCGGCAATGGCTCACCGAGCTCGGGCTCCGACGGGTGCTGCTACGGCCTGCAGGGCGTGGCTCCGGCGGCGGAGGAGGAGCGGCGGCGGCGGCGGATGGTGTCGAACCGGGAGTCGGCGCGGCGGTCGCGGATGCGCAAGCAGCGGCAGCTCAGCGAGCTGTGGGCGCAGGTCGAGCACCTCCGCGGCGCCAACCGCCGCCTCCTCGACGAGCTCAACCGCGCATTGAGGGGCTGCGCCGACGTCCGCCGCGAGAACTCCCGCCTCCGGGACGAGAAGGCCGAGCTCGCCGGCAAGCTCCAGCTGCTGCTCCCGCGGCAGCCGGCGCCGGAGAAGAACGCCGCCGACGACCAGAGTAGCTGCTCCTCGGAGCCATGCAAGAACAGCACTACGACTACCGCTGCTGAATGAATTATATTATTCATTATTATTATTATTATCCACCAAATTTTCACTTGAGAGGATAATAATATTAACAATAATATGTTTATCAATAAGAAAACGTGTATAACTAAACAAGGATAATTACTGGGGATGGAGGCATGCATGCATGCATGCGCCATGAGATCGATTTTTCTGTTTCGAGGAGGTTTTTGCTGTGTATTTTTACAACTAATTATATACTTATACCTGCGGTTAAATTAACATGGATCAATGGATCATATATATTATTTCTATTTACAAGTTGCAAAACTGCAGTTAATAGAACACTAGTAAGACAAAATGATGGGGTAGAAGAGGCATGTACAACTCTAAAAGTAGTAGACTACTTGTCAAAACGTTGTGCAACTATGAAGTTAAAAAAAATAGTGCCTTTCATGTAATGATGTCACGGGGTTCAACTAACTTGTAATGGATTATGCTTTGGGATTGCTAATGGATGGCATACTTTCTTGATGTTAAGTTACCCATAATAACCCAACTGCTGCTGCTCTGTTCTGTAGTTCATTAGCTATTTTACCTAGTTGTATCAAACAAGGTTCTGGATGTGTATCAAACAATTTTGGTACTCCTATATGAATGTTCCCATCAAGATCTGAACCACATATTCCTATTCATTGAGATGCTTATCGAATAGGATTCCAAAGAATCTTAAGGACAAGCCCGGCAACATGTGCCACGAAACAAATCTAGGCTTTTGTCAATACATAAACGTGAGTGTTCATCAAAACAAACGAGCAAATTCAAAAACATAGCATATATATATATATATATATATATATATATATATATATATATATATATATATATAATTGAACATGATGTCGACTTACATTTTTTGAGGTTTATGCAGACATGAATTTCACACAAACATTTCGGTCTCAAAGATGTGCAGGATCTCACAGAATCCCAATATCAAATATTAACATAGGATGTCGTACATATATTAACTCATTTTCCACAGTAAAGGAAAAGAAAAGGAGGTACATTTCTATTGCAAATTGTGTTGCTGAAGATAGGAACGGCAGCTGTGCACCAGATCAGAACTAAAAAAAACAAATCTAGAGACCGGTGATGCATTTGCCATTGCAAGTGCGGTATCAGCCAAAGGATGTCCAGTCCAGGGTACTACGTGTGAACCTGAGGGAGAAAGGCCCCACCATAGTTGGACGCTCACATCGCAGGACCCAAGCAAACAGTGGTTAAAAGGGCATGGCCCCTGCCCTTGTGCGGCGCACGGTGGAAGAAGCACCAGTGCACCATGCAATGTCTCACGGTGGTGGCAATGGAGATCTCTTTTGCAAATATGAGGAAACAACTGGAAAGTACAAGAGCACCTCAACAAACCGTCGCTCATAGGAGCTATTTTACCTGGTGCAGGTTAGCAGGTACAGTTGCACGAAGATAAGAATGGCTGCAGATGCAGTTCAGGTGTGTTTGGTCATACATCTGTCCACCATGATTCCAGGGGCACTTGCAGATGAAGCTTGCCATGTATGTTGACAGATGCACCGGAATAATCGGCAATGGAGGCCCTGGAATGTTGGTACTACAAACGGAATATAGAAAGTTCAAGATACTAGTACCCTACAAAATAACAGCACTCTGTAGAAAAGGAACAATAAAAAAATATGCAAAGATCATGCATGTGAGTACTATGGTGACAGGTAAAATGTTGGAGACATCCCCCTAGAGGAATAATCTCAATATGAGCATTGTTTTGCATAGAGTTAAGTTCATAGCTATCTATATGCTCAACAGGCCTACAAGAAGAAACTAAACTCTCAAGTTAAATTAGGCCTGTTGATATTTTACATGTTTCAGTTCATTTAGTTTAAGGATAACATATGTAGTTAATAATGTAACTACCCAACCCTCATCCATTAGGTGGTATTGATAGACAGGTGCCACTTGGCAGGTGTTAAGAGTTTTCTGCAGACAAACTGTCCGCTAATTACTTCGACGAGTCTTCACGAACTAGAGATAAATGGTTATGCTTGGCAAAGGAGGCATTTGTCAAAGATGGATAAATGTCCTCTTTAGTACAGCTCTTCTCCCGGCAAAATTTTGCTGGATCTGCAAATAAACTTGAAAACGGGCACCTAGGAAACAAAAGGAAAATGGTTCTTATGATGAAATTTTAGAACAATATTGGAAAAACACACAAATAGCGAAGACAACTCACCTGCTTAACAGAATGGTCTCAGACTGGATAGTCATTTCTTCAAACACATTTTCTGTCCACCAAATGGTGAAACGTTAAAAAAAAAATCATTGTCAATACGGGGAAAAAAACTATCACTTGAAGTTAATTCATTAGTAAGAAAACAAAAAGGCAAACTCTACTACCACATCTGGTCACTGGCTATCCTTACAAAGTAAGGAAGGCATATTAATGCATTTCTTCGAGATGATTGTTAGGATAGTCAACTTAGCATATCTTGGATTCAATAATATAAATATCTTTTAGTAATGACAGGTTGCATCTCAAGGCCAAAACATGACACAGACTAATTGTGTTTGTTGATTTAGTGGATCATGACTCAGACCATTTGAAGATTCCATGTCAATTGTTGAACCATACAGTTGAGCTTTCTTCTAAGCTAACATGCAGGAAATGATCTATTAGATATCAAAGTTTTTTTTAAAAAAAAAAAAGATAATCTAACCAGGCAGATATCTGACTGCCTGAACAAACAAGCAAATCTTCTGTAAACCATAATATGCCATGCCATACTATTGTCATAAGATTGGAGTGCACTGGTACCTTTACCAAAAGCCTTGCCAGAAAAGTATTTGGCCTTCAAACGAGCTGCAAGGACAGCCTGATATTTGTTGACCTTCTCTTCATGCTCTCGGGTTTCCACTTCACTATGCAAAGTAATACAATAATGTTTACTATATGAATCCATTATTTGCCCAGGTCACTAATCAGGAACTTAACTACAAATTAAGAATATACAGGTTCACAACTCCAAATCATTTGACCAAGAAGAAGATATACAAAACAATTCAACACAATTGTTGGAATTGGAAACATGCATTTTCATTTTAGCAGATCAAATAAAGTTGGTTACTATTGAAAACAAAATACAAAAAATCAAGGCCAGGGGCTCTGCTTGTGGGGTTTGCAATCAGTGGGTAAGTAAGTTAGTTGTGAGAGAGGTTGGGAATGGGAATCATGCCCAATTCTGGGATGATGTGTGGTGTGGAGCAGTGCCTCTGAAAGTGTTGTTTCCCAAGTTATATAGCATAAGCAGGAAGAAGGGGAGGACTGTCAATGGGATGTGGTCAGAGGAGAGGTGGAAATGGGAATTTAGAAGGCAGTTATCAGTAGAGGACCAGATAGACCAAACTGATTTGGAAGGGAGGTGATTTCTGTTCAGAAAAAAAGTAGGTCGCCCCCATTTTTTTTATGTAACCCCTATTTTATTTTGAACTCAACACATTTCTATTTTCTCTAACCAGATGAAAAGCATCATTATTAACCATTCCTTCTTGTTCACAGCATTGTTCAAGATTTCAAGTACCACACCCAGGTGCTTGCACAAGATAACGAATTATGCAGGTAAAACTGTTGTACTTCATCTTGCTTATTGCCAATATGTTCCAAGCAATAAGTCGACCACATCAACCATGAACCAACTACTGCCCACTTCATCCGTGTCACAGACGAGCAATTAAGCAAAAGACCAGCACTATCGACTCGAAGGCTCGAAGCTAATACAATGGCTGGTTCTTGCGCTCACATTCGCTTACTGAAATATCTAAATTGCAGAGATAATCATTCGTGGCGACAATATAACAAACACAATTACCTCAAAAAAATATAACAAACACAAAGCACGCATTGCAGAAAATCAGAAACGGCCAAGAAAAAGGTGGGGAGAGGGGCATGCAAGAGGCATTTTACGAGTTCTCCGCCGGAGAAACGCGGGGCCTGGACTCCTGCGCGTTGGAAGCGCCTGCTCCTGCTCCTGCCTCCTGCGCGGGTGAGACGAGAAACCCTAGGTGTTAGGTTCAGCGAGCTGGGGCGGCGAGACGAAGGGAGATTACCGCTGGTCCGAGAGGGGAAGGCACGATACCTTGACAGGGTGGCGCTCCGACAGCCAGGAGTAGACCACGGCCGGCGCTGCCCGCGGCGGCGGAGCGCCGGCGGTGGGGATCCACGGGGAGGACGGCATTTGGAAGGCCGGCGATGACTAACGAAAGCGGCCGCCGCAGAAGAGGTTTTGGGAGTTCGATCTGAGTTGTTCATCTCAGATCCGGCGGTTGGTTAAATAATTGCTTTTTTTAACCACTAAAAGCAAAAGTTTCAAACTTTTTTTTTCAAACTTCCAACTTTTCCATCACATCAAAACTTTTCTACACACACAAATTTTCAACTTTTATATCACATCGTTCTAATTTCAACCAAACTTACATTTTTGGCTTGAACTAAACACAGCCTTTCTTAAAACATTATTGTTTTTCTCAAAAAACAAATAGAGCTCTAGATGAGCACAGCTAAGTTTTTTTTTTTACGCTCAGGGCCTATTTAGTATAGCTTAAGTTTAACCAAATAGTTTTAACTTCGTTTAAAAGGGAATGAAGCAGACTGAAGTGATATTACAAAATAAGCTAGAGCCATTGAGTTGGGTTTAAGATGCTTCATAACTAAATTTAGGCGCGCAAACATGCCCTGATGTTATACTGTGCAAATTTCCTTTTGGATTAGATATAGACGAAATTACTTCAAAATAACTATATAGACAATATAATGATGTAAAGAAAAAATAAATAGGGATCCTATGAGGAAACATTTGAATTACTTTTGAACTATAAATAAAATGAGACTTAATTTCTATTCATTAAGTTTTCAGCATGTGTTCTTGTGGTGGAATATGTTCACCCAGATTTAAGTTTTAAATTTAGCATATAAGCTCACATTTACAACTAATTATTCTTTTAGTGATAAGTGACCTACTCATGAGTAGTGAGATATACTTGTGATGACTGAGTGTGTGATGACTGAGTGAATTTCAAAATATGTCGGCTTAATCTACGATAGGTGCTCACGGGGGCAAAGTTCGTGAATCTCAAAATATGCCGCTTTATTAGTCATTAAAGGTGCTTATAAAGATATGGTATCTGTGTGGGTGAGTGTGCACGCGTTTTATACGAGCATGTGTATATATTGTGTTAAAAAGTTATCATCTACTCCTTTTGTCCCCAAAAAATGAATCTAAAGCTGAATGCGACACATCCTATTACAAAGAATCTAAACAGAGATATGTCCATATTCATAGAAATAGGATGTGTCAGAATTGTCTTTTTATGGGACGGAGGAAGTAGTAGTATAGTGTTGTACAAAAATGGAATAAGTTCACTTGAGATCCCTTAACTTGTCAACGAATCCGATTTTCATCCTTCAACCAGAAAACCAGATACAACGGCTCCCTCAACTATCAAAACCGGTGCAAAGTAGGTCTCTCAGCGGTTTTGATGGTGGTTTTGGCAGATGTGGCGTCTACGTGGCTGGTTTGACTTGGTCCTCATCCTATGTGGCGGTGACGTGGCACTAGGAGCAAAATAAAAAAAATTGAAATAAAAACAAAATGTGGGGCCCACATGTCAGTCGGACGAAAGAAAAACAAATAGTGGGACCCATCATCTCTATCGACGGACGACGAGAGAGGAACGACCGGCGCCTCCTTCTTTCTCCCTCCCGGCCATCCTTCCTCGCCGGCGAGCGCGCACGGAGAGGCAAAAAGGCGGCGGCCGGCGAGGAGGGCGGAGACGGTTGCTGGCCGCCGCCCGCTGCGCGCTTCTTCCTCCGCCCGTCGCCGTCGAGCCCCGCCATTGCCGGCCTCCCTGCCTCCTCCCTCCCTGGCTACCTCGCCGGCCGCCGCGCGCCGCTCCATCTTCTCCCGTCTCCCTTCGGCCTCGTAGGCGACGGACGCCAAGGCGTCGCGGCCGCGTGCTCCTGCGCCCCCGCCACGCTCCTCATGCTCTCCGGCGACTCCTTGTAGCACAGCTCGTTCAGCCCGATAGCCGGGAACGCCTGCGACAACCCCGCCATCACGCGGCGACGGGAGCGCTGGGGGGAGGGGCTCCGCGCGCGGGGCGCGCCCGCCTCGAGAAGCTGCTCCTCGTCTCCATCCATCCCCAGCTCTTCATCCCTCCCCTTTCTCGTGTAGCCGTAACCCAACTGCTACTCGCTCCATTTTATTCTAGGTCCATCCATCCCTTCTCTTTAATTCGCTCACTTATTCACGATTAAGAGAAGCTGAGATCAAGAAACGTACTTTTGCCTGCGTCCTTGAAAGTTGAGAATTTAAATGACTCAAAGGAAGAAGCAATTGGTGAGATGAAGAGCAGGAAGAAAAGCACAAGCACAAAAGCAGCAGGCAGCTGCCACACCAGCAGCAGCAGTAGCAAGATGGAGCACAACGACGTGGAGAAGAATCGGCGCCGCTGCTGCAGCTGCTACTCCCCGCCGCCATCACCACCACTACTCCACCTCCTCCTCTTCATCGCCGCCGTCGACTTTGACAAGTACAGGGCGCGAGCTCCATCTCGTCGGAGACGGGCGGCGCCATGGCCTCGAACTCTTCCTCGAGTCAACGCGTGGGGTCTGCACCGACGCTGCGGGCGAAGATGAGGAGCAGCTTCTCGGGGCGGGAGGCGCCCCGCGCGCGGAGCCCCTCCCCCAGCGTTCCCGCCGTCGCGTTACCGGCCGCCCCCGCCGGACCTCCCCTTGACCTCCCGTGGCGCCTGGAGGCTGGAGAGAGGAGAGGGGAGAGAGAGAGGAGGGGGTGAGAATGACATGTGGGGCCCACGTGGGCCCCACCATTTTTAATTCATTCTTTTAGTGAACATGACATGTGGGGTCACAGTTTTTATTATTTTACAAATTAAATTGCCATGTCAATGCCACATCAATGCCACGTCAGATGAAGACCGGGTCAACTTTGCCACGTAGGCGCCACGTCAGCTAAAACCGCCGTCCAAACCGCCATGAGACCTATATTGCACCGGTTTTGACAGTTGAGGGATCTGTTGTATCTGGTTTTATGGTTGAAGTACGAAAATCGGACTCGTTGACAAGTTAAGGGACCTCAGATGAACTTATTCCTACAAAAATTGCTTCGAGCCCACGACTAGCAGCCCATCCGGTAGTTCAGCCCCATGGGCCTTTACTGCCCGCAGCCCACACGACGCGCCCAAGGCCCAACCCCTGCCTCCCTTTCCACCATCCGCGACGTGGCCGTCGCTTGGTAGGTTAGCGTCGCCCGTCTCTTCCCCCCCATGTGATCGATCGCCACCGCCGCTCCCGCCGCCGCTGCTCCCTCCGGTGCGCCTCCCGTGGGCTCGCGCCGCTCTCTCCGCCGCGATCTCACCCTGCTCCGCCGCCTCCATCCCCGCTCTCGGGTAAGCTAACAACGACGGCAACAGCAATCCCGCAGCCCGTCTGGTTCGTCGTGCGCGCCGACAAGGGGGTAGAGCCATGTGCGCGAGTTGAGTATCTCGCGACAGAATCCGTGTGTTTTGGTGTTAGACGCTAAGCCTCCGAGATTAGTTTACTCAAATGTGCTAGGTTAGGATAAGGAACAGGGCGCCATCACCCATATCGCGTAATTTTCTTAGATCAAAATTAGTACAGGGCAATTGCAGAAAGTCTTGCATTGTTAAACGGAAGAAGTCCTAAACTACTGATGAACTTCAACCGGATCTGTTTATTTTTTATACTGTTCCATTTCTATCTGAAAACTGAACATTTCAGTTAATATTCTTTACAGTGTCTTGATCAACTTCGACCGGTTCTGTTTTTTTTAATACTGTTCCATTTCTATCTGAAGACTGAACATTTCAGTTAATATTCTTTACAGCGTCTTGTCAAAAAGTTCGGGTCTGTTCACTTTGATGCTATTTTTAACCTTATCAAATTTTGGTAAAGTTGCAAAAAAAAGTGGCTACATTTAGTTTGCTACCAAAATTTGATAATTATATAAGAAATCCTGCCAAAATTTTGGTAAGGTTTTTTTTGGCATCGAAGTGAACAGGCCCTTCATGTATAATTGTTCTTTCTTTCCCAGGAAAGGGAGATTGGTACTTTCTCTGTATCGTTTCCCAACAGGAATGATCCAAACAGTGCCAAAGCTGCTTTTAGACGGCTGCTGGATTCGAAGGAATGATACATGCTATTAGCAGGTGATAGCTGGACTCACTTGTTTACATCTTCTGCTGTGCTTTGTTTATTGTTTCACGCACACCTACATGATTATACTTATACGTTTCGATGATGAAGATTTCCGGTGGCAAATCATTGGCCTGGGGCTTAAATGCAGCATGTTATTGCCACCACATATAGAAGATGCAGCGTCCTGCCATTGTTTAATTCTTGTGCTAAAGTATAGCAGCTCATTGCTATGGTTTGGTGCAAAAGTGGTGCATTAGCTGTACTCATGTTGCCCATTTTCATATATTCTTCCAGAACGTGATCCTAATTTTCTGGTTTGGTTTATAGCTAGGGGGAGGAGAGAAAATGAGGGAGAGCTGGTTTTAGTACATAAGCCAGCTTACATCATTGTTGTTCTGTTTATGGCTATTAATTAGACCGCTCTGTGAGATGGACAAATCATTGTTTCCACCCTGTCTAGAACATGTGCAGCAATTGCTGCCTTAATGCTGCATGAGTGGTGTGGTTAGACAAATATTCCCCTCTTCTGGAGTGTTTAGGTCACATAATTCTTCTGGTGCATTGTTATATACTTACCACATGATGGGCATCGAACAAATTAGTTCAAGCCAAGTCACCTGCTCTCAGCATCTGCTTAGCGCAATGCTAAAGAATGTGAGTTGGCAAGCAAAAGTTTCAGAAAACTAGTAGTATCCTCAATGTCTGCCTCTGGTACATGTTACCATTTCTTTTATCATTGGATTGGGTTTAGGTACTAGTCATGAATCATTGTGGCATTGGGCAGAAAGATAAAAGTGGGGTGATTTTTCTTTGTCGAAATATGATGCGTGCGATTTTCTTAGCAGAAAGATAAACATGTGTGCCGTATGTACCATATATTTCTAATAAAGTTGTAATAAAATATGCATGAACGCTTCTGACTTTCTAGACACTGGGAAGCAGAGGAGAATTAAATTAATTGACCTAGCATCTTCTTCTCTCTTTACTGTTATTGCAAATGCTTCAATGCTTCAAACCGTGTGAGAGGAAATCTACCTGGACAGAAACTTTCAGAGTAGGAGCAGTGTTCATTAATATCTTAGTAGAAACATAGGAGAAGATTGCAAGCTCTGCAAGCGACATTAAAGGCAGGGCATTGAAGAATAACCGAAGGTTACAGTAGATTTACATGGCGGCAACAGTTAACCTACTACTGGGTGGTCAACCATGGGAGAAGCTCTATGGAAGGCAAAAACAAGGATCCAAAAAAAGCCTTCCTTTCTCCATGCATGCATACTCCTAGCAAGGATTCAATCTTACCAAGAAACTGAAAAGAGAGATTCCTAGTACAGCGATTCTAATGCATTTTAGAAAGCCATTACCAAAAGAATCTTGTTCTTGATGAGCTTCCTCTCTTGTTCTGGCCTTTCTTGGAGGACTTCCCTTCTCCTCCTTTCTCCGTCTTGCCGGCTTTCTTGCCGGAGCTCATCGAGAATTTGGTGTGCAAGCCATGATCTTCTTCCTCCTCCTCCTCCCCCTTGCCGCCGCCGTCTTCGTCGCCGTCGTGCTTCCGACGGCCGCCGGCGTCATCGCCGTCCGGTGCGGAAGGCACCTTCACTTTGGCCGGACCGGTTGAAGCATCGGAGGCGAGGGAATCGTCGTCGTCGCCATCGCCGTCGTCTTCATACTCCTTGCGGCTTCCCCGACCGCTGATGTAGCCATAGCCATCATCAACATTGCTTCCTTCGCTGCCGCTCCTTTTGCCGCCGCCGTCATCGTCGCCGTGCATGGGAGAGGCAAGGTACATTGTCCACCCGGACTCGCTGCTGTTGCAGCCCTCGCCATCATCCCCAGTGATATGGGATGACTCCATGGCAGAGGAGAGGAGAGGAGAATCAAGAAAGGTAAGAACTGATAAAAACAAGCTAAGCCAGAGGGAATAGAATAGAATAGAAGGAAGGTGAGATAGTTGGAGGAGGGAGCTTTGAGTTTGAGAGAGAATGGATACTAGGAACACTGGCTGGGAAGAATATATGGCTAGCTTCCTTCTTTATTTATGCTTCTCTTCTGGACCCCTCATCAATGCAACATTAAAGAAGACATTGCTCTTGCTCTCTTCTTGTTTGTGCTCCCTCCTTGAATACCCTCAACCTGAGGAGGAGAACATTGAAGAAGCCTCTGACACCCAGCCATCTTCCTTCTCATAGATAAGCATAGGAAAGGAGGGGATTACAGAAGAGGAGCTGAGGCAGCAGGAGGAGGATTACTGGAGAGATGCCAGGATCTTTGTTGTGTGTGTGTGTTTTCTTTTCCCCTGTGGCTTGCAAAAGGGTGGCAGTGTCCTTAAATGGGAAGGACAGGTTATCCTTCCAACTGTCTCTAATAACTTTGCCAACCATTTTGTTCTCTGTCTTGTCACCAAGCCAGGAGGAGAGGAGGTTGATGTGAAGATATGTGAAGGAATACCTGTTTCCAATGCGTAGCCACAGTGGTCACCTTGTGTTGCCCATGTGGCCTCGTGGTTGGGGGGGCCTGGTCTGCCAAAATCTGCCATGTTGGGGCGCAAGAAGATGGCTATCTATGGGGTTTGTTTGTTAGAATGAGGCAGGCACCGGGTAGTAGTAATAACTCGAATAGCGTCTCCGGTCACCACCTGACCAACCTGTTTTAATGCCATCCCCTACTCATGCTGGAGTATGCATGATCTTCAGACTTCACAGAGAGAGAGAGAGAGAGAGAGAGAGAGAGAGAGAGAGAGAGAGAACATGTGTTCAGTTAGTTTGAACCAACCTAGCCAAGCTTGTGGAAGTCGTTGGCATGCAGTGATGCAGATGCAATCATGCAATGGTGGTGCTGTTGTAGGGTTAGTTCTTAACTGAATTGTTTCATGTGCCACATTGTTCCTCCGCATTGTGTCAATGCTAACTGTAGTTTATGTTGAATGTGCCCCTGTATTCTATCTTCTCTTCTTTTTGTAAGCTTAATGTATTCTTTTCTCGGATGCAGGATGGATCTTCACATGCCATATCATCTCCAAATTTTAACTGTGGCGAGGGATCGGTTGACTGAAATGAGTGAAATTGAACTGAAGTACTCCAATGTCCAATCTACGAACAGGTTTGATTGGCAGCGGTAAATCCTCTGAAAGCACATTATTCTGTTCATCCGGTCCTGAATGTTCTATACACAAGCTTACTTTGCATGTCATGCATGCACACATGACACACCCACGAGGCCATGGCCAGCCCAGGCAGCGACGTGACACTGAAAACCTGTACAGTACAGATTATAGAGAGGCCGACGCAGCGAGCTGCTGTTCAGTGCATCACAAACAGTGTCGCACAGACAGTAGATACAGACACCGTAGTAGGAAGATATTGTACACCTTTGCTGCAGCTCACATTTTGAAAAACTTCAGTGCTAGTACATGGAAACAAAGTACTCGGAGCGCGCTGTAAAAAAAAAATTTGAGGGATGTTGTAGGATTAATTAGGATCCTTTCAAAAAAAAAATCTGTAAGAAATCTAACATGGGGTTGAACCTAGAAATTGCTGTTTAGGTAGGTCTGCTCTGAAACAAAGAAGAAAAGGTAGGGATTGCTATTAAACATTTGAATTCTATGGAAAAAGTTCATACAAAGTTGTTTGGAACAAAGGATTGACCCTCACAAAAAGGATTGAAACAAAGGATAATCAAGTTCTTTGAAATTCTTTTGGAATTAGCTATTCTATGAGAGTTTTGGAGGAAAATAAGTACAGAGTATCACATTTATGTTTTCTCCTCCTTGTCCTCTTGAACTTCTACGGGTTTTATGTGTCATTCAAACAATAATTTTTAGAGTTTTGTATATTTTTAAATCATGGCGAAATTTAAATAGTGATCATGATGTTCCATTCATGTGTTTTACTAACAGTCATGTGTTGTTACAAAGGAACGCTTATGTCTCTCCCAAATCCCAATATCATGTCTTTTGCTTGCAAAACATCCAACACGTTTGAGTAATTTCTCTATGTTTTGTAATTCCTATGAATTTCGGTTAGACATGGCACCTCATTCCCTGTTTCCTCCCCCCCCCCCCCCTTACTTTTGCAATTCAGCAGTGCCCTTAGCCCCTTACCTCCTATTCCACTAGCCTTTTTTGCTTAAGGAAATTAATAAAACAACACAATATGTTTACGTAAACCGCAAAATACCTCCCTACGTTTTTTCATACATTATGTTATTTAAGGACATACGTAAACTGTAAAACATCATCGTATTGTTCAAGGACATACATTTGATCATTCTTCTTATTTAAAATTTTTATGTAAACATAAAAAAAATGGCTTGCTTAAAAGATCCTTTAATGATAAATCAATTACATAATTTTTTTAAACATACTCCCTCCGTCAAAAAAAAAAACTCAATCTAGGGGGGAATGTGACCCATCCTAGATTCGTTGTATTTGGATGAGTCACATCCCCCACTTAGGTTGAGTTTTTCTAGACGGATGTAGTATTTTAAAAATCAATAGCATTATACTCTCTCCGTCCCTAAATATTTAACGCCGTTGATTTTTTAAACATATTTAACCGTTTGTCTTATTCAATAACTTTTTAAAAATATGTAAAACTATATGTATATATAAAAGTATATTTAACAATGAATCAAATGATAGGAAAAGAATTAATAATTACTTTTTTTTAATAAGACGAACGGTCAAACATGTTTTTAAAAAATTAACGGCTTCAAATATTTAAAGACGGAGGTAGTAGTATTGTTTTTTATAACTTTGTGATACCATCTCATATAGTGTACTTTCTCCATCCTATAAAAAAACAAACTAACATGGATTGATTTTCTATAGGATGGAGGGGTACTACTCAAGGTGATTGACATCTTGTCAGCGGTAAATGATCCATCTTCTACTCCCTCCGTCCTAAAATATAGCAACATAGTCCTAGATGGGATATAACCTTGTTCAACGATTCTGGACAGCGCTTTGTCTAGATTCATTGGACTAGGATGTGTCTCATCTAGTCATAAGTTGTTATATTTTGGGACGGAGGGAGTATTACTGTAGGTACTCTAGGGTGAACCCGAGTCCATGTCAAATGATCGTGAAGCTAGCAATGTCAGAAGAGGGAGCAAACAGCCAGCCGGATTCTGCGTCGAGCCGTCGGCACGAACGTCGCCGTAGCAGCAGCCAGCAATGCACCCCCCCCTCTCTCCTGTTGCTGCATGCCGATGACGGCATCCACAAACCATCATAGGCGTCGCATCCACACCTGTTTCCATCGTCCGTCACCACGTGCAACCCTATCGCCGCTGCCGGCCCGGCCGGTGAGCCATCCATCCATCCATCGCCGCCCCCACCGTTGGTGTTGACGGCGACGACGTACGTACACCCGGCCGGCGACGACGGCGACCGCCTCCCAATGATGCCACTGATGCTCGTCCTTCCGTCCTTCCCATGCAGAGTAGTCTGCAGCAGTTGATAAGTTCTCGCTTTTGGTTTTTCTTGCAGGGTTTGCAGTTTGGCGCATCTGAGAGCGCGTGCAGGGCCGCACATGGCGAGGCGGTGGTGCGGCGGCGGCGGAGGGGGGAGGGGAGGTGGCGGAGCGGGCGGAGGGGGAGTAAATTCTGGGCCAATGGGAGGCGCCGGTTCGTCGTCGTCGGGTAGGTGAGTGGAACATGCCCCCTTGTCCCCCGCGCCCAACTGGATTTGATGAGGCCTCTCTTTGCAGAGATAGAGATAGATAGAGAGAGAGAGAGAGAGAGAGGAGGGGCAGACCAGCCCTACACAATCTTGCTGCCCGTCTCTGATTCATTCACCGGTCCATTCAGACGCATTTATCGCTTTTTGTTTCTTCCTCTTCTTCTCATCATCATTTGCATCTGCATTTGTACGAGTACAGTAAACTCACTTCCAAAATACTCCGTATAAGAGATTCTAAAGATATATGACACATCTTAGTACTATGAATCCAAACAATTCAAATTCATGATGTTAGAATGTGTCACATCCCTCTAAAATTCCTTAATATCATGGGACGGAAGGAGTACCTTGCATTTTGCATTTGTAGGAGTACAATAATATTGCCTCCGGTTTCATGCCCAATTTTAAATTTGTCTTTAGTTTTTTTGTTTGTCTTAAAATAGTTTAGTTTTAGGAATCATTGTATCGAAGTTTGTAAAAATATGAAATAAATACTGTATGTTGTGAGTGGATAAAAAAACAATCGTATTGGGATTTGATAAGGTGAGGATATTCTTTTTATTTATTTTTTTTTTATTGCTATGTGTAGGATGGGTGAAAAGTGAACTTATTCTAGGATGGAGATAGTAAGGCTAACTTTATTCATAAATACAAATATTTAACGCTTGTAACAAGATTTAACTAATTTTTTAAAATTCTAACAATCGATTTTATATTAAAATAAGTTTATAATATCATGGTATTACTTTTTCAGATAAATCTTTGTATCCCATTCTATTGTTTTTACACTAAGCATTTAAGAAGCTATTGATTATCGGAATTTTAAAAGTTTAACTGATTTTTATCTTAAACATCAAATATTTTTGATAGGAAGGAGCGCTTTCTTGCTTCAGCTTAATGGTCAATAATCAATGGATGAAATTTGCGTTAATTCTTCAATTCTTTTTCTGAAGAAATAAGAAGTGGGCATTCTTCGTTTTTACTCTGAAGAAATAGAAGGGGGTAGAGAGAGAAATGTGGGGAACAGAACTGCAGGAGTGAGATGTTTGTTTGTGTAATATTTTTTTTAAGATAATGGTGTTTGTGCGTGCAGTGTCATGCGTGCATGCGTGCAGCATGTGGCCTTCCGTGCGCTGGTGCGTTGAGGTGCCTGTGGCTGCCGGCGCTGCGGCCACATGCGAAGCTATGCGCCTACGCTTCCAGTGGCAATGGCATGGCACTCTCTATGGCAGCACGCGGCGCGCTTAACGGCGGGAGGTAAGCTGCCGCTCTGGGTAAGCAGTTACTCCTCCTACTAACCAAAAAAACCTAAATCTGACAGTTAAAATCTGAAAGATGCTCATGGTTCCTTTGAACGCTGTAGTTTTCTACTGTACGATTTTCTTCTTTCAGAAAAAAAATACTGTATGATTTTCACATGAAATGTATTCCCTCCGTTCAAAAAGACTTAAGGCTTTATTGTTTCACTTATGCTTGTGCTTATGCGAACCGTTTATTAGCAATTTAAAAATAATTTATGAGTAACACTTTTATATGTGTTCTTGGAGATTCAAAAGTAAATGATGTAAATAACATACGATAAAAAAAATCACAAAATCAACTATAACATTAAGTTTAAAATTCAAAATTTTGTTTGTAAGCATAAGTATAAATGAAACAATGGAGCTCTTAAGCACTTAAATTTTATTTTTTAAAAAAATCATTTCTACCTTATTTACTTCTGGTCCATAAATCAGTATGTTTTCTCTCTGACCTATCACTTCACAGTATTATTATTTCTTATGAAAAAGTACGAATTATACCCTTAAACTATCACGGTCGATCAAATTACCCCCCTAAACTCGAATACCGGATATTTTACACCCCTCAACTATACAAACCGGATAAATAACCCCCTAGCTCAATCAAAGTGGTTTTAATCCTACGTGGCAGTCCAGTTAGCAATTTTTTTTAAAAAAAAAATAGTGTGGGCCCCACCTATAAGACTCTCCCTATCTCTCTCCTCTCACCTCTCTCAATCTCTCTCTTCCCCAAATCTCTCTCTAGCTTCCCTCCTAGAACTGAAGAGCGCGGCGACGGCCGGTCGGCCTATCGTTGCTCGCTGCCGACCGAAGCCCCCTCCTCGTCGCTCCCGCCGCCGCCTGGAGCACCCTCCCACCTGCTGTACGCGCTGTCGGGTGGGGTGGCACGGTTCGGGCTGCACCACTGTGTCATTTACGCCACCAACGCCTTCCTCGACTCGGACCTCGGCTCCTTGGCCGAGTAGCTCGCCTCATAGTGGTGCCTCCTAGAGGGGAGGGAGAGGACGCCTGGACCCGACGCGCTGCCGACTGGAGCACCCTCCCATCCGCGCCCACCGCCGCTCGCCACCAACTGGTTCCCCTTTTGCCGCGGCGCCTGCCGCCAACCGGAGCACCCACCTGTCACGCCCAGAAATTCCTGAATAGAATTCCAAGCAGAATGTGCATTAAAATCCCCGTCCAGGACCGGCCGAGGTACACAAACGACAATGTTTACATTCAGATCCACGTCTTACAAACATCATAAAAGTCTTACATAAATGCAGCGGAAAAACGAAAGATAACTGGAGCTAAGCCTTGACTTGAACTGCAGCGGGAACACCACTCCACAGGCATCCTCGACGGCACGGACGAAGCCTACTCCTCGGAGAAACCACCATCTGACACATACTTGTACTCTGGGGTTGGGGAAAATAGAGCAAGACTGAGTACTACCCACTGTACTCAGCAAGTCATACCGGAATAGGGGTATGATGCAGGGAATTATCAAAGGAGAGCTAGAGTGGTTCATTTGCATAAGGCGAGCATTTATAAACAGAAGTTGAAAGAATTAAACAGTTGTAATAATTAATCAATATTATCCATCCACTGTCCAACGCTATACCACGTTGCGACAGGCCCAACCATCCACCTATACTATCCAATTTCATTAGACTAAACTAGGGTGAGACTAATCACGGTGAATCTGGTTGACTGCCCATAACCGCGGGCACGACTATTCGAATAGTTTTACTCTGATCAGAGGTGTACAACTGTACCCACAAGACACAGCCCCACGACACGTTTCCGTGCACCGACATGCCACCACGACATACCGGAAAGAGGCCGTGACAGGACCCTTCGCATAACCCCCTCTAACCAAGCACACCACACCTCAGGTTTCACCCCCACTCCTCGCAAGGCAGCGGGCAGTCCCCTCTCTTGCCTAGGTGAATCCGGAAGCCGCATAGGCCGTCGCAGGGCCCATCCAAACTCCATCACGCCCACCCTTGCCTGGATGCGTCGGCTAGAGAAAAGCTACACTACAAGCCCAGCCGTTGCCCACGCTGGCTTGTGGTAAGTACGATAAGTTCTTCCAGGGCATCCCGCGAACCGGTCCTTAACTGCCATGGGTGCGACCAACAAAACCATGCACCCACAGCCCACCATGTGATTTATTTTAATTAACCAACACCGAAGCGGTGTCACTAATCCAACATTACCATTAGAACCTACCGTCTAAACATTAATAGGATCTCCCTCATTGTGTGCTAGTTGAACTAAGCATGGCTAAGCAATCCCTAGTCTAATCTCTAGTCATGTTATATCCCAAGCTAACAAAGGAACATGGTACAAAATAGTACGGCTATGACAGTAGGTAAACATCCCATAGTAACATTATAAAACAATACAGTATTTGAAGAAAAACAATAGAGCATTTGCAATATAGGATCAACATGTTCAAGTGACAAGCATGACTTGCCTTGCTCTGCTGCTGGAGGAACCTCGGCGACTATTTGGAAGTACACCGGAGCGTCGGAAGAACCGGAATCTAAGCGACATACAAAGCAAACAATACAAACAGGCTATAAGACTATTGAAACAGAGAACAAAACCATTTTTAATGGATTCTACACATTTTTCTTGATTTACTGAGACTTGAATGGGCTTAAACGGAGCACAGATGAATTAGTTATGAATTTTAGAAGATTCAATGTGTTTATTACTATAACAAAAGTCCTTAAATCATTTATTGCGCAATAAGCCCCAGGGCTAACGTCATCCCGGGGGGGGGGGTCGGCGTCGACAGGCGGGGCCCGCATGTCAGTGGAGCACGGGTGGTCGGTCTACCGTGGACCAGGACCACGCGGATGGTCCACCGCCAGTCCACGGGATCGACGGCCCAGATCGGCCCGGGGCCGATCGGACGGTGCGGCGGCGGCCTGGCTCGGCTCGGCTCGGCACAAAGCCGGCCGGCCGGCCATGGCAAGGGCGGCGGCGCGCGCACGCGACCACCGGCGATGGCAAGCGGCGGCGAGGGCGGCGGCAGCGGACGGCGCCCCGGCGGCGGTGACGACCGAAGGCGACGGCGAGCGCGGGTGACGGCGGCGCACGGGGAAACGGGGAAGGAAAGGAAAGGGGAGGGAGTCCTCACCGGAGGGGCGGCGACGACCGGTGACGAGGAGCGACGGAGGGAGGTCGACAAGCGGCGGACGGGGTCCGGGACGACCTAAAGAACGAAAAGAAAAAGATTAGAGAGGGAGAGAGGGGCCATAGAAGGCGGGAACGCCGGCCGAAGGCGGCGGACATGGCGGCTCTCACCGTCGCATGGCGGGAATGGCGCTCCGGCGGCGAACCTCGACGGAGAAGGGGTGGACGGGGTGGACCTTGGCCACGCGAACCCGACGGTGGCGACGACGTGGTGTGGCGGCGAGCCTAGCGTCGGCTAGCAGCGGCCGGAGTAGCGGGAGCGGCGGTGGCGGATGGGTGCACGGCGCGGGAGCGATGGAGAGCTCGGGAGAGTTCGGCGAGATGGGTAAAAAGAGAGAGGGGGTGGCGGTGGAGCTTAAATAGGGGAGGAGGAACTCGGACGTGGCCGGTAAGGGCGGGATTCGCCAGCCGACGTGGGGAGGTGGAGGTGGAGAGAGAGGCGGGATTCGGAATTCGAATCCCGGCCATCTCGGGCGCGGGCGCGAGCGGGAGAGAGGAGGAGTGGGTGCGGGAGGCGCGGCGCATGCGCGGGCGTGGCCGACGTGGCTCGGAGGAGGCGGGGATGTGGGCGCGGCGGCGGTTTCGGCGGTGGTGGCAACGTGGGGCGGGCGGCCGGAGGAAGGGGACGACCCCGACAGGTGGGGCCCACCTGTCGGCGTCCCGGGGAGAGAGGGAGGGGCGGCTTGGGCCGGCCCACAAGGAGGAGGGCGCGCGCGGCGGCGGGGTGGATTGGGCCGACGGCCCAAGAAGAGGAAAAGGAGGGAAAAGAAAAAGAAAAGGAGGAAAAGATTTTCCCTGGGATTTAAAATTGCATGTGCTCAATTTTAATTGGTTAAAATTATTTCGAGAGCTCTGAAAATTCCACTAAAAATCTTGTTAGCGAATTTCGACATGTAGAACTCAAAAAAAATTCCACATGCCAATTCCGATTATTATTTGCATTAATTTATTAAGGTCTACTCTTGCTTTACACTGGTATTTTCTTGAGACCATTTATAACTTCAATTTAGGCTTGGGAAAGAACTTCGGGGTGTGACACCACCCAGCCGCGTCCACCGCTGACTAGTTCCCCTTTCCCCACTGCGCACACCGCCGACAGTAGCACCCACCCAGCCACGCCCCGCCGCCCCAGCCACTCATGCGAGCTTCGGCTCCACCACCGCCGTCGCCACCTTCACGCAAGTGCGAGCTCCGACTCTGCCAGCCGCTGCCGCTCGCTGCAAGGAGGGAGGAGAGAGAGAGAGAGAGTGTGTGTGTGTGGATCGGGATCGAGGAAGAGAGAGTAGAGACTAGAGAGAAATTGAGATGTGAGAGGAGAAAGATAGATAGGGAGAGTCTTATAGGTGGGGCCCACACTATTTTTTATAAAAAAAATTGCTGACTAGACTGCCACGTAGGATTAAAACCACTTTGGATTGAGCTAGGGGGGTTATTTATCTGGTTTGTATAGTTGAGAGTGTAAAATATCCGGTATTCGAGTTTAGGGGGATAATTCGATCGACCATGATAGTTTAGGGGTGTAATTCATATCTTTTCCTATTTCTTATAATAAGAGGTACTTTGATCTTTTATCCCTGCCACTAATTTGTTAATCAATGGCTAGAAATAGAGTTTTAGGGTGTGTTTGAGGAGGAGGGGATTGAGAAGATTGGGAAGATACGCAAAACGAGGTGAGCCATTAGCGTATGATTAGTTGAGTATTAACTATTTTAAATTTTAAAAATGGATTAATATGATTTTTAAAGCAACTTTTCTATAGAATTTTTTTACAATAAACGCACCGTTTAGTAGTTTGGGAAGCGTGCGTGCAGAAAATGAGATATTTTCTCACCCGGGAACGAACGAAGCGACTAAGATGGCGGGAGTAATTTATTTTCTTTTACTAGTAGTAAGATTTATGCAAAATTCATCAGTTCTAAAGGAGCCCTGAGTACTGGAGTACCCTTTGGCAGTTCTTTGTCGATACTATTGCAAATTTCAAGCCACCATTTTTGCGTTGAATTTTTTTTTTCATGGCATGTAAACTTGTAAGAAGAAAAATGTGGCACATCAGGCAACGAGTAACAGAAAACTAAGGCTGTGTTTGAGAAGAGGACGTAGAGGAGATTGGAAAGATACGTAAAACGAGATGAGCCATTAGTACATGATTAATTGACTATTAACTATTTCAAACTTCAAAAATAGATTAATATGATTTTTTAAAGCAACTTTTATATAGATTTTTTTTTGCAAAAAACACACCGTTTAGTAGTTTGGGAAGCGTATGCATGAAAAACGAAACAAACTGACTTACAATCACCCAGGAAAGAACACAGCCTAAATACTACTCGTAGTGTAACTATATCGAATTAAATTCTACAAGTTCTGGCATCCAACGAAACGGCCATTTAGTGCAAGATGGTGATAGAAGTGCAACCGGCTCTTTCAGTTTTGTTGCACCCATGCACACTAAGGCCATTTCCAATCCAGTATTGCCATAGCATTAAATAAACTGTCACCTAGAATTAAAGATGATGTGGCAAGTGAATAAATGATGAAAGAGAAGGAAACCAGGTATTGCATGAGACATGGTTTCTACATAACATTCAAGACATCATGTGAGATAAGTAGCATTTAATTTAAGTATGTAAAATTGATATTTGCATTGTAAGAGTAGTGTTTGGTACTAGTTTCTTGATGATGTGAAGTTTATAGAAACTATGTCTAGTATCTTGGGTTGGGACTGGTCTAATATCCGAGACATTTTTTCGGCTCATTACTCCCATAGACTATTAAATTAAATTTGTGTATTAGAGCGTCTTCAATGTAAAGCGTCAATATTGAGTGCTTAATTAATTTAGTTACGTAATTAAGTAGTACTATCTGTCTAAGAACTCTCTTGAATGCAAACATCTCCTTCTATGTGCTTATAAATCAAGTAGTTGAGGACTTGAGGTAAGCTTTATATAGGGCATGTACAACGGTCAACTTTATTAGCGGATTTTTTTTATTGCCATGTAAGTAAATTTAATGGCATAGAAGAAAAAGAGGGGAGGAAGGAGAAACATGATTACTATGTATGACATCGGCTTAGATACAACTTTTAGCATTTATAAGAAAATTTTGTTGCATAAGGATAAAAGAAAGGAAAAAAGAGTACTAGTAAGAAAAAAATATTTAGGTGCATTAATGGTTAAAGACCATATAATCTCGGTTGTTGTAAGAAGTTAGTCTCTATATGGAATAAAGCTCATACCTGACTCTATATTTATTTGTAGATGCCCTCACACAGTTGAGCATCTGCTCTGCTAAGCATCGATGCTTCAGGATTAACACCTCTCTTATACTAAGTGGCAAGACAAAACAGTTATTTCTTTATAAGCACATACTTAAGCATCCACATTGGAGATGGCCATACTCTCTCACGATATTTCTCTTTTTTTTCTTTTATGTAAGTTATCTGTTGACTCTCCACAATGCATTCACCCTCCTTGATAAAATTTACATTGGGTTTCTCCCTAATGTACCTTATTTTTAAGGCTACGCAAAGTGCAGATGGCAAAGAGTAGCCGTCGAGCTGCTTGTGGCCCATGTTTTTTTTTTTAGCGAAACGACACATTAAAGTGCCATTTTTATTGAATAGAGTGAGAAAAAAAGTTGTACAAACACCAAAACTTTACAAAGAGGAAAAAATTTTATAGGATGATCTATGCAAGGTGTTTTGCTTCTGGCAGGACCCAAGTTTTGGCCTCCGATTTTCGTCATGAGGGACAGCGTTGCGAGCTTCATTTGCTGGAACACCTCTGGTTTCTTGCGGCCCATGTTTGACTCTCAAGAACACACTCATCATCCTTCTTAATAAAATTGACATTGGGTTACTCCTGAATGTCCCACATTTTAAGTGTGCTTGCTAGAATAGTGGTAGGTGCGTGGTTTCAATCCCGAGACCCGTGTGTTTAACTTCTGATACGCTCACACCTTCTTAATTAATTAGTTGGCACCGAGTTTTTTCTTAGTTGTCCAACATTGTGCAGCACAGATGACAAAGAACAGATGATGTCGAGCTACTCGCAGCCCGCATTTGACTCTCTAAATGCTCTCACCCTCCTTAATAAACCCTAATGTCCCATGTTTTTATATTATTTTTTAATTGTTAATGCTTATTTGCTCATGCCAGTAGTTTCTAAGATCCCGGTATTATGGAAATAGATGTAACTAATAACCATGAATAATTTTGAAATGATTATGTAACATATTATTTTAACATCTCGTAGTATTTCGTATCTAAAAGAACATGAATAAATTCATATACAAAACAGAAATGTATGTATATGCTTAAGTTTGATGAGCCGATTTTCCTAGTTTTGGGCTCAGATGGGCTAGAGAAGGTTTTAGGCGTCAATTGTTGTTGGCGAAATCCGTTTAGGAAGTGAACTGAACTTAAATCTTTTGCAAATTTTTTCAGGCTGGAGCTGTCGTGTAATCACCTCTATATGCCGGCCCATGCATGTAGAAAGCGAGAGTACTGCGAAGTCAAAGTGGGGGACATGAGCCGTAGCTGTTGTTTTCTCTTGCAACCGCGTGATCTGGTGAGGTCAGAGTCGTTGTGCTCCACGAGTGGATTACCAAACTGCAATGTTATTAATGTGTTACCGTGCAAGAAGCCAAAGTGCAAACGGACAAGTACTCACGCAGGAAAATTCGTGATTGAAATTCGGACTTTCAGAGTGACTGGAACAAGGTACGTAATTTTCTATGTTGTTTGAACGGTTTCGTAATCTAGTTGTTTGTTCGTCAAAACCTTTTTTAAGTAATCTTATGTAGCTCTTGTGTAAGTGTGTAACTCTTGGCTATGTATATTCCTGGTAGATGTAGAGGTAGGATTTAATCAATCCGTTTTCTCCTGTAATAATATTTTTTAAAAATATATTTATATAAAGAATGAAATAAAATGCTCTTTCTGTTTCATATTATAAGTCGTTTGACTTTTTTTTAAGTTAAACTATGTTACTCCCTCCGTTTTATAATGTAAGTCATTCTAACATTTTCCACATTCGTATGGATGTTAGTGAATCTAGACATATACATCCATATGAATGTGAGAAATGTTAGAATGACTTACATTATGAAACGGAGGGAGTAAGTTTGACTAAGTTTATATAAAAATTTAGCAACATCTGAAATATCAAATTAGTTTCATTAAATCTAACATTGCATATATTTTGATAATATGTTTGTTTTGTGATGAAAATACTACTATATTTTTCTATAAATTTGGTCAAATTTAAAAAAGTTTGACTAGGAAAAAATCAAACGACTTATAATATAAAACAGATGGAGTAGCATTTTAGTTCAAATTCAAAACGTCATATTGGTAATTGATATGTCCAAAATTATCAAGTTCTGTTCACCAAGAGCAAGAACATTTATCCCTTGACTTAGCTTGAAGGGATGCTAATGTCCTTGTGTCATGAACATGCTGTAGGGGAAATCTCTTGCAAAATGGAAGGATAAATACCGTTTACACTGGATGGTAGGGTACCAACCCTTATGATAAGTAAAATCATTGGCGTGAAGGGGAATATTCAATATTAGTGCTTGTCCAGTGTCAATGTCACCAAAGATTGTAATCAGAACAGATCAGCTTACCTGAAGTCAACCACCGGGTTTTTCTCAAAGTCTGGTTCCTAACCAACATATAACAATATGACAAAGAAAGAACATACAGTACCCAACAATGGAGAGAAATTACAAATTCTCTCTCTCTTTTTTTAGAGGGGAAGTTGTAGCCTCTGCAGGCTTTGTAAATTAACAACCTCATGCTTAGTATTGACAACTCTTTTAAAAAAACTCCTATTTAGTGTTTGTTAAATCTCGCAGGAAATCTTGTACTTTTGGACAGGATCCATGATACCCGTTCTTAACTGGGATCAAGTCAGCCTTTCCTCTTTGTTCAAGCAAAAGATCTTATTTTTGCATTGGTGTTCCATGTACTGCACCAGACTAAACTTCACCTGTTGATCACCCTTGTCTTTCATTCTCATAACTATATAATTAGCTAGCTGCCTAGCTGTGATTAACAATAACTACAGAATGCAATGGAATGAAATAAAAAGCATAACTTTCCTTATCACTGCAGGCCTTAATAAGTTAATATCTTCTCTTACTCCTCCGTCCAAAAATATATCTATTTCTGGTTATAAATTTATAATTACTCATTCTATCTTAAAATGCAATTATTTATAGCTAGGAATTTAGATTATCTAAAATTGTGGCTAAAAATAGCTACATTTTAAAATGGGGAAGAAACTATTATCCTCTTGATCATCAGCTACACTTTGCAGTTTGCTGACTTCTTCTGTGGCAGATACAAATGTGCCTTCTAGCAGTTACTGCATTGTCAGAAACCCATGCATGCAAGGAAACAAACAATTGTGTGGGTGAGCTCAGTTAATTGCTACAGTACTCTATCACCAATACAAAGATCAAATTGGTGACATAAGACTCTGGGCCAGCATAGTCACTGCTTGCAAAAGATTTTTTGATGGGTTTGCCCATCAAACAAGCTTCATCAGGCAGGCAATATAGAAATATCAGAAGCCAATTAGCTAGCATAAGTTTCTTTCAGAAAAAAAAAAGTTAGCAGCATAAGCCATGCACCTTAGCTTGTTGCCGACGACAAATGATGCAAGTTTAGAACACAGCCATGCAAAAAGGAGGAGCAGAGAAGAAAAGCACAAATTTTGACAATTTGACTCTTTGCAAAAACTATTTTTACAAATGAACCGCTGCCAAAACTTATTTCAAATCTGACCTTTTTGCTCAACGCCAAATCATGTGGCGCTGAACTTAGACATCTCAGCGCCACGTCAACTGGCGCTGAATGCCGTGCCACGACGGATGGGAGACTATGTCAGCGTGCCAACGTACATTCAGCGCCATGCTATTTGGCGCTGAGGTATCTAAGTTCAGTGCCACACGATTTGGCGTTGAGCAAAAGGGTCAGATTTGAAATAAGTTTTGGCAGCGGTTCATTTGTAAAAATAGTTTTTGCAAAGGGTCAAATTGTCAAAATTTGTGGAAGAAAAGGACTTGCATTGACTTGTTTAGTGGGTTGATCCATCCTCTTCCAAGCTAGGTCCTACTACTCCTCTTGTGGGTTTAGTTGGCTCCATGAATTAGCCTTTTCATTAACAAATCATGAAGCAGTTTAGACTAAACCGCAATGCAAAGCACCTTTCTACCTAAGATGAAGTTTACCTTATCCCATGAAATTGAGGCATCAACCTTGAATGCCCCCACACTGATCTCTCTTGAAGCCAACCACCATGTAAACATAGACAAGCTCATAATGTTCTGAGGCAGACTAATGATTTCAAATTGATTAGAGTTGGAACCATAAATCATAGTAGTATGCTATGCTATAGTGGCATTCAGTTTACTCCATAGATTCTGAATATTTTCATACTCAGTAAGGTCTCATGTATATCTTCTTTTTCAGAGATTTTATGAAAAAAAATTATCTGTAATCCTTTTTGGTCAGATAGTTCTTGCCTTTTTCAGATCAAGCATTCCACAGGCATTCCCCTTGTTCTTTTCAGCCAGTACACCATGGACTGTTCCAGTACAGTTTTAAATCACAAGTTCCTACCAAACCAATCTACTTTTCAAAAGAACAAGGGTGCAGAACAACGAGATTGGGTCCCAGTAATTTCTCAATTTGTTTGTTTCCTAATGTATGTGTGTGTGCTGCATTCTACTTGATCCTGGTTGTTGCTAATGTTGGACCATTCACCCGGCATAGCTCTGTTCATAAACTGTGCCATAGTTCCTGTAGGAATGAAGAATGAACAAAAAAAAAATCATAAACCGTTTAGAGCTCTGTTCTTAAAACTTAGGAGTAACTGATTTTTTTCTCCTGTTTTCAGTGTGAACTCTTTCTTCCGTCGACGTGTATCTCTTCTTTATCAATGAAATGAGGCAGAGCTTTGTTTCAAAAACTGAATAAAACTCTTCAGATTCATGAGGGAGTAACTGAACTGTTTGAGCAAAGTTTCTATCCTCCAAATGGAGCCCAATTGGTAGCGAAAATGCAGTAAGAGGATTAATCACTTAACTAATTAACATAGCTTTTTCATGAAGTTAAGTACTGTACTACTCTAGATAACTAACTGAAATATACATTCTTCCTTTAGAACAACCACACCATGACATCATTCTTCATCTTCTTTCCCTCAGTGAATCAAATCCAAAACATCATCAACAGCATTAATTACAGTCGCACAAAAATACTACGGCGAAACATCCATTCTTGCAGGGAAGCCTTTGATCCCTTTTTGTCGCCTTCGATCATTGACTGAGCTGACCAAATCATCATGGAATACGTACACTACTTCTGCACACTTTCACATTGAATGCCAGATCTGCAAAATCAACCACAAATTCCAAAACAATCTGCTGCTATGGTTAGGACACTGTTCATGATGCTAATTGCTGTCACTAAGCTGCAGGTGGTGATGGTGGCTTGGCATTAGAGCAGATAGAGAGTAGTTTAATTAATTATATGCTTTGCTCAATCAGGTCAAAGATTCACATATGCCCAATTAATCTAAACCTGGACATCCGTACGTATTTGCAAGAAGTACCTGGAAACATGTCAGTTAATTAACTACCAGTGCTTTTTTTTGTTCAGAAACATGATAAGGATTTCAGGCTCGTGTGGTCTAAGAACAGCCGTATATACGGGTCTGTCTGTACACTGGGTAGCAGCATGACACAATCAACCGTGTAAAATTGTAATTATTTTTTTTTTTGGCAAGGGCCCGTATAATCTTCGTCTTTTGTCTGAAGAGAGCTAGCCTATGAGCTATCCATTACTATTCATCACAACTCACAAGACCTAGACCTCTGTGAGTACTGGATTTCTGAAAATTGTTGAGCAACTTCAGCTTCTATGCATAATATACAAGTGCCAATTAGGAGGTCAACTACTAGCCTGCTGCTAGTAGCCCTGGTCAAAAAGAAAAAAAATCAATCATTTTTTTAGAAGTTTTGAGGTCAACAAAAACTCCAGTTTGTCAGAGAAATATATTGGAAAAAAGCAGGGCTAGATACATCAAAAGCTCTATATATGTGTTCGCTTACATCTCATAGTTTTGCCTACAGCTGATTACAAGCCGTTACGCTTATCAGCGATGAAAAAACAATTTACAGTCAAAACTCTTAAATATGTGTTCTTAGCGGTTTAAAAGTAAATATTGAAAAATAAACTACAACGAAGAAAACATCAAAATCAACTCTATTTAATTTTTAAAATTTAAATTTTATCTATAATTAATAAGCTAAAGAGTAAACGATGGAGCATGTTTCCCATAACATTTTAACTCATACTGTTTTCATACTTCTAAACTAGCCCTACAAATGTTGAAGTCGATGCGGTTAAATTCTGCTAAAATCTGATTGGGCAGCATTTTTCTTACAGCAATATTAATACAAACTAACAACCATGCTGTGTACCGTACGAACAACCATGCAGAATTTGCAGCATGGTCGTCAGGGCTTTGCATGCATGCATTGCAATCGGAGACCTGACCTTTCACATGTGCCTTCATCAGATCATCTCTGGTGGTGGTGCCTGCAAAGCATGATTGTTCTTCGTCATCGATCCCTCATCTATCTGCAATTCTGCATTGCATTGCATTGATAAATTAGTTGGGCATTTGGACATTTGCAGTTTGGGGGAAAGAACTGTAGTTAGTGTACCTTCCCGGCCGTATGGTCAGCGTCAGAGCATGCAAGCATAGAGCTGGCAACAGGCTCCAGTTGACAAACAACTCCAAGAAAAGAATACGCGAGCTTAATTAGATTGCCCGTCAGATATCATGGAAGCTGCACCAGCTTAATTAACTTCAACATGTCTTTGATTATCTGGACTCTGGACTCTGGAGTGTATAAGTGTATTTATCATCGAAGCACTGAAGGGCATGATATGCTTGGGAACAAGTACTTTGGTCCCGTTCTTTTCTCCAACAAGAGTTGGATAAAAATTAAGATTTTCGTGACACACTTTTCAAACTACTAAACAGTGCGTTTCGTGCGAAAACTTTCTATATAAAAGTTGCTATAAAATATTATATTAATCTATTTTTTAAGTTTGTAATAATTAAAACTCAATCAATCATACGTTAGTTCCACCTCGTTTTGCGTAAAAAAAACTTAATCTTAATCTTCATCTTCAAGAGAAAAGTACACTACCTTTGTCTGGTCATCGACTCTTTTACCCTCTTCAAGGTGCAAATTTGACCACATTTTCATAATAGAGTAAATTTATAAAATCTAATAAACCTATGAGGTTATGAGAATAGTTTTCCAGACAAATCTACATATATTACTTTTATGTTTTGAAATGAAGTATTTTAGAAATTATTAATAGTTAAAGTTTCGAAAGTTTGACTAAAAAGTCAAACATCATACTGCAGGATTTATGTTTTGTGTTTTTTTGTCTAACCTTAGGTGTGCTCATATTCAGTAAGAAAAAGAACTTTCTAACTCTACCCCTATTCAGTTATGTATATGCAGCGCTCTTTCAGATTTCGTTCAAAAAAGAGAGAGAATTTTCAGAATTTTTCTCTCTAAAAGGCATAACTTTTCAATGCTATTACCAAGCCCATTACAAAGAAGATCATGTTACATCACCGCGGTTTACCACAGAGAAGAGGAGAATGCAGAGATGCAGGGTCTTGCAGTTCTCGTTCAAAAAGAAACACAAACATTTCAGAAAAATAAATTTCTGAAAGGCATAACTTTCCAATGCTATTACCAAGCACATTGCAAAGAAGATCATGTTACATCACCACAGTTTTTACAGAGAGAGGAGAACACAAAGATGCAGGGAGAAAGTGAGAAAGTTCAGGCCTTTTAGGGGGGAGGGTGAGACAGGTGATCTGAAGGAACAACAAATCATAAAATGTTTGCGTGCATGGGGTGCTAATCAAGCGTCCATAATGAAACAGTCCACAAATGACGCAGGCAATTAACCATTAATTTCTCAAAGCGATGGAAGAGTGAAAGAAAGAAAGAAAAAAGATCGATTTGTTGGATGATCTGATGGGAGGAGTTGCTGCTGCTGACCTCGGATTAGTTCAGTTTCTCTCTGATCAAGTAGTAGTAAACACGAAGACTCTTTTGACAAAAGCTTGGCCCAATTCAGTTCCTTCACCTTGACTCCAGTGCAGGCAGCTGATGCCAAACTGCTAGGTGACAAACCTGCATGAACTCATCCAATCATTATATATTTACGTGCTACGTGCATGTGTATGATGCTTGCTTGTCACCTAACCATCAATCCATCAAACATGCAGTCAAGGTGTATTATTCAGTATATCCACTTCTGAATTGTAACAGTACATACAATTAGTGTGTTTTACATGACTGAATGATGCTTTGTAGTATGATGCAGAGAAGTGCTAACTTCCTTACACTTAGATAGTTACATGTATGAAGGACAGAAATATACGATTGCAAATCTTCAAAGCATTTCTAATTGCAAATTTGTTGGTGTACATGAACATGAAATTCTAGTTAATACCTGAATTTTCTGTAATGGGACATACACAGGCCACAGTGTTGCAGTCACGGACAGGGTTTACCTTCCCGTTTTGGAAGTGATAACCGCTCCCCACTGGTTTGCCGAAAACCAGTAAAAACCAATAACTTTTGGTCAACTCCGTAAAAATACTAGCTAAAATCCATCGGTTTTACAAACCGACCATCGGCGGTTCCACGAAAATCGATCGGTTTTGTTAACCCTGGTCATGGAAGCATCAAGCATATTTCCCGTACATGTGTACACAATAGAGTTGTGACATGTGGACACAACAGTTAATCTACTACTATACTAGTATTCTGAAACTCTGAATTTGTGGAGCTAGTCAAGTAGACAGATCATACTATTCCCCAATTTCTTTCAGTGGGACACGAACCATGCTATGCTCTCTCTGGGCTAACCTAGCTAGCTCTTGGCTGAAATTTCCAATCATCTTGCGTGTGCAAGACAGCAAAGTCTCCTCTGCACAAAGTAAGCGATTTAGCTGCAAAATCCCAATAGAAAATTTGCAAAAAAGTTTGATGCACTCCTACTACATATAGAGAGACAAAGACCACACGTAGGGGACAGGTTCTTCAGGTCCCAGGCTTCAACCAGTATATATAAAGCATTAAGCAGGCAGACATCTTCTTCAGGCCACCACTTCAAAGCTAAGGATCAGAAGCACTGATCGATCAGCATTTTTCAGCTAGCTGATCGATCAGTTGGGCTTCAGTTCAGTGAAGTTCTTGACATGGGAAGATCACCTTGCTGCGATGAGAGTGGCCTCAAGAAGGGGCCATGGACACCGGAGGAGGATGAGAAGCTGCTCCACTACATCCAGAAGAATGGCCATGGCAGCTGGAGGACACTGCCCAGGCTTGCAGGTACAGTTCTTCAGTCCCCAGCTCCAAACTTCTTCAGACTGTCAGTTTGTCAACACAATACCAACTCCACTGCACCTGAATTAAGAAGTGCTTTTTTAAAAAGCAATAATTCAGACGTGATATGTAACTGCAACTGAATTCAGATGTTGTTACAAATTATAGACTTGAATTTAGAGTACAATGCCAATAGAGTGGCAGACACAGAGGAAAAAAAATTCATGATTCGAAAAGCACTCATTTGCACAATGATTGTAGAATTTAACACCTGATATCTGAATCTTCTGCTGATCTAGCCTGATCAATGAACACCTTGTGATTCGCAGGTTTGAACAGGTGTGGCAAGAGCTGCAGGCTGCGGTGGACGAACTACCTGAGGCCGGACATCAAGAGGGGCAAGTTCTCCCAGGAGGAGGAGCAGACCATCCTCCACCTCCACTCCATCCTCGGCAACAAGTAGGATTATTCCGTCCATTGATCATCGATTCGATCGATCGATCGATCGCCATGAGAGCTCGATTTCTGAGCTTGCAATGGATTTTTTGTTTTGTTTATGCAGGTGGTCGGCGATCGCGACGCACCTGCCGGGGAGGACGGACAACGAGATCAAGAACTTCTGGAACACGCACCTCAAGAAGCGTCTCATACAGATGGGGTTCGACCCCATGACGCACCGGCCGCGCACCGACTTCTTCGCCGCGCTGCCGCAGCTCATCGCGCTCGCCACCCTCCGTGACCAGCTCGCCGCGACGGCGTGCGGCGGCGGCGGCGGTGGCGACACGGCGGCGGCGGCGGCGGCGCAGATCATGCAGGGCGCCGGTGGTGGTGGTGGCGCCGACGTTGCCATCCAGGCCGCCAAGATGCAGTACCTGCAGTGCCTCCTCCAGTCCGCCGCCTCCACCATCGCCTCGGCCGGCTCCGGCGGCGGCGGCGGCGGCGCCATGTCCGCGCACGACGCCGACGCGGCTCTCGCCGCCGCCGCCGCCGCCGCGGCCACCTGCTCGTCGTCGCCTGCAGGCAGCTCTGTCCCGATCACGCCGACGGCCGTAGGCCATTCCGGCGGCGGCCAGACCCAGACGACACCGTGCGCGTTTTCCGAGGCTCCGGTGATCACGAGCGACGACGTCGAGGCCAACCTGAGGCTCCTCGGCTGCGGCGCCGGCGGCGCCGACGCGTTCACGTGCCACGGTGGCTCTCTGCCGCCGCTCGCCGATCTCTCCGACGTGACGACGACGACGATGACGAACCCGTTGGACTGGTGCAGCGCGACGGCGTCGGCGTCCAGCTGCGGCGGCGGCGGCGGCGCGAGCAGCCCGTTCCCGTGGCCGGAGTTCTTCCACGACGACCCCTTCATCACTGATTTCCTATGACGTCATGATAATACTGCCATAATAACGTATACGAATGAATATAATACGTACCTTATACCTATATATATACGTACGCTGATCTATTCACAACTTTTGTAAGATCTATACACGTCTGCATGTATAAAAAGTACTACGTATAATTTTTTTTTTGTGAGGAGAACTTGTACGGCTACACTGACAGTTCTCTTTTGAGACTCTGAAAATTAATTAAAGATTAGAAGCTTCGAATAGACTGGTTTAGAGTTGTCTAATATCCAGCTCAACGAAAAAGGATTGAACGAAGACCAATTTATTTGGAATTCAAGAGATATAGTATAAAGAAAGTTCATAATACATTCTAATTTTTTAGAAGCACAGTACAAATGTAGGCGCTCGTATAAACGTGTGCACACTCACCGTATAAATACACACATGTGCACCCCATCCCTATAAGCACCTCCAAATACTAGACCGCAAGCGCTCACATAAACACGCACGCATTCACTGCTATGAACACATACATGTACACCCTATCTTTGAACATCGTCGAATACTAGGTTGTATAAGCGCTCTTTTAAATGTGTGCACTCTCTATGAATGCACACACAGACATCTTATTTCTATGAGTACCTTCGGATACTAGGGTGGCATATCTTGAAATTTACGAAATTACTATAGGCGTCTCTCTGTCAACGGGTACGTGACTTACCACTGAAAAATAATTAGCCGTAAATACGAACGCATGTGCCGAGTCTAAGACTTAGAACCCGAGTGAGCAGGTTCTACCACCATGAATTTTACCAGATGAGATACATGTATAAGTGTGTGGCGATGTTAAAACACTAAAGTGCAAATTCGGATAAGAAAGAAATGAAAGTTTCGAGTGTCCTTAGAAGTAAAAAAGTATGGGACTAGCATATATTTATGCCATCATACTTATCTAAATAAATGATTTTTTTAAGAAATAGAAGGCACAAATATCACAGGCATTTTTTTTCAATATACTCCCTCCATTTTTTAATAGATGACGCTGTTGACTTTTTTTCACATGTTTGATCATTCGTCTTATTCAAAAATTTTATGCAAATGTATAAGATATAAATCACACTTAAAATACTATGAGTGATAAAAACAACTCATAACAAAATAAATTATAATTACATAAATTTTTTGAATAAGACGAATGGTCAAACATGTGAGAAAAAGTCAACGACGTCATCTATTAAAAAACAGAGACAGTATATTGGACAGACTATCCAACATCTTTTAATTTCCCACTCGTGTTGTTTATAATGCTATTACTTCTACTAACGAAGTTCCATCCAAGGATGTTGAGAATACATGGATGTTTCATAAGTAGCTACACAGTCAAGCAGACAGGTTTTCCCTGTCGGGTCATCGTCAAGGACAATTTTTCTGTCCGTATTTTGATTTTCCCTGATGGTTTTTGGCTGTCGTGAAAGATACAAAAACGTTTCTGGACGTGATACTAATTTTTTCAACTTGATCTTGTGCCTTAGGTTTGTCAACTTGGCTATATTTCCAACAAAAAAAAAAAGCTTTGGCTACATTTTTTAAGATAATAGATAAATCAGACGTTGTATCTAAAATGCACAAAACCACCATCAATTCTTACAATAGTATAACATTTTTAGAAAGATAAATACGCAAAGAAGAAGCATCCGTTCAAAAAATATATGCAAAGAAGAATCATTCGTTCAAAAAAAATGCGCAAAGAAGTTTAAATTTTTTTTTGTCAACTTGTGAATATCCTATTGATATATATCCACCCATGGGCAGGATATGCACAAGTTGATGCAACTGACTCACCATGCTTCTTTTTTAAGCAAATACCAAAAGAGTGGCTATGAAGAGTACGTAAAAATCATTTGGGTTAGTCAAATTCGCTATATAGCCATAATGTTGTTTTGATAGAAAGAAATTTTATCATCTATCCTACATGCATGTTATTGGCACAATACTTTTTCGATCCATAGATCTTTGATGCGTGGATAGAAGTTGTATATTTAGGGAGTCAAGGGTTTGTCCTATCATTTTTTTTCTTTGTTTCAATGTCGCGCGTTTAGCTTTTGTTCCTCCTGACTTGTTTGCGTTTTGCCAGCGACATTAGAGCTTTGTGCCTATGCCGTGTAGTTAGCTAGAGTTCCTAGCAGTCACTTGTTTTGTTTCTGTTTTGCCTAATGTACCATACTCTTAGGACAATAGCAATGCGTCAGTCAATTTGTTTAGCCTGGGCTGCCAAGTGAGCTCAAGACCTTCAAAGGCCACATGATCCACAGTGCAATGTGCCTCAAAATCACGCTGGGAGAGCCAAGCAACATCCTCCACAACACGTCACAAACTTCTCCCCCACCCACCACGCCTCGATCCATGCAAAGAACGGCTGACCAAATTTAGTCACAACGAATTTGCTATATATTTATCGATAAATTTTCCTCCAAAAATTTGTCAAATATAATTACAGTACAATCGTAGTGTAATTATACTGTAACTATAATGTAACTTGTATGTAACTTTCAAGAATCTCTCGGTAACATGTTATTTCAGTAAAATAGAGGTCATGGGAACAAATCCTTTCACATATGTGTGTGCTGTGATTTTTTTTCTTCCTCACCAGAACAAATCTTGTAATAGATCTAACGATTCAAAATTACGTGAAACTTACATACAAATTACACTGTAGTTACATGCAAATTACAGTGTAATTACATACAAGTTATAGTGTAATTACACTGCGATTATACTATAATTACATCTATCAAATTTTTAGTAGAAAATTTGTCGACAAATATATAGGTGGTCCCCTCGGGCCAGATGATAAATCACCGCACTATGAAAGCCCTTATACTTTCAAGTAAAAGCTACTCTCTAAAAAAATGCCTTGCGTTTCCAATTTTTCTGTTGGGTAGCCAGTGCATAGCTCATATAGCATTGTTCCTTGAGACATCACGGTGGAGCATAATATTATTAATTACTAGTCCAGCTAGATCATACTACTAATTAATACTCCCTCTGTCCCACATAAAACGAATTTAGAATCAGATGTGACATATTCTAGTACTATAAATCTAGACATTATATGTATGTCCAGATTCATAGTACTAGGATACGTCACATGTGGTACTAAGTTGGTTTTTTTTTGGGACTGAGGGAGTAAGTTGAGGCAAAAACATACTACTCCTTCCATTCCAAGATATTAGAAGCTTTGGTTGGATGTTTGTCCAAATTTATATTACTAGATGCGTCTCATACAACCAAAGCTTTTAATATTTTGGGACGGATGGAATAGTAAATAATGACTCCTACGTGTTATTGATTCTGATCCTTATAAAAAAGTTCAAAATATATGTTGTGCAATTTACCCTTTTTGTCGGTGCTGAAAAAAATAAGATGCTACATGCTACTTCCCCCGTCCCATAAAAAAACCAATCTAGTACTAAATGTGACACATCATAGTTCAGTAAATCTGGACATGCCACTGTTCAGATTCGTTATATTTGGATGCGTCATATCAGGTCCTTAGATTCATTTTTTTTTCTAGAGACGGAGGGAGTAGTTCTAAAGTAATTAAACAGAGAACAGTATTCTTACTGTTGCACTGATTACATGCATGTAGGACAGAAATCAATACTAAATGTTAAGGATTTATATCCACCATTTTGTGCATATTTGCATTAGTTTCTAGGAGTACTTATGCATTTGCAGTCGATGATCCCCTTTCCGCTGAATTCTGAGCATGACATGACAGAATAGAAAGTGGATGTTGCTCTCTTTGTGTTCGTTGCTGTTGGCGACCGAACCTCCTACTCTTGAGACAATTAGGTTTGAGAAGATTGTACATGTGCCACAAAGGCTTCAGGAAAAAAAAAGATTAAGTAAACTACACTCCATACATAGACATAGTTAACAAATAATCGAGACCTGCCTTTTTCTCTCCATTTTCTTGTTGAGCAGGTATGAGTTTATTCACTCAATAATCACGGCTTGATGCTGCTGAATGGCGTGGTTACACCTGGCATGTATTTGTATCAAACTGTTCTCATACTGCGTTTGCTCTTCTGAAATGCATGACTTGTCGACGAGTAGTTCAATTTTAATTTTAAATCTTATTTTGAGAGTTAATTTTGATGTTTTTTTATTGTACTTTATTTTAAACCGTTAAAAACACACATAAAAGTTTTACTAATAAATTATTTTTCAATCGCTGATACATGGATCGTGACAGTGCATGATGCAATGAAAAGTGTAGCTGGTTGTGGTTGCTTAGGACATCTTAGAGAAAGGTGGCAGCTTAGCACAGGATGCACACTATCGCACTGGAAAGAGGGACACTTGACGACTGAGCCGTCTGAGCTAGCGCTCTCGTACGTACGAACCTAATCCATGCCCCATGTAACTTGACTATTGTCTCTCAAGTTTGACAGGTCATGTAGAGATGATAGATCACCAGCTGAAAGCATGAAGAATAGAGTTACAAGTCCGGAGTTCCTATATATGATACTGTGCATAACCCAACTGCTTAATTGGTCCTACAGGAGGGTTATCTTCTTTTCTGTTGAGAAGTCCATGGGTGCCTTTTAAGTATAAACATAGTCTATTCATATCATTTAAAATTATCAAATTGCCTTTTAAGTATAAACATAGTTTAATCATATCATTTAAAATTATCAAATTTTAACGAGTAAAAAAATTGTTTGCATGGTTATAATTTTTGGGGGGGGGGGAGGATTTATGGTTACATTTAGCGTGTAATTAATGTAGTTCAATATTATAGCATAGTTTTAAATATTCATGAATCCGTTGCTACAATAGGAATGGTCAAATGTTAGGATATGAATAACACCCAATGACAAATAATTATAAACAAAGTATTTTATCAAAGGTCACCGAGTCATCAGATCCTAATATGAGTTATGTTCGTATATGAATTTGCCCTCCCTATATTACGCCAACTGCAGCTTAATTTAGAGCAAGTATAATACTATAACTTACTGTTGGCTCAAAACAAATTGCTATGGTTTTTTCTTAATTTTTTAAATATTTTTCATATTTGTGTTTATCCTTTTGCTCTTTCGAGAAGAGATCATCCGCCAATAGTTAAATAGGAGCTAACCTGATACAACTAGACATACCTTGGAATGTGTGTGGAGTTAACGATTATTTATTTTCTAGTTCACACTCTCTACTCCTTCCTCTTCTTCTTTTTTTTCGAAAACACACTGAGGCTAGAGCCTCAGGGCTTGTTTAGATTCAGGGACTAAATTTTAGTCCCAGACACATTGGATATTTGGACACTAATTAGAAGTATTAAATATAGACTACTGAGAAAACCCATTCCATAACCCTGGACTAATTCGCGAGACGAATCTATTGAGCCTAATTAATACATGATTAGCCTATGTGATGCTACAGTAAACATGTGCTAGTTATAGATTAATTAGGCTTAAAAAAATTATCTTGCGAATTAGCTCTCATTTATGCAATTAGTTTTATAAATAGTCTATATTTAATACTCTAAATTGATGTCTAAACATCGATGTAACAGGGAATAAAGTTTAGTCCCTGGATCCAAACACCACCTCAGTAGGATATAGTGATAGACAACTGCAAGTACATGCAGTTTTGCAGAGAGTCCCTTAACAGATGGGCAAAAAGAGATACATATCTGAAATTTGCAAAGAAGGCCTTCTAAAGACAAAAAAGCAATCAAGTCCTTCGTTCTTCCACCAAGATGAAGGCCAAATCTTTCGTGACGACAACAGGAGCAAGAAGATCAATAACAGTTACGAAAGAACACCAGGAAGCATACCCGCAAGGGGCCTCTGTAGTTGGAGGTTGAGGCTTCCTTAACAAAACAAATAAAACTCAGCCACCCCTTGAAGACCCGTTTTCGGTGACAAAGAAGGCATGCATCCTCATGAATAACTTGCCGGAGATGACGATGATAGCCGACGCGACCTCCTGCAATGGATATCCTCATCACTTCTATATGAGGACGTCGAGGATAAATCCATGGAAGCCAGTCACTTGAATCCATGTAGCAGCATCAAGACAAGAGAAATTGCAACAGAGACGGCCACTTGTGCTGTACAACAGACCCAAAATAACCAAAAAAAAGAAGAAGGGGAAAGACCCTACTACGGGAAGAACCTGACTACCTAAACCCTCTTTCCTATCACCGACGAGTGAATGTCGTCCGAATTGATGGGGAAAGGGGCCGGACGGAACGAGGAAGAAGCACTCTCTTTTTTTCTCCTGGAGAGTTCTCACCGAGAGAGAGAGATCTACCTTTTTTCACATGCCCATCTTTTCTTCCACTCCTTCCTCTTCTAGATCACCAGTTTTTCCAGCAGAGTCATGGACGCAATATAGCTGGCTAAAGTTGTCTATTGTACATGCTTTTACATATGCACATTTATACCTAATTCTTTTATCGTCCTAGTCTCATTTGAATTGGTCTCAAGCCTGATTAATCCTCGTGTATAGCCAGAATAGTTAAAATATTAAGGCTTATTTGTGAAGCTCTAGATTTTGAGAAACAAGTTAGGAACTAATGAGAATTTGGAGCTCCAACTGGTGTTGAGAATTCAACTCATCAACAGGTAAGAAGCAGCTGATCAGAATTTATCTTTTGGCTTCTACTTCTTCCATCTCAAAATAAAATCAGATTGGTTTATTTTAGGATGATGGAGAGAGTAGTTCATTTTCTAAATTCTACAACGAACATTGCTCCGCCAAATTGCCCCTAAATATCCAGGTTTATACTACACCATAAGATGATGGGCCGTAATCTCAGTCCGTCCAAAGGAGGCCCAACTAAAGAAACAGGGAAAAAGTGCACCGAAGGTCCCTCAACTTGAACTTGTTATCAGGATACAATAACGTCCTTGAACCGCAAAACCAGATATACAAGATCCCTTAACTATACAAAACCAGTCACAATAGGTCTCTCAGCGGTTTTGATCCCGGTTTTATCCTACGTGATTGCTGAGTCAGCATGGGACCCACGTGGGCCCCACATGTCAGCCTCCTCTTTCTTTCCCCTCTTCTCACCCTTCCTCTTCTCTCTCTCTCTCTTCTCTAGCTCTGGGCAGGCCGGCGCCCGGGCGAGGCGGGGGAGGAGATCCAGCGGCCGGCGACGTGGCGGCGGTGGCGGCGGCGGCGGACACCACGCTGGGTTTGCTGCTCTCGGCGCTGATGCAGCACTACGACCCGTCGTAGCGCCACTTCCTACTGGAGAAGGACGTGCCGTCGCCGTGGTGGCCGGAGCGGACAGAGGCGTGGAGGAGTCATCGGCGGCCTGGATGCGTTGACGGCGGAGCACCCGTGCGTAGCGACGTAGTAGGTCCGGAGCACGTCCTGGCGGACGCGGAGCTTGCCAAGGTAGTCGAGGACGGAGACCATGTTCGCTGTAGTTTGAGCATGGATTTGTGATTTCTTTTCTTTTTTTTTTTGCCTTTTCATGATTTGCTCGATGTAGATGGGCATGGAGCTCTGATTTGCTCGCTGCAGTTTGAGCAGGATCTCTGATTTTCTAATTTGATTTTTCATTTGCTCGCATGTTTATATTGAAGAATTTAGCCTAAAAAATTAATATGCCCGGTGAAGAACGAGCTGGATTTATGATTTATTTGCAGATTGCAATCCTATCCAATCTTCTAGACATGCGATGTGATGTTCTCGACTTTGTTGGAGAGGACGAGGGAGCAGAGGTACTCAGGACGCTCGCGCGTGACGTCGACGGTGGCGAGGAGCTGCTGTGGTGAGCTTCGGCGAGCTGCGTCGTGGAGGAAGAGGAAGGCGGGGGTGGCCATGGCGTCGGCGAGGAGGGAAGATCGGCGATGAGGTCGGCGTCATCTTGTTCCTCTTCTGCCAGCTGCCGATTAAATCTAGGGAGAGAGGAGAAGGGGAAGGAGGCCGGCAACAGCCCCTCTCCGCCGGCGGCCATTTCCGCGTCGTCTCAGCCGCCGCCACCGCCACGTCGCCGGCCGCCGGACCTCCTCCCCCGCCTCGCCCCGGCGCCGGCCTGCCCAAAGCCAGAGAAGAGTGAGAGAGAGAAGAGGGAAAGAAAGAGGAGGCTGACATGTGGGGCCCACGTGGGTCCCACGCTGACTCAGCAGCCACGTAGGACAAAAGCGGAATCAAAACCACTGAGGGATATATTGTGACCGGTTTTGTATATTTAAGCCGGTTTTGTATATTTAAGGCACCTTGCGGTTCGAGTACGTTTTATATCTTTTGATGACAAGTTGAGGGACCTTCGGTGTACTTTTTCCAAGAAACAGCGCGCACGGCCCAACCAACTGTCGGCCTGCTCGAGCGGGCCACCTGTACGGATAGACAAAAAAAAAGAAGGAAAAAAAACGCGTGTCGATAAGATTTCCCTCACTGTCCGAGCCCCACCCACTCCACTGCACACACTCGCTGTCGCCCTCGCCCCGACTCGACTCCGCCGCTCGCGCGGCGCCGGAGCCCTAAACCCTAGGTCTCCCACGCGGCGGCGGCGGCGGGCGGGGGTTTCTCGCCATGTCGCACTTCGGGAGGTCGGGGCCGCCGGACATCCGCGACACCTTCTCGCTCCTCGTCCTCAACATCAGCTTCCGTGAGCAAACCCTAGCCCTAGCGGGAATCGCTCCGCTCGCTAGCTCGCTCGCCCCACCTTCTAATCGGCGTTTCCGCCGCCTTCCTCCTCGCAGGTACCACAGCCGACGACCTCTTCCCGCTCTTCGACCGCTACGGCAAGGTCGTCGACGTCTTCATCCCGAGGGATCGGAGGTGAGGAGCCGCTTTTTTTGGGTGGGGTGTTTGTTCTGCTCGTTGTTTTGTCTGGATGTTTTTGCTCAAAATTTTGTTGCCGCTATTAAGGACTGGGGACTCGAGGGGATTCGCGTTCGTGCGCTACAAGTACGCTGAAGAGGCGCAGAAGGCTATAGATCGGCTTGATGGTGCGTAACCTTTTTTTCTTTTTTTGATTCCTTTGTGTTTGGGTTTCGTTCTGAATTTCTGATGATTGAGTCTGATGGTGTTTTTTTTACGCTGTGCAGGGCGTAATGTGGATGGGAGGAACATCATGGTGCAGTTTGCCAAGTATGGGCCCAATGCGGAGCCAATGTGAGTAGGGTTCCTCGTTCGATCTATTGTGATGTCAATATCTAGTTATATATGTGCATGGGTAGGTTCTTATTGTTTGAACATGGCAACCATGTTATTTGTACTGTTTGTTTGATGTGTTGTTAATGGATCTTGCTTTAATGTGTCAAGCAGTGGTATCCAATCATTGGATGTTAGAATTGTATGTTAATAGGGAATATTGATTGGATTGATGGTGCTTAATGAATTTTATGCTTGTAGTTTGGAGTTAATCACCTAGTTTAACTATCTATGTTATGGCCAGCCGTTTTTTTCCAGTTTAATTTTCTCATTAAAAAATAGCTGGATATAGACAATGCAACTCTGAACTTTTTTTGGATATTATCATGAAGACATTATGTTCAAGAGGATCCTACAAGTAAAAGGGAGTGGGAGTCTGCTTCTCTCTTTAAATTAGTGAATGCATTAATCTGAAGCAGATCAATTAGCCAGATGCTTGCAACCAAGTTCATGGGGAGTGGAACACAACATTTTTTTTTTTGAGAGAGAGAGGAACATTGTTTTGGTTTAATGATATGTAACTTGTATGTTTTTGTTTGAGTTTTTAACAAAATTTCATAGAGTGGACCTAGTTAGTACATCTGTGATTTGCATGTGCTATAGGGATGGTGGCTGTGATTGTGAAGTGAAGAATAGATGTGAGGCACATCTGGTGGGCTCTGATGCCTCACTCAGATATGCATGGACTTTTTAGCAATGTAGTTATGGAACATCACCTTTTGTTCATTCTTGTTTTCATTTGTGTTGAACTTTAAGAAACATTTGTTTTGTTATTATCCTCTACTTATGTAAATGAAGTCATATCTTTAATTTTGTTTATGTTCTTCCAATCTCTGTAGACGAAAAGGAAGGATCATAGAAGAGGTTGAGAAATCACGGGACAGGTCAAGAAGCCGTAGCCCAAGGCGAAGGTGCATACCTTATTTCCTTTTACTTTACTTTTGCATATAGGGAACTTGTTTTTCTAAAAAAAAATAAATAAATTTCCTTCCCAAATATTTCCATGTTGGCTTCAGTGGTCTAGAGCTCTGGACAGGGTCCTATTTGCATTATGAAATATGGACATCTGCCCCTTCTCTAAAAAAACTCGTTTGCTTGGTGATGCGACATTTATTATTGCAGGGCAACTTAGTATAGTATAACTATCTAAGAGTGATTTTATTTGATCTGATTTCAGTAAAATTTTAGTAGCCCATGGGATTTATGGTATTTATTGTTTCAATCAGGCACAGAGATGACCACAGAGATAGAGAACGCAGGGGCCGAAGTCGCAGCAGAAGCAGAGAAAGGCATGGCCGTGACAGGGATAGGGATCATCGTCGTCACAGCAGAAGCAGAAGCAGAAGCAGAAGCCGAAGCCGAAGCCGAAGCTTAAGCCCAGACTACAAGAACCGTCGTAGAGGAAGAGATGATGATAAGCGTAGGAGCAAGAGCAAGAGCAAGAGCAAGAGCAGGAGCAAAAGCAGGAGCAGGAGTAAGAGCAGGAGCAAAAGCAGAAGCAGGAGCAGAAGCAGGAGTCGGAGCCGCTCATTTCATAGGTGCTTCACAGCTTCATGATAATATATTACTTGGTTCTTTGATTTTTGTCTGCAGCTAATTTGGTATCGTCTGTTAGTGCATCGCCTACTCGGCACAGCGCTAGCCCTCCTCTCAAGGGATCAACACCACGCAGGAGCCCTGCTCGCAATGGAAGTCCTGAAAAAGAGACAAATGGAAAAGGTTCACCTCCTTCACGCAGTGTTTCACCATCACCACAGCGTGCTGGCTCCCGTAGCCCAGGTAGTGATGACAAGGTAAGTTTCAGACTTAACAGCTGGTTATATTGTATTGTTCTGCCTCTGCATGTGTTACGTAGCCATTTAACTTCTGGAGACTAAAATTTTCTTTCAGGAATAAAGTTTGTTGATCCAGTGATGCTTAAGAAGAGTCTTCAAATTGGACTAGAAAAGTTTGGCTGAGCATGGGAGTAGCACCGAAGCAGATTCAAGGTTGCTAGTTCTTCGTGGTTTCTAGATTGTATTTCCTGGTACTGTCAGAATTATGTTGTCGGTTTGTATTTTCACCTCTATTGTGCCTTATTTTGATACTGTCGTATTAACTTGTGTTAAAACATTTGTCATTTTCTAGTTATCTGTTCGTGAGACGGGTTGCTGTTTTCTAGTAGAATGATATTGCACGGGATCGCCCATGATGGATGATGTTCTAGCTATTAGTCTTTGTTGTTGGTGTGATGCCCGCGATGGTGCAGCTGATGATTGTGGTGATGGCGCTGATGCTGATTATGGGCAGATCTTGGTATTGACACACTGATGTTGTTCACTGCTGACAGAGTTCCTTGAATTGTTTTTGTTCAAAAGGTTACAAAGAAAATCATGAAGTTCCATATGGATCTCATGATTGGTAAGAATATTCTTGCACAACAGTGGCCTTACTCTTCTATGGACTTACTCCACATATTTTTTCCTCTCTTGTCAAAGGTTTGACTGCGGTTCTTCTCTGGCCATGCTGTTGAGTGTTGAGCAACAAGATGTGCAGGCATTGTTTTGTGGACATGTGCTGCTGACCTCTTCTTTACTTACAGATGAATAGAGATTTGACATTTACCAGTGCCTTTCTTCAATGCCTTGCACATTTGTTTGAGTAGTCTTGACGCTAGATAGTTGTGTGGCTGACAAGTTTGCTGGATAGAACTACAAAGTCAGGAGCTGGTAATGCCTTCATCTTACTCTGAATTCTATCGTGGTAATGCCTTCATCTTACTCTCAATTCTATCAAAGATCCCAGGAACGCTGCAGGAGGCCAGACTTCCTTTCCAATGTTTACGGTCATGGTGCATTGGCTTGAACGAGTCCTGAACGTTTAATTGTGACAACGGTGTGCAGCTGAAGAAACATGGTATCGTAATAAGGATCAGTTGTGCGCATTGTCTGTGAGACGATCTCCGGAGTAAAGATTCATCACGCACAACTTAAGCTAAATGCCAGTTTATCATGAAAAGTAAAAATTAACTATTCAAACTCCTATATTATTCAAACACCAAATTAAAGGTGAGTTGGGGATATCACATTCTAACCTATCATAGCAGATCACACAATAGAACAAGAGCAGGGAGCCAGGTAAGTAGGTAACCAAACAAGGGAGCAGGGAGCCAGGTAAGTAGGTAACCATACAAGGCACTATTCGATGGATTACTGAAATATATATATACCACATAGATAAGTGCCAAAAGGTGAGAATTCAGTAGCTTAACAAATTGCACGATTCTCTCTTAATCTGATTACCACAATGAGTGCAACTGTGCGAATCACCATGGTTAACAATTGAGAATGAATTCAGAAGAGTATCGACTCTACACAGTATCTAAGAGACGCCACCACATGAGTTCTGGTACGCGGACCGTCATTTCACTCGTCAATAGTGTTTTTTATCAGAGGAAAAACGTTACAGCATAGCAAATACTATGCATGAAAGAAGTACCACATATCGGAGAGGATGTTGCCCTCGTGTGTGAAGTATCGGCCTGTACCTGTATACTAGCATACTCAATACTCTTTTCAAAGAAAAAAAAAACACCAACACGCGGCAGCTGAACTCTCCTAACCCTGTGCTTTATCTGATTATTCTTTTGTTCTTATGACTGCATCTGATCTCCGAGACAGGACTACCTATCACGACATCCAGTTCCGGGCCAAATTACTGTGTTTTCTCTGCGACGCGTGTTACTGCTATGAACTCTTTAAGGCAAAGCAGGTCAGCCGGTCATGAAGAAATGGATGTCAGCTAGGCACTCCATTTTGATGGATAACTTTTCTCTGACTCGGCTGCGTTGGGTAATACATCAGAAATGGTCGCCTGTGGCTTATGGATTGGTTGCTGCCTTGAACTCAACCTCATTCTCAAGAACAGTGAGTTGGCCATTACGCCGACAGAACTAAAACCCATTAGAGCTCCAGCTATCGACGGGGTCAGCACCGTACCTGTAACTGGCAGCAATGCCCCAGCAGCGATGGGTAGTCCAACCTGCAAAGCACTCAATTATATGAGGTGGTGCAAGAAGAGGATAAAACAGATCCAACCTAATAAGTAATAACTTCGGAAGTTTTAGTTTCTCGAAATTCAGGCCCAGCTACACGATTAGTTGATAACCTATCTAGGCCACACAATTTGTACATATTGCTGAATGCATATTGTTCCGTGGAGAAGAGAAGACAAAGTAAGAAAGGGAACCATACAATGTTGTACAGAAAAGCCCACCAAAGATTTTGCTTCACTGTCCTCATGGTCTCTTTACTCAACTCTAAAGCATCAACAAGCTGCATGACAAGAAGACTCGAATTTTTTTTCAGGAAAAGAAGAGATTAAATCGGCATACAAAAAGTAAAAGTTAATTGAGTCTGGCAGCAATACCAAGAATACAAAACAGTGGATTTTTCATGCTTAAGAATTCGCAAATTTCAAATTGTTGCATATGAGATTACCTGAGATAATCTATTGCCCATAAGCACAACTGAAGACACATCACTAGCCGCACCAACACCTCCACCCATAGCAATGCCAACATCAGCTGAAGCTAGTGCTGCAGCATCATTGATGCCATCACCGACCATGGCAACTAGCTTGTGCTCTTTTTGAAGTTCAGATATGAAACTCTTCTTCTCATGTGGTTTAACTTCAGCAATGACCTGATTCACATTCAGTTGCATACACAAAATAAATAAAACATAACAAATCATAATGAATGAATATTCGAGATATATTACTGTGCTTCCTTTTCGTTATTCAATTGATTTCATTAAGATATATTTCTATGTTCAAATATTCAAAAGCCTACTGCCACACATTGTCCCATGATTGGCATATATGCCGCTCTTTCATATTTTACAACCAAGGATCGCTTGTGGAGGTCTCAGATTGATCTGCACTCTGTTATCTATGAATTGTCTTTTCCATTTAATGAAAGGGGAAGGAGGGGCCTTGCTTCTGGCAAAAAAAAAAAAGGATACATTTTCAACTGTATCCTACGTGAAATTGAACAGTCCATAATCAAAAGTCAAGATAAATATGAAATAGTTCCTACTTATAAAGCTACATGATGGGATAATTTAATGAGCAACAAAGTCATGTTCTCAGGTAAATAATACTAGCAGGTAAAACTTCTGAAGCATTTAGTCGTCTCAAAAATTGATAGAGAACCATATCATCAGACATCAGTGATGTCTTCTAAGATTACAAAGTCATGTACATGGTTCCAAATGGCAGCAAAAAATATAGCTAGGGACACTTAACATGTTCATTCCTGTAAAATTTTTTCATGTAATACGTATTGTGGAACATTTTCTGCTTTACTGGAGAAAACTGGATAAATGATGCATTCACATGAATGAAATTGCCACGTCAGCAGTGCAAAAAACAATCGATATTACCTTGTCTGCCTGGATACCAACAAGTGAAGCTACATTCATAGCAGCACTTTTCTTGTCCCCAGACAACATATACACACTAATCCCTTGCTTAGATAGGATATCAATAATTTGATGAGAATCTTCTCTCAGCTTATCCTCAAAACAAATAAGTCCAGCTAGAGTACCATCCACAGCTACATATGCAACAGACTGACCAAAATTTTCTCCATCAGCAAATGGATTGTGAAGAACTCCATGCCTGAAACAATTAGGTAGTGAGCAGAGTCCCTCAGTGATCATATTTAGTACATCATTAAGTATTGCTAGAACTAAGAAAATAGTAGACTTAAGACATAACAGATAGCGTGAAGAGTAGAGAACTGAAGTTTGTAAATTTTCTATCAGAAGGACAAGGCATATTCATCACAACTGCACAATAAATAATTCATTTGTACCTCCTGATCCAATCAAGTGTTCCAACTGAAACCTGTTTCTCGCCAATGGTCGCCACAGCACCAGACCCAGGTTCTTCCATGAAGGATCCATCTTTTGCCTGTAAATGCATAGATTGGCAAAGAATGAACACATAGAACAGTAAAATTTGAAACTTCGATGGGAAATAGTAGTGTTGTGCAACAGAAATACTAATTAGACGAACCCATTTCATAAAAACAGAAGGTACGCAAATTTTAACTAGACGAACTTTTGTAATTCATGTTTCAGATCATTTTAGCTCAGGTATATAGTATACTTTTGCTGCGACTACCTGCAGATAGAGGCAATTGGCAGCCTGAGCAGCTTCCATGATGGCTTTTCCAAGCGGGTGGGTTGTATTTGATTCTACACCTGCTGCCAAACTCAGAATCTCACCAGTCCATTCATTGTTACAGGAATCCCTGATGAACGAAAAATGTTTTATCAACAGAAATATCTCATAAATAAATCTCACTACCAGAATCACTGGTATGCTTTGCAGAGAATTTTAATCAAATGGGAAACAAAAAATTTAAAACCTACTGAAACTTTAAAACTTTATTCAAGTGATTGAAGCATTGAACACAATACATAAATTAAAGTACATAAGAACACTTAACTTTGTATTTTCATCTCCCTCTCTGTGAGAAGCTATTACTTTAGTCACTACAGGTTTCCCAATTGTTAAAGTTCCAGTCTTGTCAAACACAATGGCATCAACTTCTGAGAATTTCTCTAAAATATCCCCACCACGCAAAAGGAGTCCTCTTGTTGCACCTAATGAAGTCCCGACCTGGAAACATATATCCAAATAATTATGGATGGACTATTTACTCAGGCAAAAGGTCATATCTTGTTGCATACCAGCACAGCAGTGGGTGTGGCGAGCCCAAGGGCACATGGGCAAGCAATTACCTGCAAATGAAAATCAAATTAGTAGCAATTTTGAGGTAGGGTTCATGCTTACAAAATTATACATGAAACAATTTTTCTCTTAAGTGAAAATTATGGCACCTTAAAAACAAAGGATAATCAGATAACATAAATGAAAATTATAATTTAACATTCAAAACAGAAGTATATTTGTTGGGCCTTCTAACAGCTGTTCCTATCCTGATACCCATCTATTCTACTAGAATTTCTCGATGCTAATGAAAACAAAGGCATGATTCATCCAACTCTACCCTTGATCTTATTTTGATTTACAAGAAACTTAATACTGAATCCTTAAAAGAATCACAAATAATACCTACTGTATAAAACAACCTTTCGTCATGCAAAGTATAAAAATTCACACAAAATAGCTGCATTTGGCACTACAGATTGTTTTTTTCTTCAATACAACCTCGTTTTGACAATACTATTTGAATTTATCCATATACTAGCTTTAGAAAAATCTTTAGCCTTCATTCATATGAAATTGTCCGAGTTGAAGTGATAATCATTTGTTCCTCGTATCATACCAGAACGCTACAAGAAAGTTGCAATGCCAAAGCCATTGCACTTCCATGCTGGATAGCAGCAGGTACAAGTTGTGAACCAAAAATACTCCAGAATGTATAAGTAGCAGCAGAAAGAGCCATAACTCCATATGTAAAGTTCCCAGCAACCTGTGGTGAGCAAACAAAAAAAAAGGTTATGATTAAATATGTCTTGCACAACCAAGTGTCCCTGTTATGCTACATGGTTTTGCTAACGAGAGTGCTCTTTGGTGCCTCGCCGGCAGCACAGCACTCCGTGAGTTGTTTCCTAGGTTGATCCCTGGATGGTTAATCTGTGTGGAATGATTGTTGGTGGTCTTTTTATTTGTGGTGCATTTGTTTTTAGTTCCCCAAGATGTGTGCGTGAGGTGTGTTTGGGGGTCGAAAAGGGGTTTTAACCCCTAATCTCCCCTTTGTAATTATTCTTCTTAATGGAATGGCACACAGCTCTCCTGCGTGTTTGAAAAAAAAACATAAGAGTATCTGATGCATCATATGGTGCACTGAACTCTGATAATCATAAACCTATCCACTGGAAAACACCAAAAAAATATCATTATTGGTCCACAATGGATTCTCAGGATACAGTACAGGAGAACATAAATCTCACAAGAAATAACAGACACTAATAAGCTAATAGATAATGGAATCAATCCATATCTTCATTGATCAAGAACTTGATGCATTGGGTATCGCACTGAATGTCTGAACCAAGTCATAATTTGAACGTGCATCCTAAGTAGTAAGTGAAAAAAGGATCATAGCCTACTTAACTAATACACTTAAAATAACTAAAAGCTGGTTATTTGGATCTTACCTATTAAAAATAAAAAAAATGTGGAGTTGATGGCCCATATTCCATAATTATTATCCACTTCGCAAAGAGGATCCATGTGGAAAGTTAATGGACATTATCTACATGGAGTTATCTCCATGGTTTTACGAATGTGTGCAGAATTGTGATAGATAGCACAGTAGAAGCATAATTCAGAATTAAATAAGACACTAACTCTAAGTTACTAGTTTTGCTAGAGCCACTCTCAACTTCCACATGCAAAGATGGCAATACCTTGTCAGCTAATCGTTGAACTGGGGCCTCCCTCGTCTGTGCTTCTTCCACTAAACGGAGTATGTCAGACATGGCAGTCTCACCACCAGGTCTTCTAACTTCAACAGTGATTTTACCATTTAAGTTAATGCTTCCTGCTGATACTTCTGTCTAAAAAAGAGGAAGCAAGGAAACATTATTATGCAGCGCACACGATAGATACTAATGCTTAGCTAGATGTGGCTGATATATCCACATTAAGGAATTATAACGTGGTCACAGAAACTGACCCCTGCTATCTTTGTTACAGGCATAGGTTCACCTGTCAAACTTGATTCATCAACTGTACTCCGTCCAGATTTGACAACACCGTCTGCTGGAACACGATCCTAGACAGCGCATCATTAAGCAATGGTTACACTCTAAGCATAGCATAGGACCATACAAAAGCTAACCATAATGGATTTCATCATATAACAAGTTTATAATTGATTACTTCTGCTGAAATTCACCTGAATTTTTACTGTTAGCATACAAGGAAACTACTAGCAAAGTAGCAATCACATATAACAGAAAAACTGAAATTATCACCGTTAAAATTGCACATCGTGACATAGGCAGAACTAAGATTTGAATTAGTATGTGTGCAAAACTCACCCCAGGCAGCACTACAATATAGTCTCCAACAGAAAGGGTATCGCATGGGACCTCAGTAAATGATGATTGCTCAGGATCATTGTCCACCATTAGGCGTGCTTTTGATGGAAGAATATTGAGCAATCCAGTCATATCACTAGTAGCTTTTAGCTTCGCCCTCTGCTCAAGGTTCTTCCCAAGAAGAACAAAAGCTACTAACATAACCGGCTCCTCAAAAAATGTCTTCCACCCCTGCAAGAAACTTAAACCGTAAAACAAACTATTATGACAATGCATCACATATACCTAGATTAAACTAACGTGCGTAAAATAGAGCAGATGCAGAATGAATTGGAACATTTGTGATTTTTCTCAAAGGATATACTGTTGAAGTAGAAAAAACAACCATTCTTTTTTTATGTGTATGGATATAATGTATGCAAGCACGTGACATAAGATGCCTTTCAATAAGAGAGTAGGAGCTACCAGCTTTGGAACGAAGGCTGCAATTGAGCTGACTGCAAAGGATGAAAGAGCACCCAAACCGACCAATGTATTCATATTGGGAGACCCCTTGAATAGACTATTTAATCCGTCAAGAATTAATCTTCGACCAGGACCAATAAATGTAAATATTGAGAGAGACAAATGAAACCCAGTGGAATGCAGCAGGTGCATCAATGGTGCATTAACTCCAAAGAGGTGAGAAATGTGCCCAAGCAGGCAAACAGCACATAATGCCCAAGATACAGCAAGTTCTCGACCTAGAAGAGAAATCAATAAGTTGTAAAAATAAAACTGCCACTTTGTCATCATAAAAAAAAAACTCAAACTTGTAGAAAGCTCACAAGATTTATGGTTACTTGTTTCAGAAATTTAATTTTACCACTTTGTTTCAGTTGTTGAAGTTTTTCATCCATCTTTCTTTCAAAAACCGTCTGTGAACTTGCTTTTGAAGAGTCTGCAGGTGCAATAGTCATTTGCATTAGACTGAAAATAATGGCGATGCATTTATTTATTTATTTATTTTGGGGAGAGGAGTTTCAGATTTAAACTAAAGAAAGCAGAAGCAGAGAAATACATCATCTCATTTGTACGTAAGTATATATACAATGTGAACAACAACAATTATGGCATAAATTATAACAATGTATACCTCGAAGGTTGGATTTGTAACCACATGTTGTCAACTGGTTGGCAAGCTTCTCACCCAACTGCAGCTTCCAGTTTTTCGCATCTTCATCTTCTGGCACCGCCCACACGACTGCCATCTCAGTGGCAAGATTAACATTTGCAGACCGCACTTGGGGCTAAAAAACAACGCGCATACAGGCTTACAAACACAATTAGCAAGCTAGTAACACCGTGCCAAAAGTTTTACATGTGAAGCAGAGGCAAGCTGATTTAACTTATTTCACCTCACTCTCCAAAATGCGCTTGACACTTGCTGCACATCCACCACACGACATCCCCTGCAAACAACCAACAAAACAACTAAATGTTGGTGTGGCTATGGATTTTTGTGGTAAAGCTGGCAACCACTAGCACTTCAGAACAAACATTATTCTAGTGACAGTTTAAGAAGAATGTAGTGCAACTTTGGTACGGATATTTGCAGAATTATAGTGACAAAGCTAGCACCATACATTGATCATTCCCAAATATGAAACTATGCACCTAAGTTTTACTTGAGCATCGAGATAGAACAGGTCATGTGCAATTCATCCATCGTCAATTAGTGCACTTCTATCAGATAGAATTGGCATACCCCAACATCAAGGATTATGACGTCAGCCTCCTGCCCGGAGGCTTCCTCCGCCACCGCCGTTCCCTGCGAAGCTCGCGGGCGCTTCCACCCGCCGCCGCCTCCCCCTCCACCGCCCCCATCACCGCCTCCCCCGCCTCCACCGCCGCGCGGTGGACCGTTCGACGCCGCCGAGAGGCTCGCGAACCATCGGCGCGCCTCCGCGCGCGGGGCCGGGCCACGGAGCGCGAGGCGCGCGAGCGAGAGGAGCAGGAGATCGCCGGGTACGGCGAGGCGCCGCGCCGCTGACGCCGAGGCGGAGGAGGCCGCGAAGGGAGTGCGGCGGGGCGGGGGCGGCGCCGGAGGGAGGCACCCGCACGCGCCGCTGCCGCGGCCGCGGGAGAGGAGGAAGTGGTGCGGGGAGGCGAGGAGGGAGGGCTTGGAGCGGGAGGAGGAGGAGATGGCCTTGGAGAGAGCGAGGAGGGGCGCGGCGGGGTCCATCCCTCCCGAAGCTTCTAGAAGGATTGAGCGGCTTCGTCGGCGGCGGCGTGCAGCATCACTCGCCGGCCGCGGTGGCTTTTCGCGTGGTGCGGTGGGAGATGGGAAAAAAAGCAGGGGCGGGTTTTGAAGGGTAGCGGCCGTACCGATGGATTGGGTTGGCCTTTTTGGCTTTTTGATGAGTCGAGATGGTGCGTGCGCGCGTGGCGCATGTGTCAAGTGTGTCAACTGTCAAGTGCGCAAGTGCAGGTCATTTCTCTTCACTAGCGTGCTCCCTACTTTTTTACTCTCGTCATAATACTCTATAAATGATAAATCTGAATGAGTAAACAATGAAAAAAATCTACGCTATCTGAATGACTAAACACTGAAATGTCACCGACCAAATTGATCAGTCATTCTGTTCGATGATGATCGTTTACTCGTACCAATTAGTACAACATAGGCCCGGTTCGAGGGAAGATAAAATTTTGGATTTTTGTAGCATGTTTTTCAAACTGATAAACGGTATGTTTCGTGTAAAAATTTTCTATGTGAAAGTTGTTCTAAAATATTAGATTAATCCATTTTCAAATTTGTAATAATTAAAACTCGATTAATCATAAATTATTACCACATCGTTTTACGTTAAACACTTAATTTTTATCTCCATCTTTATTTTCAGGAGATTTAAATAGAGCATATGGCTACTATAATATTTTAATCTATTGCATTACTATAACAAATATGCTCCCCGTACGTTCAATGCACAGGGGCCTTCACCTCTTCTCTATTGTTGTTGCGGTGATGCACATCATCGAGCAGTACATTGGGAGTACGTGACAAAACATTAGGAGTACGTGACAACTGACAAGTATAGCTTCTGACGGTGGCCTGCCAAAAGGAAGTATAGATCGATAGGTGGCAGTGGCTTGGGTGGAGCAAAGATTTTGGGGGAGAAAGAGGTGACAAGAAGGTGGAGGGTGGGTGTAGAGCAGTTCGGCGGTACTTTGGCATTCTCAATGTATGTTTATCAAGTGAGTAGTAAGGTGAGACCTTATAGTTGTTTTTATCTCTCACAATGTGTGGGTAGCAAGGGGTTGTTTGTGATAGGGGGACTTAGGACTTATGCTTTTATGAGAGCGACTAAAATAAGTCCCCCCATCCAAACACTACTTGACCCACATTTTAAAGCAATGATTGAATAGAAAAGAGAGTGAGAGAAGAGAGTTTAATATGCTTGTTACCAGGTAGTAGTGTTATTGACTGGTATAGTTATTACCTGCTCTACTACCCACCTCCACAATGGTAAAGAACTAGCATCATCGAACTCATGCATGGTGCTTGGTGAAGAGGATAAATGTAAAAGAGGATGGACTAATAGATACGAGTAGGAAGTGGTGCTAGGAGAAGTTATGTTCAGAGAGGATGTTTCAAGAGAAGAGCCGTCAAAGGAGATGTGCAAGTTCTAGAATGATAGGATCTGTTCACTTTGATGCAATTTTCAATCATACTATTTCTGATAAAGTTGTCAAAAAATATCTACGTTTAGTTTGTTGTCAAATTTGGTCAACATATAAGAAATCCCACCAAAATTTTGACAATATTGCCATCTTGTTGGAATTTTGGCATAGCTAAAACTTGGTAAGATTTATTTTAGTTACAATCTGAACAGGCCATAAATCTAGCTAGATCCAAATTCAAATAATCGTAGCTATGAGCACAGGGAGCTCAGATCCGATCACTAGAGTAGATGAAGAGGAAAGGTCTAGGGGAGCGTATCCTATGAAAACCAGCTATCATGTGTAAACTTTGGAAACTCCAATCAAGACCTCTGTGGATGGGCATCCGATGGATAGGGTTGGAGGTGGGACAATTTTGTAAAAAACCGTCCGCAATTAGCCTTGCTAATCTCGTTTTGTTATTGCAAATCACCTCCGCAGCAACCCCGTCCAGCGCCCTGGGGCGCGTCGTCCGCTTCGCTTCGTTTCGACTCCGCCTCCCGTGATTCAAGACGACGACGACGACGCCCAGTGAATCGTCAGACGCCGCCGGGGTCGCGGGCCTAACACGATGCCGCCGACGCCCGCTGCCCCTTCTTTTCTCGTCGCGCCGTCGTCCCTTTGCGGGTCTCCCGTCGCCCGCCCGCTCGAGAGCTGGCGGCGCCGCCCTTCTCCGGCGATGGGCCCCCGGCACCGTCGCGTGAGCGGTGGCGATGGAGTGTAGCAAGGCCGGGACTGTGAATGGTGGTCAAGAGGAGGTGGCCATTGGCCGAGTGGAGATGCCGCCGGCGCCGAGCTGGACAGAGACGACAGTGCAGATATTCAGATAACCAAGTGCTTTCTTCAGATAACTGAGTGCTTTCTTCAGATTGGGAATGCTGTGCATCTGATAGTGGAGTAATTTTGTTGTTACACCTTACGTGCTTGCTTGATCCTAAGCAAGTAAGTAGTGTAATATTTTTACTCCAGATTCAGAACCATGTATATCTTTAGATTCAGAACCTTCTGTGTCAACATTGATTTAATGCCAATGATAAGTACTCCATCTGTTTCACAATGTAAGTCATTCTAGTATTTCCCACATTTATAGTAAATGTGGGAAATACTAGAATGACTTACATTGTGAAACAAAGGGAGTAGATTGCAGTGAACTGAAAATCAAAATGGAATGTGATTAACTCAAAATTGACCTGGCAAGTACATGCAGCACAATTGAACTGAAAATTAGGAGCAATAAGCTGAATGATGTCACTAGTAAAAAAAAGGTGTTTACAAGAAGCATTCCATAGCGGGCGCCGCACAAGAGTACATTGTTCAATTCATCTTAAGAGTACATTTAAGAGCAGAAAACAAACAACAACAGAGCTTCAGCTTCATGGCCGTGATGAGCTTCAGCAGACAAGCAGCAGGAGGAAGGAGGAGCACGAACAGCAGCTTGTCCCAGGTGGGCAGCACCAGGGGCCCGATGGCTGTGATGTTGACCTTGAGCGCGTCCCCCGCGATGGCGATTCACTGGGCGGCGGCGTCATCGTCTTGAATCGCGGGAGGTGGAGTCGAAACCAGGGCGCCGGACGGGGTTACTGTGGGGGGTGATTTGAAAAAAAAAACAAGATTAGGAAGGTTAATTGCGGGTGGTTATTTGCAAAATTGTCCCACCTCCACCCCTATCCATCGGATGCCTATCTAGAGGTCTTGATTGAAGTTTTCAAAGTTTACACATGATGGTTGGTTTTCATAGGATACGCTGCCAAGGTCTAGAGAGGTAGACTCTTATTAAAGATATTTTGATCCTTTTGTTACTATCCATTATTTATCTTTTTTACACTTTATTGTGTGCAAGTATTTTACCCTAATCGGATAATACAAATGAAGCTACGAACTAATCATAGAGGCATGTCTTCCGCCTAGTTGAAGGTCAATTTTTCCTTGATATGGTAATTAGTTTTTATGTTTCACATATCGATTGTTGGTATTATAATCAATATATTTTAAAAATATTTCATCTGATTTAAGCATTTGATACCGTTTAATTTATGGTTTGGGATCGACCGTCCGACGTCTAGTCACATCCTAATTTAAAATGTACCACATTATGTTAGGTGTGTTTTAGTAAAAATAGAATGATGTCATATACTACATTCGTCTTAAAATATAATAACTTTTAGCTATGAATCTGGACGCACAATTATTCAAATTCATAGCTAAAAATATTTATATTTTGGGACGGAAGGAGTAATATTAAAATAAAAGAATAAAATCAATTTAGAGTTAAAATTTATGTCTTGAAAATTAAATTTTGACTACAACATATAAGTTGAAAAGCAAACGATAAAAAACTAATTTTGGCTACTGAGTACCGTCGCAAATGTATATCATATCGTTATCAACACTATTTTTTTTAAAATAGCGTAAATATTAGAAAATGATCTAATATCAAATAATTAAAAGAGACGAGACTCTAAACCTAGATAAGTTGGCCGGAAGACCGTATAAAACAAGCATGGATTTCGCATTTCGTATCCGCTGAGTTTCCCTCCTCTCAAACACGATAAGAAACAGACGAACGCGAAAAGCCCAAAAAAAAAACCGATAAGCACCCATTCTCGAGCCAATCGCGCCTATTCCACTCCACTCCACCCGCCCACGATCACCGATGGCTTCTTCCACCTCTCTCCTCCTCCCCACCGCCGCCGCCGCCGCTCGCCGCAGCCCCTCCGGCCACCGCGCCCCCCCTTCCGCCGTGCTGTCCCCCCCGCGCCGCCTCGCCACCCTCCGCTGCCTGGGCTATGCGCGGCGGCGAGCGCAGGCCCGGCACGTCGTCGCGTGCGCCTCGGCTGCCTCCGCGGGGTCGCTCGACGCCCTCATCTTCGACTGCGACGGCGTCATCCTCGAGTCGGAGCACCTCCACCGGCAGGCGTACAACGACGCCTTCGCGCATTTCGGGGTGAGCTGCGAGCCCGCCTCCGCCGCCGCCACCGACGCGCCGCTGTACTGGGACGAGGCCTTCTACGACGACCTCCAGAACCGGATCGGCGGCGGGAAGCCCAAGATGCGGTGGTACGTGCCGCCGTGGTTGCGTGATTCGGGAAACTCTGATCGCCATGCGCATTTCGCCATGATCCTTGAGTAGTAGTAGAGCAGCAGACCAGCAGTTCAACAAACAAAACTCAATGGCGTAAAGGGAATTTCAATTTCTGCTTGCTTATAACCTAGCATGGCGATTTCTTGTTTTGCGGCGATCAGAATGCAGCCTGATGTGCCCCCCGCTGCTCGCCTCTAGCTCGGGCAAGCTTGTGCTTTCTTGTGCCCTCTGCCTGTTTGATGCTTTGCCTAAGCAAACGCACTGGAGCTGAGGTTGCTGGCAATGCTTAGGTGGATTTCTGCGAGCGTGATTCTTGCTTAGCTGCATTGCGCAAGTGCATATGAATGCTCCTACAATGAGGTACAATGCAGCTGCCTATGAGATTGGCATGCAGATGGTAATGTGGACAGATTGATCTGGAAGGAATAATATGACCTTGCATTTTTAGCACATAAAGGGAATTTGAATTTCTGTGGCCACACGCTGTAATGTTTCGGACTTTAAATACTTGATCTGCGTGTGAATATTTGGTTCTGATAAATTTGGTTGTGACCTTTGATAGGTACTTTGGGGAGAATGGGTGGCCTACTTCAAAGATCTTTGAAACACCACCTTCAAGCGACTCTGATAAGGAGAAGCTAGTTGACATCATTCAGGCATGCCTTTTCTTATGTATCTGGAACAAAATGAAACAAATGTAGCTATTTAATTCCGTTTTTATGGCAGAAGTAAGCATGGCATACTTATAATTTAAGATTAGTTTGAAAAGCGTTGTGTTTTCTACAAATAATATCAACACATCTTCCCATTGCCGTGTCTAGTTTGTCCATGAAACACTGCTCAAAACTTATAATTGCATACCAAAAATCATTGCTATCTTTTTTAGGTTTGGATTCATGAATTTTACAGACGTAACCACTTATTTTGCAGGACTGGAAAACAGAAAGATACAAAGAAATACTAAAATCTGGAACAGTAAGTGCTCCGTCTGCTTGAATATTGTGAACATATTGTCATACTAATAGTTATCTACTCATCATCTCATGCTAATCTGATGTTCTGTATTGCTAGGTGAAGCCAAGACCTGGTGTTTTGCGACTGATGGATGAAGTAAAGGGTGCGGTAATACTCCCTCTAGTTGCAAAAAACATGTCATGCTACAACGTGTTTATTCAGACTGTTAATTGTGACCAAATATATTCTCCAAGATATGTAGTTTGGATCTATTAAAACACATGGATAGGAAAGTATTTTAACACTCTCACAAACAAATGATATATGACATGCACACTTCAGTGAAATCGAATTGGATGTACATATTTTTGTTACATGAGCCTGGAGTTTTCAGGATTTGTGGTGATTTTGATTATAATGGTATAGGGTATCAAGCTAGCTGTTTGCTCTGCTGCGACTAAAAGTTCGGTGATTATGTGTCTTGAAAACCTCATCGGACTTGTAAGTTAATTTGACTTTTCTTTTTTTTGTTTTCAGATTTGTTTTATTTTCTTAGTTGTGGTTACAGTTCTTGCTTCTTCTTTTTTACAGGAACGGTTTAATGGCCTTGATTGCTTCCTTGCTGGTATAGTTCTTGTTGTTTCTACATCCTTATCTGTTGTTATTTATTAATTTTATGTTGGTATGTTTACATTTATTCTTTTGAAATTATCCGACAACAATCACCGTAATGAAGAAGGTGCCTAGGATTTTGTCTCGGTGAATCTAATTTTGGAACTAGTATTGTATTACTTCAAATAAAATGTTGTGTTGGATACATTATATAAAGATGCAATCAACATGTTAATTTGAAAAAGATTTAGTGGTTTACAAAAAGGGAATAGATTCATATTTTCAGTATGTATCACATCATATAAACAGTCAACACTGTCAAATTCAAAACAATGCAAAATATAGTTTACTTATTAGCTGATTCTGGAAAGTGTAGAGATATGCTTTCACCTGAATGCGCGCGAGGGATTTTGATCTGACAGTTGGCTATGTTCTGGCTGGTATGTTAATGGTATCATGACATTCACGTTCTTAAATGTTGCAGGTGATGATGTTAAACTAAAGAAGCCTGATCCATCAATATATATTACAGCAGCAGAGGTGGGGAAAACAGCTATAGAAGATAGGAAAGAAAATATTTTCAATTTTTCTTATGGTCCTCTCAAATTTAGTGATGTGATGGAATAATTTATTGTTGTACCCAGAAATTAGGTGTGCAAAGCCAGAACTGCCTTGTAGTGGAGGACAGTGTTATTGGACTACAAGTAGGTCTTCTTAATTTTTATTTTGATTAACCAATTTTCTTTTCTTCTAAAGACGAGATGTTTCTGTTTTGATAGGCAGCAAAAGGAGCAGGAATGTCATGTATAATAACATATACTCCTTCGACTGCTAACCAAGTAAGATTTGAGCTTCGCTACAATTTCTTGTCTTTGATAACACCACATGCTGATTTGATGACTTTTGCATAGGATTTCTCGGATGCAATTGCCACCTATCCTGATCTCAGTAATGTGGGGTACGTACTGACTTGTCAATTGACCTTTTTTTAATCATGTAAATTATAGATGTCGATCTTTACAGGCTTGAGGACCTCAAGTTGTTGCTCCAAAAATCTCTTGTTACTGGATAGCGAAGTGCTTTTGTCCAAAAAATAATTGACAAATTTATGTATGCATTGTTATCCACAGTAAGTTTTTTTTCTCGATCGACTATCCATTCTCTTTTGTTTCGGCTCATTGCTATGTCCTAAACGCATTTCCCTGCCTGACAAATATGCAGAAGTTCACGTCTAGATTCAAGCTAGAATATATCTTGTTTCAGCCTCTTGGTGTCTTCAAGATCAACCAAATGTTGGACAGCGAAGATGCTGATACATTCTTTGAGAATTTCTGTACAGTGTTGTAAGAAGGAAAAGCCAACCAATCACCCCAAAAAAAAAAAAACTTTCAGCTGGAGTTACAGGTGGAACATGCAGCTGGTGAATCCAAGCAGTCATATTGTTGACTGGTTTGCGTTTGGCACGGAAATAAGTATAATTTGACTCTTTGATATTCTGTAGAAGTGCAGATAGTGTTGTACATATGGAAACTCTGGGTACATTGTTGGAAAACTGCTGGAAACCGTTGTCAAGAAGGGAAATACATGATCATCTGTTGCAACACACATATACTTGCTTGTATAGAAAATGTTCCTTTCGTTGCTTAATTATGCAGTCTATTTTGCTCCCCCCCCTTTTTTTTACCTTTTTTGCTAGAGCTGAACTTGTCGCAGCAACTAACCAATTGGTTGCATTTTTCTCCTCAACTATCTTAATACAATTGGTTGGCTGTCCTTCGGCCAACCCTTTTTAACTTGTTGCAGCAACTACCCACCGCCCTGTGGATCCAGTTGCATGTATTATGTAAGAAATAAAATGTTGCTGAGTTCCTTTGCTACTTGCCTCCTTGCTGCGCTTCTCGTTTGATGACAATGTGATGAGATGTCTCCAAAGGAAGCCTAATCTGCGAATGAACTAGTTTGTACTTGTGCTTCTCTTCACTGTCAGATAGGTTTGGCATTGTGCCCAAAGCTAAGGAAAATCCAGTTGTTTTGGATAGGCTTGTAGCTAGTCAACTATATTATCTTTATCATGTAGACTAGCCAGTCCACGACCATAACAGTGTACTTTCTACGTCCCAAAATAAACCAACATCGTATGTGATGTAATACATCCTAAAACAATGAATGATATATTTGTATTATAGGATGTGTCATATCCCACACGAGGTTGATTTATTTTGGGACGGGTAGTCCCGAAGAGAGGGAAGTGTCATCTTCGTCCTGGCATCCTTCAATTCCATCCACGAATAATGCGTATATATGCGTGGAAATATATAGCCTCACGACGAAGATTTGTCACATTTTCTTGCTTCATTGACTAGCACCAATCCATTCGCCCTTGCTCGCCGGGGAATCCAAGATCTTCCACACGATTTTCGCCTATAAAATGCACGGTAAACCAGGTCATTTTGGTGTGTGCTTTGCGGTATTAACTCGTGCTTTCCCTTCAGTAGTTAAGCGTAGAGAATTTGAGGCCATGGCAATCAGCAGAAGGAGCTCCATGCTGTTGGTGATGGCCTTAGTGCTTGGGACGGTCTCCCTTGCCACGGCCGCATCTGGAGTCGCCACCTTCTACACTCAATACACACGTAAAATTGAATCCACTAGCTAGTAATAACTAATTAAGTTGGATTTTTTTGCTTCACATGCTTCATAACAACATAAGCTTAAATTATAATTATGAAAAAAAAATTGAAACACTTTATTTTTCATTTTTGCATGCAAAGCATATGAAAGAACTGTTAAACTAAACTAACCATCTCTCTCTCTGATCTCTTGAAATTTACTAACCATGTCTCTAATCCATTCTCTCTCTCTATATATATATGTGTGTGTGTGTGTGTGTGTGTTTGTTTTGCTATATGACATAGCTGACCATGTATCTGTGTCTCTACAGCGTCGGCGTGCTACGGGAACAGGAACATGGGGAACATGGTGGCGGCGGCGAACGACAGGTTGTACAACAACGGCGCCGTGTGCGGGCGGTGCTACGCCGTGAAGTGCGCCGGCGCGGCGGCCGGCGGCGGCGGAGGCAACCCCTGCACCGGCGCCAGCGTCACCGTGAAGATGGTCGACAACTGCGCCAGCAGCGACGGGTGCACGAGCACCATCGACCTCTCCAGGGAGGCCTTCGCCAAGATCGCCAACCTCGACGCCGGCGTCATCAGGATCACCTACAACCCAACGTACGTATAGTACGCCCCCGGCTCTGGCCACACTCGATATAATTATTTCCTGCATTTTCGCTTTCGATTTCTGGAAGAAAATGTTTCTAACTGAATTTTCGCTTCTACTCGTTAATAAACTCTCACGGCTATATGTAAGGTCATCTTTTTAATATGAAGTTAAATGTAGATGGATAAAGAGTCGAGAGTGGTCTACAGTATTTTTTTTAAACATTAAACGGCAGGAGATTTGTCGGATATATTAGGAGAAAAAGAGTCTTACATGGGCCTTTAGGAAAATAAAAACAACGGAGAAGCAAAAGAGTGATTTGAGTGTTATAAAGGTAAAATTGTCCGATCCAATAAAAAATATTGAATACCCGGTCCAAAGTAAAAACATTGGTTAAAATATGATCCAAAGGAAAACATTGGTAATAAAAAATGGTCCAGAATAAAATTCACTCTAAGTTTATTTTTACGTTGTATACAATTATATCAATCAATCTATATTGTTATAATCTGAACCCACCATAATCAAACGTTGCAGATATTTTTCCTTTTCTTTAATTAGTGTGTTAATTACTTGACCAGTTGGCCTCTATAGTGGATGTGGTAGCTTTTTTTCAAGCTATCTTAATATAAAAAAAATATTGTGTTTGAGATTTTCCATATGAATGTGGTGCATTTCATCTCCTCTTTTTCTCTCAGGGTATGTCCGTAGAGTTTCGGAGCTACTTCCTCCATTTCACAATATAAGTCATTCTAGTATTTTCCACATTAACATCAATGTATCTAGATTCATTAATATCAAAATAAATGTGGAAAATGCTAGAATAACTTACATTGTGAAATGGAGGGAGTAGACCATATAATTATTATTATGGTCATCACATTTGCCACGTCGAGGCAAGAACCCAAGAAGGATAGATATTTCAGATTTTCAGTAGTAATATAACGCAATAATGTTCCTGGAAGAAAAATATAAGAGGAATGTAATAATGTTGGGTTCTGTTAACCCTAGCGGTTATGTCATCGTTAAATAAAAGAAAGGAATGTAATAATGTTGGGTTCTGTTTATCCTAGCGGTTATGTCATCGTTAAATAAAAGAAGTTCCCACAATGGTTTAGTGAATTAATGTTCAGCATGCATGTATTGATGTATTTTTATCTGCTGGAATATATAATTAGTAGAAACACCAAAGGTTCTAAGGCTGTAAGGCTGAAAAAAAAAAGAGAACTTTTGTATCAGATGATGATAGTGAATGTTCGTCATGAAAGAAGATTCGTCCAAATCGTTGTCGTATGGATTCTACCAGTACCAGGTCTATCACGCGATCAGCGTGCGATCAACTTGTACCTTTGTTGCCAAACAATAATACTACATCAAAATCTATCTCATAAACTCTTTTTGGATGATGGCTGCGTACAACCCTTGAATCTTACTGGAGATCCATCCTGCCAAAAGTACAACATTCAGTGGGTTTTTCTCTTGGGGTTTTCTTCACATTTCAACAGAAGTACGTACAGAAGAGAGTCCACAAAATACAGACATCGTTCCTAGATACCCTACTAAAACTCTGGGGTGCAGGCACACCGCAGCTAACCTTAGACCAAAGATCCAGCAACAGAAATGATTGTAGACCAGCCACAACAGTTATCATGGTTGCCATGGACCGTTATTGGGCGCATTAGGATTGCCTGACATCTTCTCCTTGCAAGCTGGGCAAATGAAACCAAACGAACCAGATTGCTGTGCATCAATGGGGCCAAAATGGTGGAATTGGCTGTTGCACCATATACATAACACTGGGAGCATGCCTTCACTGACCATCCTTGACAAAGATAGATCCCATCCTAGCTGGGCTGGAGGGCCATTGACCATCTGAGGAGTATAGCCCAATACTAGAGTTGGTTCAGACGTGGTCGGAATGTTTTGCCTGGCCATGCCCCCTGCAAACTGAGAGGAATCGGCTGGTGGTACAGAAGTAGGTGGCCTGCTTGCAAACTGAGAAAATCCTGTGGGCACAAAATTAGGTCTGGCCAAGCTCCCTGGTTGAGAGGGTCCAGTAGGCAAAGCATCGGTTCTGGCCATACTCCCAAACTGCGGCTGAGAGGGTCTGGTGGGAATTGAACTGTTTGCTGCCATGCCCCCAAGCTGAGGGGACCCAGACGCAGCTGGTCTAAGTTCTCCATAACCAGGCAATATCTGCTGCTTCTGACCACTAAATCCAAGTTGCAGATCACACTGTGTAGGAAAAATAAGATCAAATCAGCATGTAGGACACTCAGCATGAAATGTCATAGTCGTTCATGAGAGGAAAAAACCATTCACTCTATGCACACTTTAACAAAACTGGTAACAATGACAAAAGCAAAACAACTTATAAGCAATAGTCTTGAGAAACACAATGTTCATTTCCTCCTTTCCTATTGCATAGTCTAATTATACTGGTTGATTTATGTCAAATGAACTGACCTAAAGAGGCATTATATTACTGGGTTCCACTAGATTTACAAAAATAAAATATCGAAAGCATTTTTAAACATCACAGGAGTGATCAGACTAAAAAGAATGTTTGATGCAGTCTACCTGATCTCTGGTTGTGCTGCTGATTGGAACATCACCAACAGAACAAACCAGAGCGTAAACTACACATGACCAAAATTGTCCTACATAGGCATAAGATTGTTGGCATTCTGGCTAGTACTTGCTGAAGCGAGCAAGTTACAAGCAGTGGCACAATCATTGTATCGATTTTGCATAACACTACTAGTCCTTCCCAAAACCTCAAGCAGAAACTAGTGGGTAACAAAAGAGCCCATTATGCAGTTGGAATTGCTTCTATTAACAAAAGAAACCTTCCAGTTGACATCACTCCCCTTGCTTAAGTTACTGGCTGCTAGTGTGCTTGATTTAGGAAGTGATGAATCGTGGCTTGAAATATTAGGTCCTACGTGACTGGAGTTTCTATTACACTGGGTAGACTCCTTTCAGTGACACTGCCAGTCAAGATTTTATTATTATAAGCATCAACAGAAAATCTAGCTTAGTTACTAGTTTTGTTTTGTATGCTATCCATTCATTCATTTGTATCATACAGATGTCTGTTGCTATTTTTAAATGCACTGAACAGGAAATGAAGCAATCCATGTTACTTACAGGAGAGACTGGGCGCATGGCCAAACTTGTCTGATACACCATGGTATTGTTTTTGTTGCCAATATTGTTAGCTTCAGAAGCACCATTTTCATTAACATAACCAGCATTGAAAGATCTTGCAGCAATAGATGATCTGTCAGCTACACCGAGGGAGCTAGGAATTTTATTGTTTAATCCAGAACTGGGCAACACGATAGATGCAGCACCATCATTGTTACTGAAACTTCCACTAAAACCTTTTCCAGTAATGCATGACCGATTCACGTCATTAAGGGCAGTCGATGTTTCATTGTTCGCAGTTGCAATAGGAAAGGATATTGTGTTCAGGCGTGAATTGAGGTTGACATCTCTTGATTTCATACTATTATTAACCTCAGCATGCTTGGAAGCAGCTACTGCATGATCAATTATCTGGCCTTGACAATGGTTGGTAGTTCCAAAGGAGGAAGGTCTAAAACCTTGGTGTCTTCCTGCTTGATCGTTAAAATTAGTTGCTTCAGCAAAGCCACTAACCCTGCAATCCATGTGATCATTGGGCTGAGGTGCTGTTCTCGGAACAGTTCTATCAGCACAGTTCGTCACATTATTTCTATAAGTCCATGTGCTTGGAGCATCTGTGGTGGGAGGAATTTCATCAGGTCTACACCAAGTTTGATTATGCCCATTGAAGTTAGCTGGACAATTTGAGTTAAAAAGGTCTATACCTCTTGTACTATTGCCTCCATGTTTAGTTGAACAATTGTGATGCTGTGATCGTGCTTCACTAGCAGTAGTCTTCTCATTCAGTTGTGGTGATCCGACCAAATCTTGAAGGCTACATGACAAACCTGCAAAAGAATCGTTACCAACCTTTCCTGACAAGGTTTGTAGGAATGCTTCAGGAGTCAGCCCGTGATACTTTGCATGGGATCCAACGTGACCAAAGTACCGTGACTGTTCCTCAAACGTCTTATTACATACTGGGCATTCAAATTTCCCATCTTTGCCTATCACTGGCTCACCAAATTTGCCAACCTTGTTAATCTTACGCCTTTTAGAACCCATTTTGTGAAAAGTGATCAGGTGATGCGCATAGGCACTCTGACCATGAAAAGTTAAATTGCATTGTTGACATTCATAAGAATTTATATCATCTGCATCTGTTTCGTCTTGATCTCTTGAATGACTAGAAAAGGTAATAGAAGCAACTGGCAAAATACTTTGACTGTCCATACCTGTACCAATTTGGTGTTGAACACCTAAAACCTGCCACAAACCCAAAAATTAAACTAGACAAACTCAAGTTCACAAGATAAAGTGACATACACTTTCAACTTACATTAACACCATCGTCAGCACACAAGCCATGTTGTTGTGTGCTACCATACTCAATATTATCCGTTTTGAACTCCGGATACCCAAGAAGGGACATGAGGTATGCAGAAACCTCTTGGCAAGTAGCAAAACTCTGTCCCTTGGGGCTGGAAAGTACAATATGCCCATTTAGTACAGGGGAAAAAATGCGACAAACAAAATTATTGCGCTGAAATGATGCAGCCATTCACAACATATGTTCACTGAGCAGATAAATAGGCATGTATCTTAACACGTACTTTCAAACTAATAGTGATGAGAAGTGATCTTTACTATTATTACAACAAAATTATTCATCAACGACAGATGATAAATCTGAGCATATATGGTGGAACACCTGAGTTCTGTGGAACATTCGAGATAATGATTGAAATGCTCATGTGCTCTAGTCACTACTTCAAATAGGCATTGCAGTTAAATAAAGCAAATGAAAATTAATGATTGTTTTAGACACCATGCCATGGCCTTAATTCACTTTATCCACTGGTTCTCATTGACAAGTTGGATTAGGACCTGTGTATCAGTGAGAACTCGGCAGGAGAAGCAAATTTACACATACATGTGTTATGTTATGTACTTGAGATATCATATGTGCCATACGAATCTATCTTAATGTTTAACCTATGATATAGTAAGCATCAATCAAGCCATTGCTAGATAATGCTGCTGCAATCGCATAACATGCATGCCTTAAAAGCACAGATCAAATGAAGTGCCGAAAAACAAATATCAAAGGAATAAAACAAAACTCATTATCTTAAAGCAATAACACTCCACGCTGCTCTTATACTATGGTAGGCAAAAGTCATGTCTTTGCCCCCCAGAATATTCAGAATTATCATTTAACTAGTATGTCATTGAAACGACTGGGCTTTTGGGTCAATCCCCTTTAGATATTTCTTATTGCTTAAGGCATAATCCAGTACTAGGCTACCTTTGTATATTGAGGTGCCTCTAGATAAGGCAAAGGAAACAAACTAGTATCTAATACTACTAGGACTCCAATGACAAAACTAGGAAACTCTAATGGAGAAATAAGGAGTAGAATATCTATTTGTCTACTATGATTCTCCAATTGCTGCAGCACATGCTAATCCTGAGGCCAGCCATAGCATTTCCCCCTCGTCATGAAACAGCTCATCCTAGGGGGTGTTCAGTTATTGTTAACCAATAAGATTTATTCTTCCTTAGAAAGTAGGCAATCCACAGAATGACAGCAAGAAGGCCATGTTGAAAAAAAAATCAATCATTCAAAACTGTCAAGAACTGATCTGATAAACTTGTGCACGGATTGATTAGCATCAGTTGACTACGCTAGAAGAGTATAAAACAATCTTCACAAACCAAATCCACCACACATCCTTTGCAAGTTTGCATCTATAGTCACACATAACCGCATCTCTAAACATCATAGCAAGCATCCAGGCAGCTAGCTTATTGCAATTTATAACCCCCATTCCAGTTACTAACAACAGATCCCCTAACATTGCAGCATTTGTCAGTAAAGGATGATGAGGCTCACCTCACATAACTGAAGCAGTTCACCCAGGCCTTGCGGTCCTTCCGCTTGATCCCAAGCTGCAGCCTCCACCCGCTGGGGAGGTGATCCCCGAAGAAGGACGCATCAACTAACTTCCTCCGCATCCTCTGGCTCACCCACTGACCCGCGAGGCTAGAGATGAAGCCCATCAGCTCCTCCTCCGTGGTCATCCCCGCAGTCCGCTTCCCGAGCTCCGCGTCGTACGGGTCGGCAAGCCGTGAGAGGCTCACCAGATCAACGGAGACCCCCTTGGAGTTGGTGGTCAACTGGTCGGGGTCGGGAGACGGCGGCGCGGGTAGAGCTAGGGTTTGGATTTGGGGAGAGGAGGGGTCGTCGGGCGCGAAGAGGCGGCGGAGGTGGTAGGCGATGAAGCTGTCCTCCTTGTCGTTGCCCCTGGGCAGCTTGGCGGCGGCGGAGGGGGAGGGGGAGGAAGGGGAGGCGGCGACGGCGGCGGCGGCGCCGAAGCGGACGCGGGAGAAGGTCTGCTTGCGCGAGCCGGCGCTCTCGTTGAAGACGGCGCGGTCGATCTTCAGCGGCGGGAGTTGGTCGGCGTCGGGGCAGCTGCCCCCCGGGGCCACCGCGTGGGCTGAGGCGGCGGCGAGCGCTTCCAGGTCGGACTGCGAGAGCACGCGGAGGTCAACCACGGGGAACACCTCCGTCTCCATTGCACCCCCACCCCCCCCCTCCTCCGCCTTCCCCCCCACGCGGCTTCTTCTCCGGCGAGGCGACCGCCGCTGCGGCGGTCGGAGCTCCGGTGGGATGCGACCGTGTCGCTCGCCGGGGGGATGAGGTGGCGGCGGCGTAGTTGGGTTGGGGCTCCACGAGGAGAGAGAGAGAGAGAGAGAGTGGTTTGGTGTGAGCTATAGGCTGTCGTTCTGACCGTTGGATCTGGGCTTGGGTGGCGCGGCGCCGTCCGATGAGGAGAGAGGTGGGGGGACCGGGGGAAGTGAGGCGCGTCGCGCGCAACGACAAAATGGAGCCGCCCAAGCTTGACTTGGGCGGTTATGGATGGGAGCGGGGTGGGGGCTACAAGCGTAAATGCTACGTGGGCCGATATCTCATGGACCATAAACATATGGGCTGACCGATAAACAGAGTGAAGAAAGTACTCGGCCCATTAACCTTGCGCATCCGACATGAGGGGAAGATGGTGTAGGATTAGGAGGGCCCATTGCCCCATTGTGACGCTTGGGATCAGTAGGGCCCATTACGACGCGGAAAAAGTACACCGAAGGTCCCTCAACTTGTCATCAAGTTACAAAATTGTCCTCAAACCGTAAAACCAGATATCCCGCGTCCCTTAACTAATCAAAACCGGTCACAATAAGTCCCTCGGCGGATTTGATCCCGGTTTTATCTTACTTGGCGGCTAAGTCAGCGTGGGACCCACGTGGGCCCCCATGTTAGGATGCCACCTCATCACCTCTCTCTTATTTTCCCTCTTCTCCCTTCATCCTCTCTCTCTCTCTCACTTTTCTTGGCCGTGGCTGGGGCGCAGGCGAGCTTGACGGAGAGGCGGCATCGGCAGGGCGAGGCGGCGTCAGCGGGCGAGCGCGGTGGCGCAGAGCCGGTCTCCACCAGGCGCCGCCACATGCTCTGTGCGCCGCGCCGCCGCCTCCTCAAGCTCTTCACCCGCCTCACTGTCCTAGGCTCCCCCACCAAGCGCCACACCGCCACCGCTGATGGAGGTGCGCACGAGGCCGACAGATGTGGAGGCGGACGAGAGCGACGTGAGGGAGCGCGTTGTCGCCGCCATCGTAAGAGCAAGAGTTCGGGATGGGTAGGTCAGGTGCGCACCATGGCAGCCGTCGTGCTCCTCCGGTGAGTCACCATGGCAGCCGTCGTGCTCCTCCGGCCAGCACGGCTCCGACCTCTCTCTCCGCATGTCCTCGGCAGAGCGCGACGAGTATGTGGAGGCGGCGGAGTCAGCAGTGGCAAAGCGATTGGCGACAGGCGGCGCTGTGCCACGGCGCGACAACGAGGATGCGGACGGCGGGGTTGCCTCCATCGGCGCGACATCGGCTGCCAGACCTCCTCCTCTCCCCTCCCCCCGGCGGCCTCCTCCCCACAGCGCTACCTGTCGCCGGCTTGAGAAAAGTGAGAGAGAGAAAGGCAGAAAAGGGGAAATAAGAGGAAAGAGATGAGGTGGCATCCTGACATGTGGGGCCCACATGGGTCCCACGCTAACTCAGCCGCCACGTCGGACAAAACTGGGGTTAAAACCACCGAAGGACCTAAAGTAAATGGTTTTGTTAAGGGATATCATAAGTCTGGTTTTGCGGTTCAGGGACAATTTTGTAACTCAATGACAAGTTGAGGGACCTTCGGTGTACTTTTTCCTTTGACGCACGACAAGGGGATCGAGACGGCCCACTTACGCGTGGGAAAAATTGCTATTGCGAGAAGGAAAAAGTATATCGAAACCCTCAGCTTGTCATCGAGTTACAAAATCATCCCCTAACTGTAAAACCAGATATATGATATCCCTCAACTTACAAAACCATTCACTTTAGGTCCTTTGGTGGTTTTGACTCCGGTTTTGTCTTATGTGGCAGCTGAGTCGGTGTGGGACCCACGTGGGCCCCACGCGTCAGCCTCTTCTTCCCCTCCCCTCTTCATCTCTCTTCCTCTCTCTCTCCTCCCCTCTCCACGAGCGGTGACCGGCGAGGGAAAAGCTGAGCGCGGCAAGCCGACGGATGGGAAGGAGGTCGGTGGGGCGAGGCGGCAGAGGAGAAGGTTTGGCGGCGGCGACGGGGGAGAAGGGGACACCCCACACCAGCTGCAACTCTAGTCGGCGGAAGAACCGCGAGTCTTGCCGCTTCATGGCCCTCCCCACGCCAATGTCGCCACCACCGCCAGATGCCCCAAGCTCCTGTGAGCTCACCGGCGACCGCGATTGCCAGCGAAGAGAGGTAGGAGCGGCAGGAGCGAAGGAGGCCTGCAGGTAGTGAGGCGGCGACGCCTCACCAACGCCATGTATAGTGTGATTCCGGAGAGTGAGTCGGGTGCAGTCGGTGGCCGATGAGCGGCTTTGTCCCGCAGCAGTGACGAGGACGATGGTGACGAGAGAGAAAGAGATGGATGCAGCGGCGACGACAACAACGACATGTTGATGGATACGGCACTCCACGTCGGGCTCGTGGCACCTAGGTGGCGACCTGGACGGAAACGGCGCTCCGCGTCGAACTCAGGGCAGAGAGCGAGGAGAGTGGAGGGGAAGAGCGGCGCCGGCGACTGCATCTCTTCACACAGCGGCGACCCCTCTCTCTACGACGCCAGTCGAGCTCTGTGTCGCTGGTGCACAGTTCCTTCCCCGCTAGCCACTGGCTACGCCCGCCGCACCAACCTACTGCGCCCAGCCTGCCGGTCGCCGCCGTGGAGAGGAAAGGAGAGAGGAAGAGAGGTGGAGAGGGGAGGGGAAGAAGAGGCTGACGTGTGAGGCCCACGTGGGTCCCGCATTGAATCCACTGCCACATCAGACAAAACCGGAGTCAAAACCGCCGAGAGACCTAGTTTGCACTGGTTTTGCAAGTTGAGGGATGCATTTTATCCGGTTTTACGGTTTAAGAACGATTTTGTAACTCGATTCTAAGTTGTAGGACCGACCTTCGGTGTACTTTTCGCTTGCGAGGATCGTAAACTAATGGATGGTATGATGTTCCCTAGCCATCCTTCTTGGATAATTCTATATTACACTATATCCGGTTTTACAGGAGGTGATCGATTGTGCTAGCTATGATTGTACCTATTAGTTTGGTACAATGTAGCAACAATGGTAGCCAAAGAGGGCCATAGTTGAGAGGAGTTTTTAGGCAAATCCAACAATTAAGAGGGTGCAATCTGCAATGTGGATTTATCCCTATATTTTTTTTAAAAAAATGAACAATTGCTCTGGACACTTAAAAAAAGGGACTCTATGTGACAAACGGCTGAAAAATTTTGGGCTTTCAGCCGTTTTTTGCGCCGTGCGATTGATACACGCGTCGTCCATCCCTCCCCCTCCCCCTGCGTGCAATAAAATAACAGAGCGCGTAGCGCTTTGAGAAACAAATCCCACTCCTTTTTTATGGGCTTAGGTTTGTCTCTCACAGCCCACCGAAAAATATAAGAAAAAATACACGACGATTTATCTTAACAACATTGCCTCTAAGATGTTCAGTTCTCACTGAAAACAACTGAAAATTGCTAACAAATTACAAAACACAAAGCTACTGCTTGTTTGTCCCACTTTAAATACTAGCTCTAGGTGTTCAGATAAGGGGGCTTATGAACAAAATATGTTGAACTATGAATGGCTATTAGATGACAAAAATACAATCTGTTGTACTTAATTAAATTTTCAGGAGAGGCGTAGGTGTGTGATCTTGGCAAAAGGAAGGCTGAAGGAGTTGATATTACTCAAGGTATTCGAAGCTCCATTCGGATGGCCTATTCAACTAAAGAAAAAGCCAAAATTTAAATCTTTAAACTTAACTTTGACATTGATTTTGAGATATTTTCAACGTAGTTTCTTTTTCAGCATTGGCTTTTAAGTCACCGAAAACACATATATAAAAGTTTTACCTACGAATTTATTTTTATTCTCTAATAAGCCGTTTTGGCTTATTAGAAAAAAGCCAAACGATGAGGCCCTAAGAAAAACTAGATATAGTTGTGGTTACATTTTGCCTGGTGTGAAGCATGTAATCTTTTTGTTGTATTTTTTTCTACAGCTGGTTTATAAAACTAAAAACTTTACAAAACTGACAAAACTAAACATATAAATTGTGTTTCAGGTTGGACAAACACAGAGAGATAATAAATTACAAAATTCTTTTACAAAACTGACAAAAGTAGGAGATAACAAAGAGCACGATCATTCATAAACTATTTCTGACAAATATGAAACATGGTATGAAGCATGCAATATTTCTATCAATCTTTTCTACAGCTGGTTTACAAAACTAACAAAATTGATAAAACCAAACATACAAATTATGTTTCGGGTTGGACAAAGCAGAGAGATAATAAATTACAATTTTTTACAACGGACAGTAACCTGACACAGTATAGTAGTTAAAAAAAAAGTCAGATGAATTTGTACTGAGCTCTTTATTTTGAAACATGGTAGCTGCTGGAAGACTGTAATGGCACTTTGGAAGTAAGTACTGTTAATAGCAGTTGGAAGTCTGAAACATTGTAGCTTGATTTTATGGCCCTTTTGGAAGTACTGTTACTAGCTCAGAGCTATATGGAAGTCAGCCAGGCTTTTACCTTGGTGAGGAGGGAATGGCAGGTGGCAGTGGCATCGGCGTCGGGCTAAGGATGAACGGTGGAGGAGATCTACAACAGACCTGAGGAACACATGCATTAATTTAAAAAACTGACAAAAACAAGATACAAAAATAACAAAACCACTTATTTTGAGAAGTTTAAAAAACTGACAAAAACAAAATACAAATATGACAAAACCACTTATTTTGAGAAGTTAAAAAACTGACAAAAACAAAAGACAAAAATACAAATATGACAAAACCACTTATTTTGAGAAGTTTTAAAAAAAACTGACAAAAACAAAATACAAATATGAAGAAATAACTTATTTTGAGAAGTTAAAGAAAATAACAAATTGTGTTTCAGGTTGGACAAAGGATAGAGATAATAAATTACATTTTTTTGACAAAATTTACAAAACTGACAAATTTACAAAATATAGTTGTAAAAGTTTTTGTAATTACAAAACTAACAAATCTCAAAATATAGTTGTAAAAGTTTTTGTTATTACAAAACTAACAAATTGTGTTTCAGGTTGGACAAACACAGAGAGATAATAAATTACAATTCTTTTGACAAAATTTACAAAAACTGGAAAATCTAGAACAAACAAAAAAAAGGGACCAAAACTGCCACAGCACGCCATGCATTCCTTTGACAGCAAAGTTCAGAATTACATAAGTAGGGTTCAGAAAAATTCAGCAACATGAATTTCAAATTTCAAATTTCACACTAAAACTACTGACATGATCATTTTGTAACAAGTTGAATAGACAAATGCAGGCTTGAACTTGTTTCCATACATCCATTTTAAGTCTGAGTAACAATAGTAGTAGCCCCAGATGCGCCTCATATTTACATACGATTCAAGCATTCTGCTACTACTAGTTCTGCTTATCTACAGTATTCAGACCATTGTGTGAAAAAAAATCTACAACATTAAGATAAACCCCTACAACATTCAGATAAGCCCAGAGTGCATACAAATTGTCTGGTGGTGCCTGAAATTGAAATTTGGCATACATATTTCGCTTCTGCAGTTATGTTGTTGTACAGTATTCTTCAGACAAATCCTAACTCAACTAGCAAACAAAACATGACTGCATATTTCCACAAATTCCACAACAGGCACAAAACAGTAGGCATTTCTGAAAACTGGAAAATCTAAGTGTTAAACTGACATCACAAAATCAGAAAAGTGCACACGGTTGTTCATGCCAAATCACCCTTGCTTACATCTGCAAACAAAATGTCTAAGAAGACATATCGCTTTGTTCATTCCACAAAAATGACCCTTGCTCAGATCTGAAAAGCATGGTGTCTAAGAAAGACATATGACTTTGTTCATTCCACAAATCACCCTTGTCTCAGATCTGAAAGCACAGTGTCTAAGAAAAAAAAATGAGATAGTACACCACCACTCCTCATTCGAATCAACACACAAAAATCAGAAACCATGTGGTTTCCTTGTTGCAGAAAATAAACTAGCTCACCTTGTGAATCGTTGTGGTCTCTTTGTTGCTTGCCTCCGGTTCAGAACTCCTGGGATTCATGATGAGATTTGGTTGAGAATACTTGGTCAGCTCAACCACCGGTGCAGGTAGTACCATATGCGCATCGCCGCTGCACACGAATGGCTCCACGGAAGCCTCGTCGACGACCGCCGTGGGGACAACAAAACGTGTCTCTCGGACAAAACACGACGACCCTCCTCCCCCACGCTCTCTGCCAAGCCCAAGGGCTCCCTCCGCCACAGAAGACGGCAACGGCAGCGCGAGGGCTCCCCCTGCCGGAGAAGATGACGGCATAGCGCTCCCGCTGCTGCATCGCCGCCACCTTCTCTCCTTCCCTCTCACCGAGATTTCCCCCACTCTCACTGACAGCTTCTCTCTCTCTCTTTCTCTCGTGCGCAATGGAGAAAAAAAGGAAAGAGGAGATTACTGTTTTTCAAACTGTAGCAGATGGGCGCGTGTCGGGATGAAAAAATGTGATGCGAGGTGAGGGTCCCACTGCTGCTTGGGCTGGGCATTTTTGGCAACATGCGATTGCTTGGACTGGATCACGTTGAGGGTGCACGAATCTTGAAGGGAGATCCAATGGCTAAAAAAATGGCTGACAAAGACAAAAAAACAGCAGGCTGCTAGTTAGCAATTCCCAAAAGAAATGGTGGGATGTGACTAAGAGGGATATCATGGGAAAACATCGGGCAAAGTAAAATGTTATCGAAGATTTGACCAAGGAAAAATATATTATTATATGAAAATTCCAACTATACCACAAAGATTTGACCAACCAAATAATACCACAAGATTCTTTCATCTCCACTCAATACCACAGTGCAACAACGTTTCTTTTAAGAATACCACATATTTCAACAGACGTTACCCAATCTCATACAAACTAATTTGTCTCCGTTACCTGTGTTTGAAAAGAAGAGTACTGAGGTACCCTGTGTGAACAAGATTTAGGAGTTCTCCAATCCCATCGTGGCCTTCAGCTTTAGGAGTTCTCCAATCCAGCTGCATGATGCATAAGCTGCCTTTGGTGATTAGCTGGTGGAGCTCACAACCATCCAGGACCTTGCTCAGGCATGTAAACTGATGAAGCAGTCCGTGGGTGTCTCACAACTTGGCCTCCATGCCGCTCGGACACCACAGCGGCTGTCCTTCTCGAAGCAACGCCGCTGCTTTGTTTGCCCTGCTTCGCACGGCAATGGGTTAGAAAATCGGAGGAAGCGCAAACACCAGCGACGGAGCATAAAAGTGCCTCCGTACGGGGGACGGCCGGACGGGGCCAAACCGCCGGAGCCGGAGTGCCGGACCAGTGGGGTCTCCTGCCCGGACACAACACCGCGGCGGCATAAGCAGAAAAGTGCCTCCACGCGGGCCAGACCAGTGGCGATCTCCTTCGTCCCAGACGCGATGCAGAGATTATTCAATTATTATATGTTTAATGAAACTATTCAATCCCTATCGCTGAGCAGAGATTGCCAACCCTATCACTTAAAGAGATGAGAGAACGAGAGATGTGAGGGCAGTTTCATCTACTTACTCTGTCGGTTCTCCGTGAAGTTTGTGGTATTTTTGGAAGGAGGAAAAATCCTTTTTTTTTAAACAACAAGGAGAAAAAATCTGGTGGTATTATTTGGTACTGGTAAAATCTTTGTGGTATAGATGGAATTTTCCCTATTATTTACCTCATATGGACAATGCTAGCGTCGAGCCGCTACAGGGCTGAGGTCGGGAGTGCGCACAAAACGAAGCGATGGCTAGCGCAAGATTAATTAAGTACTCCCTCCGTTTCAGGTAGTAAGACATTTTTGACTTTGGTCAAAGTCAAACTACTCTAAGTTTGACTAATTTTGTAGAAAAAAGTAGTAATGTATTTAACCCAACATAAATATATTATGAAAATTTATTCAATTATAGGTTTAATGAAACTATGCTAGTGTTGTAAATATTACTACTACTTTTGTCTATAGAGTTAGTCAAACTTAGAAAAACTTAGAGTAGTTTGATTTCGACCAAAGTCAAAACGTCTTATAACCTTAAACGAGGGAGTATTAGTTATTTTTTTAACAAATGGATTAATATGATTTTTAAAACAACTTTCCAGTTGACATCACTCCCCTTGCTTAAGTTACTGGTCGCTAGTGTGCTTGATTTAGGAAGTGAATTATGGCTTGAAATATTAGGCCCTATGTGACTGGAGTTGCAATTACACTGGGTAGACTCCTTTCAGTGACATTGCCAGTCAAGATATTATTATAAGCATCAACAGAAAATCTAGCTTAGTTACTTGTTTTGTTTTCTATGCTATCCATGTTATTATTATAAGCATCAATAGATGTCAATTGCTATTTTTAAATGCACTGAACAAAACGTGAAGCAATCCATGTTACTTACAGGAGAGAGTGGACGCATGGCCAAACTTGTTTGATACACCATGGTATTGTTTTTGTTGCCAATATTGTTAGCTTCAGAAGCGCCATTTTCATAAACATAACCAGCATTGAAGGATCTGGCAGCAATAGATGATCTGTCAGCTACACCGAGGGAGCTAGAAATTTTATTGTTTAATCCAGAACTGGGCAACACGATAGATGCAGCACCATCATTGTTACTGAAACTTCCACTAAAACCTTTTCCAGTAATGCATGACCGATTCACGTCATTAAGGGCAGTCGATGTTTCATTGTTTGCAGTTGCAATAGGAAAGGATATTGTGTTCAGGCGTGAATTGAGGTTGACATCTCTTGATTTCATACTATTATTAACCTCAGCATGCTTGGAAGCAGCTACTGCATGATCAATTATCTGGCCTTGACAATGGTTGGTAGTTCCAAAGGAGAAAGGTCTAAAACCTTGGTGTCTTCCTGCTTGATCATTAAAATTAGTTGCTTCAGCAAAGCCACTAACCCTGCAATCCTCGTGATCATTGGGCTGAGGTACTGTTCTCGGAACAGTTCTATCAGCACAGTTCATCTCATTATTTCTATAAGTCCATGTGCTTTGAGCTTCTGTGGTGGGAGGAATTTCATCAGATCTACACCAAGATTGATTATGCCCATTGAAGTTAGCAGGATGATTTGAGTTAAAAAGGTCTATACCTCTTGTACTATTGCCTCCATGTTTAGTTGAACAATCGTGATGCTGCGATCGTGCTTCACAAGCAGTAGTCTTCTCATTCAGTTGTGGTGATCCGACCAATACTTGAAGGCTAGATGACAAACCTGCAAAAGAATTGTTACCAACCTTTCCTGAAAAGGTTTGTAGGAATGCTTCAGGAGTCAGCCCCTGATACTTTGCATGGGATCCAATGTGACCAAAGTACCGTGACTGTTCCTCAAACGTCTTGTTACATACTGGGCATTCAAATTTCCCATCTTTGCCTATCACTGGCTCACCAAATTTGCTAACCTTGTTACTCTTACGCCTCTTAGAACTCACTTTGTGAAAAGTGATCAGGTGATGCGCATAGGCACTCTGACCATGAAAAGTTAAATTGCATTGTTGACATTCATAAGAATTTATATCATCTGCAACCGTTTCGTCTTGATCTCTTGAATGACTATAAAAAGTAGCAGAAGCAACTGGCAAATTACTTTGACTGTCCATACTTGTACCAATTTGGTGTTGAACACCTAAAACCTGCCACAAACTCCAAAAATTAAACTAGACAAACTCAAGTTCACAAGATAAAGTGACATACACTTTCAACTTACATTAACACCATCGTCAGCACACAAGCCATGTTGTTGTGTGCTACCATACTCAATATTATCCGTTTTGAACTCCGGATACCCAAGAAGTGACATGAGGTATGCAGAAACCTCTTGGCAAGTAGCAAAACTCTGTCCCTTGGGGCTGGAAAGTACAACATGCCCATTTAGTACAGGGGAAAAATGTGACGAACAAAATTATTGCGCTGAAATGATGCAGCCATCCACAACATATGTTCGCTGATGAGTAGCACACATGATAGATAAAGGTGAAGCAGATAAATAGGAATTTGTTATCTTAACAGATACTTTCGAACTTATAGTGATGAGAAGTGATCTTTACTGTTATTACAACAAAATTATTCATCTACGACAGATGATAAATCTGAGCATATATGGTGGAACACCTGAGTTCTGAGGAACATTCGAGATAATGATTGAAATGCTCATGTGCTCTAGGCACTACTTCAAATAGGCATTGCAGTTAAATAAAGCAAATGAAAATTACTGTTTATTTTAGACATTTTAGACACCATGCCATGTCCTTAATTCACTTTATCCACTGGTTCTCATTGACAGGTTGGATTAGGACCTGTGTATCAGTGAGAACTCGGCAGGAGAAGCAAATTTACACATACATGTGTTATGTTATATACTTGAGATATGATATGCGCCATACAAATCTATCTTTATGTTTAACCTATCATATACTTCCTCTGTTTCATATTATAAGACTTTCTAGATTCTAGAAAGTCTTATAACCTGAAACGGAGGTAGTAGTAAGCATCAATCAAGCCATTGCTAAATAATGCTGCTGCAATCGCATAACATGCATGCCTTAAAACTACAGATCAAATGAAGTGCGGAAAAGCAAATATCAAAGGAATAAAACAAAACTCATTATCTTAAAGCAATACCGCTCCACGCTGCTCTTATACTATGGTAGGCAAAAGTCTTGTCTTTGCCCCCCAGATTATTCAGCATTATCATTTAACTAGTATGTCATTGAAATGACTGGGCTTTTGGGTCAATCCCCTTTAGATATTTCTTATTGCTCAAGGCATAATCCAGTACTAGGCTACCTTTGTATATTGAGGTGCCTCTAGATAAGGCAAAGGAAACAAACTAGTATCTAATACTACTAGGACTCCAATGACAAAACTAGGAAACTCTAATGGAGAAATAAGGAGTAGAATATCTATTTGTCTACTATGATTCTCCAATTGCTGCAGCACATGCTAATCCTGAGGCCTTGTCATACCGACACCACTACTATATATACTATACCATAATGTCCAGCCATAGCATCCCCCTCGTCATGAAACAGCTCGTCCTGGGGGTATTCAGTTATTGTATGTTTGCATAATAATATTGTTAACAAATAAGATTTATTCTTCCATGGAAAATAGGCAATCCACATAATGACAGCAAGAAGGCCATGTTGAAAAAAAAATCAATCATTCAAAACTACCAAGAACTGATCTGATAAACTTGTGCATGATTGATTAGCAACAGTTGACTACACTAAAAGAGTATAAAACAATCTTCACAAACCAAATCCACCACACATCCTTTGCATCTATAGTCACACATTACCGCATCTCTAAACATCATAGCAAGCATCCAGCCCTCTAGCTTATTGCAAGTTATAACCCCCATTCCAGTTACCAACAACGGATCCCATAGCATTGCAGCATTTGCAAGGAAAGGATGATGAGGCTCACCTCACATAACTGAAGCAGTTCACCCAGGCCTTGCGGTCCTTCCGCTCGATCCCAAGCTGCAGCCTCCACCCGCTGGGGAGGTGATCCCCGAAGAAGGACGCATCAACTAACTTCCTCCGCATCCTCTGGTTCACCCACTGACCCGCGAGGCTAGAGATGAAGCCCATGAGCTCCTCCTCCGTGGTCATCCTGGCAGTCCGCTTCCCGAGCTCCGCGTCGTACGGGTCGGCAAGCCGTGAGAGGCTCACCAGATCAACGGAGACCCCCCTGGAGTTGGTGGTCAACTGGTCGGGGTCGGGAGACGGCGACCGAGCTAGGGTTTGGGTTTGGGGAAAGGAGGGGTTCTCGATGAGGGAGGGGTCGTCGGGCGCGAAGAGGCGGCGGAGGTGGTAGGCGATGAAGCTGTCCTCCTTGTCGTTGCCCCTGGGCAGCTTGGCGGCGGCGGCGGCGGAGGCGGAGGCGGCGGCAGCGGCGGCGGCGGCGGCGGGGACGAAGCGGACGCGGGAGAAGGTCTGCTTACGCGAGCCGGCGCTCTCGTTGAAGACGGCGCGGTCGGGGCAGCTGCTCCGCGGGTCCACGGCGTGGGCGGAGGCGGCGGCGAGCTCGTCCAGATCGGACTGCGTGAGCACGCGGAGGTCAACCACGGGGAACACCTCCGTCTCCATTGAACCCCTCCCCTCCTCCGCCTTCCCCCCCACGCGCGGCTTCTGCTCCGGCGAGGCGACCGCCGCTGCGGCGGTCGGAGCTCAGGTGGGATGCGACCGTGTCGCTCGCCGGGGGATGAGATGGCGGGCTGGCGGCGTAGTTGGGGCTCCACGGGAAGAGAGAGAGAGGGCGGGTTTGGTGTGAGCTATAGGGTAGGGAGGGCAACGGGTCGGGTCGTTTATGTGCATAGCAAAACCATGTCCCGCCCGAGATCCACGTGCTCGTGCCTGACCCACGCCCGCAAAACCTATCGGGCAAAATCTCATGCCTATGCCCATGCCTGTCGGGCACGGGTATGCTTGACGGGTACCCACTGGGCTTACCTGCCATGTGCCGCCGCCCGCCGCGCCGCCAGTCGCGGCCTGTGCGCAACCGCATCACCGGTCACCGGTTGTCGCCCTCACCGCTAAGTTGCCCGTCGCGCTCCACGCTCATGTGCCGCCGGCCATGAGCCTGCTGCCGCCCACGCTTGTGCACCACCAGCCGCGCGCTAGCCATCGTCGTCGTGTCGCTAGCTCACGCCGCGCCGTTGCGTCGCGCCGCCAGCCACCTCCTGCTTCTTTCTCGTGCGCCGCCGCCGCGTAGAGGAATAGATGATTGAGAGGTGGTGGGGAAAAGGATAAGGCTAGGGTTTCGTTGAGTGAACACATATATTGCTATATACAAATAGGCTAAATGGGCTATTGGGTCTTGAGGAGAGGTTAACTATTGAAGGCATGAAAGATATACATGGGCTAAAAAATTTTTGAGTCAAGCATAGGTTATCGACGAGCAAAATATAAACCCACGTATACCCACTAAGTTCTCGGGCATCGGATCAAACATGCCCACGGGTTAAAAAAAGTGCCACGCCCATGCCCATCGGGCCGGGTATCCGCGGATACCCGAACCCACGGGCAATACTGCCATCCCTACTATTGGCTGTCGTTCTGATCGTTGGATCTGGACTTGGGTGGCGTGGCGCCGTCTGATGAGGAGAGAGGTGGGGGGACCGAGGCAGTGAGGTGCGTCCGCGCAACGACAAAAGGAGCCGCACAAGTTGGGCGGTTATGGATGGGAGCGAGGTGGGGGCTACAAGCCCAAATGCTACGTGGGCCGATATCTCATGGACCATAAACATATGGCCAACCGATAAGAGTGAAGAAAGTACACGACCCATTAACCTTGAGCATGTAACGTGCGTGGAAGATGGTGTATTGGTGTAGGATTTGGAGGGCCCATTACGAATTTACGATGCACAACCAGGGATCGCGACGGCCCACTACGATGAATGGGAAAACAAATCTCTATTGCGAGAATCATAAACTACCGGATGGTATGATGTTCCCAAGACCCTAGCTATCCTTCTTGGAGAATTCTATATTACACTATATCCGGTTTTACATGAGGCGATCGATTGTGCATTTGTGCTAGCTGTGATTGTACTTATCAGTTTTGGTACACTGTAGCAACAATGGTGGCCAAAGAGGGCCATAGTTGAGAGTAGGGGTGTACGTGGGTCAGCCGGGAACCAACTTATAGGTCAAAATAAGTGGGTTTGTGGCTTATTTTTTAGTCTATAAGTGGGTTTCGCGGGTTAGCCACTTACACCCCTAGTTGAGAGGAGTTTTTAGGCAATTCCAACAATTAAGGGGTGCAATCTGCGATGTGGATTTATCCCTATTTTTTTTTTCTAAAAACACGAACATTTGCTCTGGAAAAAAATGGTGAGATGTGAATTAGAGGGATATCGTGGCCTCATGGGAGAACATCGGGCGAAGTAATATGTTATCGAAGATTTGAGCAAGGAAAAACAGATTATTTAGCAATTGGGAAATGGAGGGGTCGCCGCCAACTCAAAACCAGACCTCATAAGAACGGTGCTAGTGTCGAGCCGTTACTGGTTACCAGGTTTTAAATTTCCGGCTATAGCTGCCACCATCTTTGACTATAACTGTCTGAGAAGGGTATAGCTATTTACTCTCTTATACAATTTTAGCCGTTATAGCTCTATTTAGCCCGCTATAACTGTTTGAGAAAACCAACTAAACGTTTTAAACCCGCTATTTAAAACACTGCTGATTACACCACTGCGCGATGGGCTGCAACTGACCTCAATCGGTTAAGAGGAATGCCGCATTGCAAGTTTCCACTCGTCTTTGATGGCTGCACACAAGTGTTCTACCGAAGTTGGCCTTCCCATAAAAAAAATTCAATCATTACGTTCCTTTCAAATCAACCAAATCACCACGATCACACCGGCATGGAACGTTTTTGGATCATGGGAGGATTGATGAATATGTCGATTACATAATCAATCGTACTTACGGCAATAATAAAGGATGTAGTGCATGATCGATTTTCCCTGGCATGAAACCTCAAATGAACAAAACTGACCTATGCACATCAACGCACAAAAACATACTATCAAGCAAATGCATGCATGCATAGCAGATGCAGAGAGGGACCAATTACCAATTTACCACTAGAACTATACCGTTCACTTTGAGAAAGGGCATGTAGATTGCAGCGATCTGAATAACACTCTAAGGCTGTGTTCGGGGAACCCTCACTCCCCGGCACGCAAAACGGAGTAGCGATTAGCGCGTGATTTAATTAAATATTAGCTATTTTTTTTCAAAAATAGATTAATTTAATTTTTTAAGCAACTTTAGTATAGAAACTTTTTACAAAAACGCACCGTTTAATAGTTTGAAAAGCGTGCGCGCGGAAAATAAGGAGTTGGGAACCTGGTCTGCCGAACGCAGCCTAAGATACTTAAGTTCAAATCTTCGTTTGAACGAATTTCAGAATGGATTGTTTGAGTAGCTAAATTCTCAATTTAAAAGACAACATATATCCGATTAGATGTAAAGTAAAAAATATCCATCTCCAACAAAAATAAGAAAAACTACCATTCACTACATCCATCCATCCATCCAGCATGAACGATGATGGATTCCCATTAGATTCCATGGAGGAGGCATGGATCGATACATGAAAAACATGTGTACATGCAAGAGGCAACCCCACACCGCAGAGATTCCAAAACGGCGAGCAGATGCCAGTGAAAGATACAGTATAGGTGGTGAAAGTAGCCGAGCCGATCCAGCTGCATGGGCAGCAGCAGCGGTGACAAAATTTTGTCCTGGCATATTACACGGAATCTATCAACAATCCCTCTCAGCCCGACGCGACGACAACGATTCCACCACCACCAGCATCAGCAGCAGTGCAGCGCCATGTGCTGCCGGGCACGCGACGCGGCCACACACACCGTAATTCACAGCGAGAGCGCGAGCGCGAGCCCCGCCATGCACGCGCCACGCCACGCCACGGCGCGCCACGGGGCGCGCGCGCCTCAGGGTCAGGGGTCGAACAGGCGGTCGCGGCACTGGCACTTCCACCCTAGCGGCTTGTAGTTGGTGAACGTCGCCACGAGCGGCGCGGCGTCGTGCGCGGCGCGGCGGCGGCGGGGACGGACGGGGCGGACAAGGTGGGCACCTGCACCGCGACGCACGGGCTGCACCCGTAGCACTTGCTGTAGCAGCTCGGCGGGCTCGACCCCAGCCGCACCTTCTCCTCCTCCCCAGCCACCACCGCCACCGCCACCTCGCCACCAACCTGCATCGGCATCGCCATGGACGAACACACAGCGCATCAACTAACCGAACAAAATTTTTAAAAAACACTCAGGTCGATCAAGAACGGCGGCGGCGAGGGCGTACGCGTACCAGGGGAAGAAGACGGCGAGGAGGAGGGAGCCTGGAGGCGGAGGCGGAGGCGGAGGCGAGCAGCAACGCAGAGAGGAACACTGCCGCGACGGCGGCGGCGGCGGCGGCGAGAGGCGGCGTGGCCGCCGTCCTCATAGCTGAGTTCTCGAGACAACTCGATCGCCGGCGACACCTCGCCTACCAAGAAGCTCGCCCACGCCCACGAGGCCGTGCCATGGCGCGCGCGGGAAGCTCACGGGCAGCCAAGGAAGGTGACGCCGCGCGCCCAGCTACTTATACCCAGAAGAGCACTGTGACAGTGTGAGTGAGGCAGTGAGCAGCACTGAGCAGAGCAGAGGCAGCGAGGTGGTCTGGTCAAAATGGCGAGACGGCGAGCGGGCTGGACTGGAAGCAGCAAGACGGGGCTGTGAGATGTGAAGGAAAGGAAGAAACAACGTGTGGCCGGCTACACTTTACATAGGCACAATTTCCAGGGCGGCAGGACGGCTCTCGGCACCGTCACGACCCTCTCTTCTTTTGGACCTAGGATCTCTAGATCTTTCAGCCTAATCTCTCGCTTTAATTTTTCAGGATTTATATAGAAATTTTATAGAATTTAAATTCTATAGAAATTTTTTTTATTTGGCCCTTTAATTCAAAGAATTGAAGCTTTTCAAATCCTATGAAATTCCTATGAAATGACACATAGCATGTGGATTTTGGAGAAAATTTAGCAATAGCTCTAGCCTCTTGAAAATTTTCCTTTGAATCTATCTCTCTCATTCGATTCCTGCGTTTTTCCTGCGCTTCAATCAAACGACCATTCCTGTGTTTTGCAATCTTCTGTTTTACCCTTCGATTCCTATCAGAATCCTATGTTTTTCCTATTCCTCTATTTTTTTCAACCCTGCGATTCAAAAGGGCCCTAAACGTAGAAATAAAAAGATAAATTTGAAGTGTAAAATAGAGAATTAAAAGACACATAAAACATATGAAAGGGCTTGCTAAGTTTTTTTCGGTTTGATTAGATCACAGAAAAAATGTACGAGTTGAATGAGAGAGACGACTCAAAGAAAAATTTTCAAGAAGTTGAAATTCTTGCTAAGTTTTCTTCAAAACCTATACGTCAATTACCATTCCATAAAAATTTTATGGGATTTAAAAAGTTCCAATTCTTTGTAACAAAGGGTAGAAAAATTTCCATGTAGGTCGTGAATCCTATGAAATTCTTTATAACTCGATTCGAAAGGGCTTTAAAAGTCTGCTATGCTCCTACGTCGTTCTCAAATGGAAGCATTTCTATGATTTAAAATTTTACTCTAATATAAATATTTATTGATTTCAATGCATGAAAATTTATACTACTTCCTCTGTCACAAAGTGTTCTACCTAGCTTCCGATGGGACACTTTCTAGCTTATCCATTGGGAGGAAAATATATTTCTAACCAATGAGATGTCAGACAAGAAAGTCTAAGCAACTTAAAATTTAGCTCAGCTCCTAAAGTGACTAAAAGAGAATTTTTTTTCTTATATATCTTTGTATTTTACTAAAATAATCTAAAAAGTCATATATTAAAATGGTGAGAGTTTAAATGTGATGCCTGATAAAAAAAATCTAAGAAATTTAAAATTTAGCTCCGAAAGTGATCACAAGAGTGTTTTTTTCTTATATCTTATACAATACTTTACTTAAAAAAAATCTTAAAATTTTTATATTTTGAAATGGCGAGAGTTCAGTCCTGCTGCTCTCATCTCATCTCTTCTAGACAGGCAATGTGATCGAGGCGAGTGAGGTGAGATCAGATCTCTGCTCTGACTCGTGCCTGTCTAGCTGCTGCAGTGCAGGTGCAGGCTGGGCAACAGTAGTGTACGTACGGGTGCGAGTAACCACGGTAAATAAAACGGTGAGGTTTTACCAACCGGGCCAGCCATTGATTGCCACCTGGGTCATGGGGTCGGGAGCTTTGACTAGCCTGCCATTCCTGGAAGACTGAGGAGACAGCAAAGAGAGAAATCATATCAGATCCAACCGACAGTAGCAACCATTATTAGCAGCCATGGGACTCAATTTTTAGACAATGCATGAATGCCAATGTGTGTGTGTAATGTTAAGTTGAAGATATTGGGGGTATGTATCCAAATCCAGCATTTAATTCAGGTGGTGCAACTGATCTGCCAGGTGCCATAGTGTATGCTGGAGTACTACAGTTAGTACTCTTACTTAGCATGACAGTGTCCATCTGTTCTTACTGTATGCAATTATTTTGACAAGGTTGGAGAATAATGCCATAATATTGGGTGTCTTTGATTAAAACAGCTCACCGAAATCAGACCATAAGGAAGAATGATGGCAGGAGGGATTGCTGATGGGGCAGTATGGTACAGAAGGAATGGATCTGTTCTCCTTCCGGTCCATGCATGGTTCTGCAGGCCAGAGAGGCAAGAAGGAGGCGAGTCAAAGACCAAGAGGCATATAGGAGCACTAGATGTGTACTCTGGGTCTCTGGCTACGCCATAGCGTGAAAAGATGGTTGCTGCTGGTGAACAACGACGCTCTAGATGGAGCAGTAGCATGCTGTCATCTTGGGGTCCTGTTACTCCTGTATAAATAGTCAGGCAACGGTGCAGGTGATGACCTTTGTGGGTTTGGACAGTAGGAGAATAGGAGTACTATCACTGCACGTTTTGGGTTGTTTGGCTTGGTGCCACACATTGCCACACCACATGTTAGGTATGCCACAGATTGTTAGTTTAGCGTTTGGTTGCTTGTTTCAGTTGTGACAAGCCACACTTTCTTGTTTCATGGGCCTACATGTTATATACTCATTTTCTAGCCAAACATTGCCACACTTATGGCAAATTGAGTTATGGCAATGTTAGGCAACCAAACATACCCTTAAAATAAGGTCTTGAAATCTATTCTTCCAGCTCCCAATTAGTCCCAACTTCCAAGAGGCAAGAGATATTGGCATTACATATGATCAACATGACTAGATGGATGTGTTACCAATGAAGGTAATCAATGGAAGGCATGGGATACACCTTTGTGAAGCTGCAATAAGCATAAAAGGTGTCACATTTACATATCCTCACACTAACATAAGAGGCAAGTATTAGAACAAAATCAGAAAGCTCCCACATTAACATAAGAGGGAAGTATAGAATAGAATCAGAAAGCTCGATCAAAGATCTTACAGTATTCAACACACTGCTTCATGTGGACATTCAGTTCCAGAGCTATAAATCGAGCACATATTCCAACCATTGCCAGGACAAAAATCCATGTCAGTGTCCAACTCAGCCCACAGAGGCTGGTCCCAGAAATTGTAGCACCACTGTTCTTTTATCTGCTTTACCTCCGAAGCATTATCTATAGACAGAAGCCCAAAGGGATGGGCAATGAGGTGAGCGTGGTCCAAGAACTGAAGCAAGCCCTCTCTAGTTATTAGGTTGGTGAAAGGTCCGACCAGTGCATCAATAGTTTCTGGGCAGAAAAAAACATGCCATATGCTCCAGCTGCAAGACCCCAACCAAGTCCAACTCGATTCAAAATACCAGACTACCAGTCTAACACAGACCATTAGTCCACAGCATGCATGTAGAAGTAATAAACTCAGTTACTCATAGTGTTTGGGCAGCTTGTCCTGGTAATAAAGCAACACAACTAGTACAATTTTGGGGACATACTTTGTACTCCTAGTACAACATTGAAGCCGAAAGAAGAGAATACATTTGCAAAATCTATATTTCAATAGTTGTTACTTACAAACAGATGTAGAAGCAATCAATACTGTGTAATTCTGCAGATATACTATGTAACAACACCGTGGACTTGTTTGGGGAAATGGACAGCTTGGTGGACTCTTTTATTTTCATTGGTCCTTGCTTACAAAAACCAGATAGTATTTACTGCTCCTTGGACAGTACAGGAAATTCACAAAAGCTTTTCTCTGATGACGTGCTGTGCTTCAGAAACTAACCTTTTGACAACTTCACTAGCTGGTATGATCTCTGTGATTAGCCCAACACCCTGACCAGCATACATGACCATGCTATCAATATCACCTGTTGTTGTCGCATTAGGAACAGTACCAGCGAACCGACGAATATCCCTGTGCTGGAATCAACAAATCATTATTTACTTGTCCAATTTCTAGTGTAAGTGGCCGAAGTACAAAGTGTGCATTTAAAGTTGTAATGAGTACTATGCCAAACTACTCTATTGAGGTCCATCATCATACAAAACAGCATAATAGATCACCATTACTCAGCACATGTATGGTTCAATACAAACAACACTATGTCAACATATATTTAATAAACACGGTAAAAAGAATGCTTGGTAGACTATTTACGATGAACACGCACACTACGGGATATGCATCCCTGCATACACAAGTCCAGCAAAGCCACCAAGTTTGATTTAGGATGAAAGTATAAATCATATACCACAAGCTTCTGTCTAACAGTATCGGTCCAACCATCTTAGTATCTAAAAGAACAACTTAAAATACTAGAATTATAAAGAACAAATTTACCAGCGATATAATCTGATTTGTTCAATCCAGCACTTAAAAAAAGTCTCATTATAATCTGAAACTTGTGTAACAAATAGTTAATTTCCATAGTTATAAACCTTCATGTTGGCAGTCATGGGGATCTACATATTAAATTTCAAGTCGCTTACATTAAAAGCTATGAAAATTATTTTTATAAAAAAATCAAATTAGTAAAGATGATAAAAACATTAACTTCTTCATTATAAGGTACTAAATGTAGATATGATTTAAAATTTTTATTCTTGAAGAAAGCTATATACTCCAGGTCATAAAAACAGAGGTCTATTTATGTTCCTGATCAGATTGTTGCAATTACAACTAAGGCAGATATGATGCAAATATAAATATTAAGTGCACACAAATTCAACTGAAGAAGTAAAATATTATCTAGAACGAAAACAAAATATTTTTTACTTGACAATCTCACGTTGTTCCAGTACTTAAAAAGGAACATAATGTAAGATGTTGATAAAGACCATTACAATAGCAATAGCCATGGCTTTGAACTAATATGGCATCTCCAAGGTTGTGGACAGATATCCTATCCATCCATCACGTACAGTGCAAATCACTCCGGTTGCCTTTAGCAACCTATGTGACATGGACTGGAGGGTGCTAAGCAGCTCAACCTTTTTCATGAACCAGTCCCACACACGGTACACACCGACATCTCATCGTCATCGAGCTCTATCATCTGTATGTGCATTCGATCACCGTGCATGGCAAAGAGTATGCCCATGTAGCGTGTCATCTTCCCTTTCAAATTATTCCTCGAGAAAATAGCCCAATCAACAATAGTGATAGCGTTGCCACGGTACCACAGTGCCGCATTTCAACTCATCCAGTTACAGAGCAACACGCAGACGTCCCCACCTTCATCGGTAATCTGGTCTAAAGCACAGTTGTTGTGCAAGAACTTAGGTAGGAGAGGTATCGTCGTGGTCTCCCTGGTAAATGGGTTGATGAACACGACAAAGAGGTCGTCATCTTTGTCGACAACAAGAAGGTGGCCAAAGCCAGAAGCAACTACCTTCTTGCCCTTGATAGAAGGACTTGTATCTTGATATCTTCTCTATGGAGGATGAGTAGAAGGTGATGTTGTCGGAGTATTCATCCTCATCCCAGTGGCTCACCATCATCAACAACTGGAAGAATTCATGCCCTTTACACGGCACAACGGTTCTCCAATGCAGGCAGACCGAGCGGAAGCGGACAAAGTCATCTCCACTCATCTTTGTGAGCTAGAGACTTTGTCCGCTTCCACACTGTGTACCCATAGAGGTGAGCCGTTATGCCACATAAAGTTCATGGCTTTTTCCAACCGTAGATGACGAGCATTGGGATGAGGACGAATTACTCTGACAACGTCACCTTCTACTCCCTCTCCACATAGAAGACAATCAAGGTACATGTCTGAATGTCCCAACTATCATGGGCGAGCAAGTCATTACTTTTAGCCCTGGTTACCTCTTTGCCATCAACAAAGATTATCTATTTGCCGTGCTCGTCAACCCGCTTAACAGGAAGAGCACGGCTGCCTCGCCTACCTAAGTTCTTTCACAACAACGACGCTCATGCTGGATTACCGCTGAACGCGGGGACATTTGTGTGGCGTTGTATAACTAGATGAGTGAAAATACAACATTTTGGTACCGTGGCAAGCCTATCACTATTGTTGCTTAGGCTATTGTCTCAAGGAATAATTTGAAAGAGAAGATGAAACGTTACCCGTGCATACTTACTACCATGAATGTTGATCAGATGCACAAGCAGCTGATAGAGCTCGATGACGACGATGTCAGTGTGTGGGAGTGGGTGGATCATGAAAGGTTGAGCTGCTTGTCACCTGCCAGTACATGTCCGATAGGTTGTTAAAGGCAACATGCCCATAACATCCCTAATGGTTTGCACAGTACATGATGGATGGACAGAATAGAGTATCTGTAAACGACATCGGAGATTCCATATTAGTTTAGAGTCGTGGCTATTGCAATTCCACCTAGATGATCCCATCGAGCCTTGACTTTGCTACACTTCGTAGCAAAAATGCCTTCTACTATCTTGGAAGGTAGTTCCTTTTTTGTGTTGCGTATAATGCCCTATATAAGAAGAGCCTGGCCAATGGAGTTTAACCATCGGACAACCGGATCATGCCTACTTTCGGGTAGTAGCTAGCTAGGTGCATGTTAAGAGTTCCATGAGTAATTCCATATATTTGTAATGGTCTTTAACAACATCATACATTATGTGTCCTTTTTAGCACCGGAACAATGTGAGATTGTCAAGTTAACAAATATTTTGTTTCTGTTTTAGATAATATTTTACTTCTTTAGTTAAATTTGTGCATACTTAGTATTCATATTACATCGTATTTGCCTTAGCTATAATTGCAACAATCTAATCAAGAATAATATTAGACTACCGCATATCAAGAATCATTTTTTAATGACCAAGAGTATATCTTCAAGAATATAAATTTTAAATAATATCTACATTTATTACCTTATCATGAAGAAGTTAATGTTTTCATCATGTTTATGAATCTGATGATTTGATCGAAATAATTTACATTGCTAGACGACTTACAATTTAATCTAAAGATCTCCATAACAGCCAATATGAAGGCTCATAACTATGAAAATTAACTATTTGTTAGACAAGTATGAGATTATAATAGGACTTTTTTGAGATGTTGGATCAAACTAATCTAGAAAATATTTATTATATTTCTGGTAAATTTATTCGTTATAATTCTGGTATTTGAAGTTGGTTTTTGTATGTACTAAAAATGGTTGAATCTGTACAGTTATGGAAGTCCTATTGTAAAAATACAAAGCTTTATCTAGAAGAATTGACAGGCCACCACTGTAGATGTCTATCGGTATTAGAAAACAGCAAGCAGTACCATTTTGGCCAAAAGCGAAGCAATTAATTAAGGGCTACCCTACCATATCCAGATGTCCTAAGAGACAAGTAGCGGTGCTCTATCTTAGAAAAACAGAAGGTAAGAAGGCAAATATAAAACCTTGTTGAAATGGGTAATACTCCCTCAAGGAAATAGAATCCTGAACTACAATAACCATTTCAAATCTGTTTGTCTGAACTTCGCAGTTTGGAATGTCTTGCAAACTGTTATTCAGGGCAAGATATGTCTTGTGAGCTTAGTCTATTTTGTTTTTGTTAACTGCTGAGCTAAACTGCTACTCATAAAACTTGGTCCCATTGGAATTCATTGTTTTCCTATGAAATTCCTGTAATCCTGTGGTACACTGTTTTTAGACTAGGGAGGAGAAAACTTCATCTATAGCATTCATATTAACCAAAAGTGTTTGTTGCGAACTTACAGCAGCAAAGCCTTCATGTTCTCATTGGGAACTAGACTACTGAGGTTCTATTTGCCCATATTAAAAGCCTGAGCTGATTTTGATTGTGTCTAGATGAAGTATCATGTTGGAACTGAAGGCATTGAAATACTTTATACCAGATAGCAAAATAAGCCAGAAAAAAAGGCCATAAGCCCATAACAAAAATGATTGCAACTTATAAATAAAGGAGGACAAATTCAACGAAAAGAAATAACCGAATACTTACCACACCATGGATGATAGTGTGGCCTATGATAGGTTGATTTTCCTCTGTTTCTTGTTCTGGGAGATTCTTCCACTGATCATAGAAGGTTGTTTTCAGGACACGTTGGGGAGCACCAGGCCATCTAGCACGCCCAAACACATTGGTATAGCCCGTGCAATTAATCTCGATTAGCCTTTTCTTATACAAGGGATGTGCAAAACTTTCTTCAGTGGTCAAGAACCTGAATGTTCATGGAACTAGTAATGTGAAAATCAGACTATGAGTTCCTAAGCAAAGAAAAGATTGCAGATGGACTATCGAGAAACTCGTGCAGAGAAAAGATTGCAAGAATACCTAGTTCCTAAGCAAACGCCCTGAGCACCAAGTGCCAATGCAGCAGCATAGCCACGGCCATCTACAATTCCACCAGCGGCGATAACTGAAATGTCAGTATCTGAAACTAGATCCACCACTCTGGGCAGCAAAGGTAACAGTCCTTCCTGTTTTTCCCCACAACAAAAAAGGCATTGGAGAAGAAATCTCATGAATATAATTATATGGCGACAAGCTAGGGAGGTATGTTATGCTTTAGAGATGGCACCACAACAGGGGCCCTAAGCTAAATCTTTAGCCTTTTATATAGATTCGAGGCATACTGTACATTCTAAATGCATGCATGAACACTCCTGAAGTTGACCAAGAAGCTTCTTGAAAGGCTGCCTGAGACTTTTAACAAACCAAAACTACAAAACACTGGCTTACCTGACCAATCACATGCCCCCCTGCTTCACAGCCTTGAACAATGATCCCATCTACACCAGCTTCCTTAGCTTTCGCTGCCTCCTCAAAGCTACCAACCTACGCAAATAACAAGGGATATTGCAAAGTTCATAATCAACTGAACAAATGTGAAGACGTATACAGGAAAGAGTTCGTGTATCATCATCACAAAGTGCAAAAATGTGACATCCTGGCCCAATTAGGATGAGGCATGTGCGGCCCATGAGAGCTGTGTGCGCTTGTTTAGTACCACCTTGTTAGTTTAGCAATGGTGGAACCAACTTATAAGGCCTCTTCCCTCCAACCATATCACTTCCGGGTTAACCCTTTTACACGAAGCGAGGACGAAAGTATAAGTGGAATTGTATGTGTAAATGGGCCCGCCCGTCGGTTGGGCTAAGCTGTGCGGTTCTTCTGGAGGGAGGGTTGTTACAAAAAAGTTTTTTGCAGTGGTGCTTGTTACATCTTTCTTTGCACCAAAAGAAGAGTATCAACGCCTGAATGCTCTATAACAGATAAATCGTACTAACACTAACAGTGTTCACTTGTTCCTATATTTCTACTTAAGCCAAGCCAAGGAATGATAGTGAAAGGAGCCAATATAGTGTGGCACTGTGGCTCATATAGTCATATGTGGGCATGTAACAGTTAGGAGCAGTTTCCGGTAATTCATGTGGTCTGTTTTTTTTTGTTTTTTTTTTGCGAGGAAAGAGAACTTTCATTAATCAACAGCCAAAGTAAATTCAGCTTGTATTAGCTGTGCTACAAAATTATCCTCATGACCAAGCCAAAAGAGCCTGAGGTTTGGACTAACCGACCTGCATTAGCTAATTCATGGCTTGTCTCATGTGCTCTTTGTGATCATCTTTTGCGTGTTATACCGTTATCTTAGACAATCATTGTTTTTGTCATGAGTGCTGTCTTTTTGTTGTCTGGCATCTACTGTTCCGACTTCCAACACATGCTTTGACTATTAACAATTTGTTGGTAACTATCTCCAGCCATTGACCAGTTTACCATCGATGATTTTTCCTCTACTCTAGATAAAATGAAATGGTTTTTCTCCTTTCAGCGTTGGCAAATTGGTTGCTTATCAGTTAGCATTTTGAGCAAACAAGACCAACATGATCCAGAGTGGAGTACTGAAGCACTCCTGATTCGCAACAACGTTAAACATAAGAATATCTTCAAAAGATTCACCAATCATTTACAACATATTGGGAACAAATGGTCTATTCAGCAGTCATTATAACTACAACCTCCCTAATAATAAGTAACCACAAACAATGGCACTGGCATAACAATTAAGAAATACTACTAATTAGCGAAGTTCTAGCTAGCAGCTATTATAACCTCCCTGATAAGTAACCACAATAGCATAACAAATATACTCCTTCTGTCCCAAAATATAAGTTAATTTTTCACCTCACCCATCCCACACATACCAATACAAACCAAAAGGACTGAAATACCGCTACTTTATCAAATCTCAATGCAATTATTGCCTACTTTATCTACCCCAATACAATTGTTTACTACTTTCATAAACTCCGATACAATGATTACTCAAAAATAAACTTATTTTGGAACAAATAGAAGCTAAAAGTAAACCTAATTTATGGAATGGAGGAAGTACTAACTAGCGAAGCTCTAGCTACCCCACTGGCAAAAGCACTGATAGAAGCTAATTGAACAGACAATGGCATGTGAAAATCTCACCTGATGCAACACCTTAACACCGGCGAGGTGCGCCTCATCGACTCGCTCCCTCGGGAACTCTCCCCAGTAAACCTGCAGCACGGCGAGCTTCTCCTCCAGCACCACCCGTAGGTTCTCCTCGTGCGGGAAGGCCAGCACAATGGCCGCCCCGAACGGCCTCTCCGTCAGGCTCCTCGTCCTCCGTATCAGATCCCTCACGCGATCCGGCGCCGGCTGCAGTGAGCGAATCAGAAAAAAAAAATCGAACAGAATAATACTAGTACTAGCTGTGAAGAAGAGCCCCAAGGGAAAAGGGAACAGATAGAGGGGTGGGGTGGGGGGTACCCAGTCGGGGAGGCGGAGGAGGCCGATGCCGCCGGCGTTGGCGACGGCGGCGGCGAGCTCCGGGCCGGAGATGTCGGGCCCGAGCGGCGCCTGCACAACGCCGTGGTCGAACCCCAGGATGCCCTTCCACCCCATCTCGCCGATCCAAGTAAGCGCGCGGGGGAGGAGGTGGAGGCCGCGGGTTTAAGCAGGTGGCGGACGGCGTCATCGGTGGGGTAGGTGGTGGTCGTCGACGACGAGCCGTGCGGCGACAGCGAACCGCCTCCACCGCGCGCGTCCAACGGAGAGAGGCGTCAGCGGGGACGTCACGGCGGGCGGGCGGGCGGGCGGCGGCTAGGCGCGGCAACTGACAACTCGCCATCTGGGGCTTTCTCGTCATCGCACGTGGCACGTGGTGAATAGGGCGCAGTCACGTGATTTTCAACCCCGTCGTTCGGCGTATCGGAGGAAAAAAAAACGGAATATTTATAAATGAAAAATAATTTGTGAATAAAATTTTTATATAAAGGCTGAAGAATAAACCGCGATGAAAAAAAATCCCAAAACAACTCTAAATTTAAAGTTAAAATTTTATATTTTGACTGATAAGCATAATTAAATGAAAATAAAAAGATAGCGTTGTTTATCACTAACATGTGGGACCGATAAACGTTAGGCTCACATGTGAGCTGTTGTGCAAATGAGACAAGGGGATGTCAAGAATATCGTGCGGCGGCGCAGGAGCTTGTCGTCGATGAGCACCAGCGACCACGAGAGGTGGCCATCACGATGGCGAGCGGCATAGGTAGGGATGTTGAATATTAGAGGAAAAGATTACTATGAATTTTAAGTCTCGGGGATGGTATATTATAATCATATAAATAGCAAATTAATCACACCTAACATAATAACCAGATTCTCTATAAATAGCAATTGATCATACCTACCATAATAACCGGAGTCTATGTAATCCTATCCATATACTCTAGTAGTGGAGACGAGGCGGGAGGGATTTATCCTACCTACCATAATAACCGGATTCTCTATAAATAGAAATTGATCATACCTAATAACCGGATTCTATGTAATCCTATCCATATACTCTAGCAGTGGAGACGAGGCAAGAGGGATTTATCCAATGGCCATTGGTTGCTCATGCAATCTACTCCCTCCATCTAAAAGTGTAAGGCATATTTCTTTTGTCTCCAAGATCAAGGAGTAATTAGATCATCCACCATGTGACAAAACCAAATAACCATACACATGCATACAATCAATAAGTATTAAGATGGCTTCTTAGGTTTCAATTAATTTAATTTAGCACATAGAGATTACAGATATGACTTAGGCTGTGTTCTCCCCCCTCCCTTTCCCAACCACCTCTCTCGTTTTCCACGCGCATGTTTTTCAAACTGCTAAACGGTGTGATTTATACAACAACTTTCTATATGAAAGTTGTTTTAAAAAAAAATCATATTAATCCATTTTTCAAAAAAAAATTAGTTAATACTTAATTAATCATGCAATAAAACGAACTTTGTTTTGCGTGCCGGGGAGGAGGGATTCCCAACCCCTCTTCCGAACACAGCCTTAGAACTTTTGGAAAAAAACCAAAAAAAAAGATATATGTCTTAAACTTTTGGATGGAGAAAATATAACATCTTGCAAAATATTGCCTCTATCCCAAAATAAACCGGTGACGATGTGACAACCTAGTATAATGAGTATAAATAGTCATTCTCCTGGTTTAGTTTATTTTAGAATGTTGATTAATTTTAGGACGCCTTATCTAGATCGCTATAGTTAGTAGCGAAATGAATTTTCTTTTTGCGAAACTACCCCTAATTTGAAATGGTAGATATATTAAGATATTTTGTAAATCCCATGTTGGGATCAAAATGTGTGCAAAATATACCACGTTGTAAAATTGCCCTCAGCTTGGGTTGATGTTTTTCAAATACTAGCTAAATACTCGTTCTTTCCTTCAGATAAAAGAATATATATTATAGTATTGCTGAAATAAATAATAACATATTTTCTATGAAATATGTTCACTTTTTTATATGGAATATTCACCTTTATTTAATTTTTATGGTGCTATCCATTTAGATTTCGATTGTTTTTAATACTAAAAATCTGCATGGGTAATTTGCAAAATTTACTATGGTAGTAAGTGGGATGGCATATTCACTGCCGCCACTGCCTTTTTTAAAATAATATAGAAATTTAAGGATTTATCCTCCTAGGTTTTTTTAGATAATAGAATATAATATCTCGGCCTTTGCTCAAGAGGAGCTACAACCAATTATTACAAAGTAGCACTCGAGATAATAGTATAGTTCAAAAAAAATAGAATACACTTAAATAGAAAAAGCCAAAATAAGGAGAACACATTTATTCCAGCCTATTTGTGAATCTCCATCCATAGTTGGCCTTAAGTTGCATAACCATTTTCTCCAACTTGCGACATGCAACTTTCAGAAACTCTCCATCTTCATCACACCTTTGTAATTGTGCCCAAAACCGGAGCCAATGAGTTGCCCTGAAAATTATCTGCATATAGGAAATAGATGGTGATTGAGCCCAACAAATGGCCGAAGCTCCGACAAGTATCAGTTTACTCTTTTTCTTGTCAATCCCCAAAAGCCACCTATCGAAAATATGAGATATACTAATTGGAATGTTAAAACCAAAAGAAAACTGAACTGCTCTCTATATGAATTTTGCATAATCTTATCCTCCTAGGTAAGAGAGCTTACTTGTTCTTTGTTTTGAAAGAGGGTTAGGTTTAGGAAGAGAACACATGTGAGGTGAGGCTTTGATCAACCAAATCCATCACTAACCCTAGGGTGTGTTTGGATAATGAGAAATAGGTAGTGGATTAGGATTGGGAAATAAATGAAGGGTTAGGATTAAATAGAAAAAAGAAAAATAAATGGTTAGGATTTAAAGATGGGTGGAAAATCATTTCTTTTTCCCCCTAGTCTTTGCCACTGTCTGAGCGTGCCGCCAGACTCTACGCACGCGCTAGGATGGTGGAGACTGGAGACATGGCCCTCCTATTGGCCAGATCAATAGTGGCGGCGAGGGCAACGTTGGCATTGTCCAATCTAGCGTCTGCCTAGCTAGCTCTGGTGATGGAGGTGTCTGCACAAGGCGGTTGCGCTTGAACGGTGATGTGACGATTGCATAGGGTGGCTATACCCCATAGGCCATAGCAATGAGGAAAAAGTGCACCGAAGGTCCCTCAACTTGTCATTGAATTACAAAATTATCTCCCAACCGCAAAACCGGATATCCGGTATCCCTTAACTAATTAAAACTGGTTACAATAGGTCCCTCGACGGTTTTGACTCCGGTTTTATCCGACGTGGCATCTGACTCAGTGTGGGATCCACGTGGGTCCCACATGTCAGGGAGACCACGTCACCACCCTCTCTTTTTTCCCCTCTTCTCTCCCTTCCTCTCTCTCTTTTTCCGATGGTTGCCGTCATGCGGGGAGGAGCGCGGTGGTCGTTTGCCTTCCCTCCTCCTCCTCGGCGTGCCGCGCGGCGCCATTGCCGTGGCCGCGCGTCGTCGTCGGGGTGAGGCGGCGACGCACGGTGGCGCGGCGGAGGGGAGGGGGGCGTTGGCGGCCACGGTCACCGCGCCACCTTATGCCGAAATACCCCCACCGTGCGGACGCCATCACCTATCTTATCTCCCCGAGCGCCACCAGCAGCCGAAATTCCCCTACCGCGCGGACGTCCACGGCGCCGCCGCTCGCCGCCTCCCCCTCCCCCTCGTACCACTCCCTGGCGACCTCCATGACGCCGACGATGTGACGGGAGGTGGCGCCGGCGCTGGAGTGGTAGAACAGGCAGCGGTCGCCCCGGCGCAGGGCATAGAGGCTGTTGATGGCCTGGCGGTTGCAGACGCTGTCCCATGGCGCGATCTGTATTATCTGTTCTGCATTGTCTGTTCAGATTCAAGGAGATGACATCAGCATCAATGTCTACTCTGAACCTGAGTTCATCTCCTCTGACCAAGCAACAGCTCCGATTTGGAGCCAGCACACTCACTGCAGAACACATTAGTGGATTCAGCTCTGCAAGGCCAGCTCCATCGCTGTGCTGCTCCAACTCTCACTAGCGAGCGATCAAGCTGAGACCGAGGCGGCGGCCATGGCAGCGCGCCGGAAACCGGGTCGTCGCGCAGGCCGGCAGCTACAAGGTTGCCATCCTTGGCGCCACCGGTGGGATCGGACCACGACCACTCCCCCGACTCCGTCTTGAGCAGCCAGTACTTGCAGTTGCCGGATGCGACGACAGCAGCGTTGGGTGTTGCTTTCTTCGGCGGCGGCAGTAGCAGCGACAGCACCAGCCGACGCCCTCCCTCTGATAGGCGATGGCGGCCGCGGTCACCGCCGACTTCTCGTCCGCGCCGCCGACCGCACTAGGGGGACGGGGAAGCCAGCGAGCCCCCACGCTAAACAAGTCGCATCACAGTCGCCGGCCGCGTGCACCGCCGCCCGTGCGAGAGTAGAGAGCGAGGGGGAGGAAGGAAGAAGAGAAACAGAGAAAGAGAAGAGGGGAAATAGAGCATATGCTGACGTGGCACCCTAACATGTGGGGCTCACGTGGGGCCCACGCCAAGTCAGCTGCCACGTCGGACAAAACCGGAGTCAACTAGTTTTGTTTAATTAAGGGACGTCAGATATCCGGTTTTGTGGTTGGGGGATGATTTTATAATTCGATGGCAAGTTGAGGGACCTTCGGTGCACTTTTTCCTAGCAATGATCTGTTACCGACGTCCGTGCTTGTGGATGCTTCGGTGACTGGGCTTTACGTCGTTGGGCCCTCAGGCCAGCAGCTCAGGCCTGAGGGCCCAAATGCTACGGTGGCCGTCAGCTTTGCCATCGGAAGGGCCTGCTGGGCAACCGTAGTCTTTGGGCCGCGACCTTGCCCCCCAGAACTAGCTCCCCCGTCACTTGGCTCCAAAAGCCTTCAACAAGGTGCAGCTCCAGCCTCCAGCTATGAGAACCTTTTGCTCTGAAGTTCCCGTAGCACATGAATTATTTGCAGCTACTGGGTTGTGCAGGAGTGTAAATTAGTCGTGAACGCCTATGAGGGCCTCACATGCAATGGATTGGTGCGTAATAATGTATTATTACTGTTGTACAGAGAGACCTGATGGATTGTTACTATTGCGCGTGATAATGCACAGGGACCTGACGGATGATGACTAGGGATGTCAATCGGGCGCGACGGGCACGGGTAGTGCCTACCCATACCCATGCCCGTGAGATTATTTGTATCCGTGGGTATACCCATTACTACATGACGGGTAAGGATGGTTGCCCATGCCTATTGCCCGCGGGCGCCTTATGCCCGCGGGCGTGCCCGT